CCCATAAAGCATGGTATGACAAGAAACCAAAGGACAGTCATTGAAATTATTCCCCATATTTTAAGTGATTCTCATGATCGTGGCAAAATATATAAGAAAAGTGAAAATATATTATCATTAGTTTTAGTGATGAAAGCAAGAGTTATCATTTATTTAATAATAAAATAAAAACTTGTAATTAATAATTGATATGTTATTATTTATAAATATAATTATTAAAATTAATATATAGATGGATCATGATTGATGTGTCCTCTTTATTAAGCTCTACTTAGAATGAAATTTTAAAACACTAGTGGTTATGATAGTCACAATAATTCTAGTCTTGAGTCAATTGTTTCAAAGAAAGTACAACTTATAAATGAGATATATGAGTCATTTATTTTTGCCTTAGTGGTTATAAAACCAAATAATTATAAAGAGAGTCAAAGAAAAAAATGAGAGAAAGTTACGAAAGAAAAAATTTACTAAATTGAAAAAAATAACACATGAGAATTAGTAGATATACTATTGAAAAATAAAGCTACTGGTGTGAAGTTGGTTTCCAAAGTCAAATATAATCAAAATAAAAATGTACAAAAATACAAGACAAGATTGGTGGTAAAAAGATATCTACAACAAGATGTTATTGATTATTTCAAAAATTATGTTTCTTGTTACTAAATTTGAAACTATTATAAATATTTTTTAAATGATAGCTCAAATGAAATGATAAATATTATAATTTAAATATTTATGTTTGAACAGATATTTGAATGAAGATGTGTATGTTAAGCAACTTGAGAGGTTTGTCATTAATGGCAAAAGGGACAAAGTTTACAAGTTGAAGAAAGTATTGTATAGACTTAAATAAGTACCAAGTACATGCTTCAATCAACTTGAATCATGTCTTCATGAAAATATTTTTCATCAAAGCAAGAGTGAACCATCACTTTATGTGAAGAAGAAAGAAGGGAATATTTTCAGTATTTATTTACGTACTTGCAACAAAGAAGAAAGTTTGTGTATGTGGAATTTGACATATGAGTTTAAGACATGTGAAAGTAGAGTTTGATATGACCAATTTAAACTTTTTTCATTATTTTCAGTCTTCAAATTATTGAAAATAATTGTGACATATTTGTTTTTAATGAGAGTATGTTTTGGATCTACTTAAGAAGTGTAATATGTTGAATTGTAAAACTTGTCTTACTTCGACGAATACAAGTGAAAAATTATATGGAAATGATGGCACTATAAAGGTGGATGACTGATTTTATAAAAGTTTTACTGATGGTTTAATATATTTAACTCAAAATAGGTTGGATATTATGTTCTTAGTCAATTTGATTTTCATATTTATGTATTATCCTACATCACATCATCTTTGAGCAAAAAAAATAATTCTTTGATAATGTTGGGACATCAATAATTTTGAAATCTAATACAAGTATATACCTCATTTTAAATTATTTATTTTTACTAACTATGATTGGAAATTTTATTTAGATGACAAGAAAAATACAAATAAGTTTATTTTCAGCTTCTAATTAGGTACAACAATTTTGAGTTTGAAAAAATTAAAAACTTACACATTATCATCATCTGAAATTGAACATACTATTGTATTATCAATCTCACAATAGGGTATATAGATGAGGAGGATCATAGAAGATCTCAACTTAGCATAATCTAGTCTAATGAAAATATATTTTGACAATTAGTCAACGATATCAATGACCAAGAATTTAGTGTTCTATAGAAAACTTAAACATATTGAGATTCATCATCATTTTATATACAATCAAGTTGTTGTCAATTTAATCAAGATAAAAGTTTTATTTAACAAAACATCAAATTGTCGATGATATATAAAGGTGATAAGTCTTCATTATCATGAGTTAATAATTAATAAATAATATAGCTTTAGTATTAACTCATGATAAATAGACTTATATTTATATTAAATTGTAAAAAGTGATTTTTAATTTGTTTTTTTTTGTTTATTATGTGATTTTATGTGAATTTATATAATTTTTGTAATCATTTTTTGAGTTAAATAAAGAAAAAAAAAAGATAGAAAAAAGAGGAGGACTTGTTGATCAATTGAGCCCACAAGCAAGTCGGAAGCATAGTTGGGTAGAGCCACAAGCAAGGGCTCGAGCAGCTAAGGATGGATTGATATGAGGCATGTGTGCATCACTCCCCTTCCACGTCACCAGTGGCCAGTCGAGCATGAGGTAAGGAGTGGTCGTACACACGTGAGAAAGAGACTCATTGATTTTCAAATCTCATATTACTATATATTCGTCTCAATATTTAGCATATAATTGATGTGGGACCCTGGTCACACCTTTTCTAGAATATTTTAATATTTTTTTTACCTCAAATATCCCTTATTTATCAAAAAGAGGTACCTCAATGACATCACTTTATAAGTGGTATTTACGTACATATTTTACTCTCTCTCATGCAAGTGAACAACCAACGAAAGTTCGAATCCTACCATAGCCAAAAATCATTTTTTTATCTAATTAAATCATAATTTTCTTGTAGATTGACAGTGAAGGATTAAGTCGTCAAAATTACTCAATCATCAGTAAAAATTTCGTCAACATAATTCGCGGAGCATCGTTATTAAAATTATTGAATAATTCACGATAAAAAGATCATAAATCCATCAAATAGATCATCTCTAATTTATCGACAAACAAGCTATCGTCGAGAAGAAGATGATTCGTTGGAAGATGAGTCACCACTGTTAAGAGTATATTAGATGCAATGAAGAACCTCCTCTTGCTGTGCAAACTTGAGAACAAAACTCTTTAACACACGCCTCACCTCCATCTAGCTCATCATTGTAGGGTGATGGCCGCCGAAGAACTACAAAATCATCATTTTTTTACTCCACTAAGTGATAGCCACTGGAGATGATTCAACAGCCTATTTCATTGATCTCTAGACTTCATAAAAAGATCTAAAGATTACGCACATCATCCTTGTCCAAAGAGAGCCTTTGAGGCCATACATATTATACAATAATCTTCTTAAATATTTAAGATTCTAATGCATCGTCGATACATCACCACTGTGATGTCAAACTTTATTTCACTATTTTTTAACTAGTTCAACTTTCATTATCTTTTGTGGACTTTGAAAAGAGATCTAGTAAATAATCAAGTCGTCTATGTCTAAGAAGAGCCTTTGAGGTCATAGACATCATTCAATAATCCTCTCAAACATATAAAATTTTAACGATTGTTGTTGTGAGGTTATAACTGTCTTTCCTACTTTCAACTTAATTTTTACTTTACTTAGTAATTTCAAGTTACTAAAATATTATTCATTCAATTACAATTCTTATGACTTTTACAGATCTTAATTTGACCAATTAAATTGTTTGTAATCACTTACGTTAGAATCGCTAGATGGAACTTTATGTCTGCCCAATTCGCGTTCGTCATGCGTTGATGTCATCTTGACGTCCTCACCCTTATTTTTCTTTTTTATGAATTTTAAATATATTTTATTTTTATTTCTTATTTTAAATTTTATAAAAAATTATATTCTTTGAGAAAAATTCTAAAATATTATCTGATATTATATTACATCCATGTGATCAACTTGAAAAACTATCATTATTTTTAGAACTTTTATTGAATTATAATTAATATATTTATTTAAAAATACTTCTAAATATCCAAAAATTAGTATTTTTAGTTTTATAAATTTTAAATTTATATAATTTATTATACAATGACTAAGTCACGTCAAAAGGCTTTAAGTTATTCAAATTTTATCATGTTTTGTGAATTACTTAACATCACTAGTTTTACATCAAGTCAGAGTGTTGAATATTGATGTTGCACTATGAATGACAGTCGTGGCTAAAAATTACCATTTTTGTTAAAGTAGACTTACCCAATTTAGATATAAATTTCTCTTTGTATTTTTTTTTGTACCTTCTCCCCCTCCTCTTTTCCTCCCTATAAAAAAAGGATTTAAATTAGTTACTTTTTATTAAGTTTCATTAATTACCTGATATCAGTAGTTTTGCATCAAGGCGGAGTGCTGAAGGTAGAACTCCGGCATGGCGGGCAGAGGACAAACCAGATCACCGGTACCGCCAGCAGCACGGCCAACCTGCAAAGGAGGTGACGGTAGAACTTGTACCATTGGTGCCCCCGCTTCCCTCATCTCTCTCTCTCTCTCTCTCTCTCTCTCTCTCTCTCCAGAGACTATCTCCGCAGCAAGGGAGTCTGCTATACTAAGTAGAAATGAGAGAACGGTGCGGTGTCTCACCCGATCAGAGACATCAACAAGCTCACTTGAGTCCAAGTGATCCGATCCGTCCATCTGCCATAATCTTCAAGTCAGCGGCCGCGTGTCGAAATCAGATTGTTCTGCGAGATTGCGTACATTTTTCCCGTACAAATTAACATTTAATTGAGATCAACAACACGGCATCTATCTCTCTATACATATATTTGTCGATATATCTATACATATAAATCTGATAATTTCCTGTTTTATATATGGCCATAAAAGTTTTTCAATAAATTATTAGTATAATGACGTCACCCGAATTTAACGGAAGCAACGAGTAGAGGAAGTCAGAAATTTATAGATCTACCCATGACTTCTTATCGAACGGGCCCATTGTTTAATTGAAATGGGCCCAATTTAATATTATCCAGACATTTTTTTCCCCACTTGACTAGGATGACTCACCAGGGGAGGGGCCGCCCGCCGGCGGCAGCGGTGGTGGGAGGAAGTCAGATCTTGGGAGCCCTCCGTTGACTTGATCTCGGAATGCTGGTTTCTGGCGAGACTTGAATTCCTCGCCTTATCCTCTTCCAGGGAATGAGAACAAGTGTGAAAACGACGCGAGGCCCGCTTGAATCGGCCTCGGGGCATCCATTCGGCATTCTACACGTGTCAACACATTCAAACATTCTTAGACGTCTCTCTCTCTGTCTCTCTCTCTCTCTCTCGCTCTTGGGGGGAGGGAGGAGCTTGATCTATGCGGAAGCCTGAACGACGGTGCGCTTGGGAGGGCGCTGGATGGGGCCGGCGGTGGAGCGGAAAGCTTCGGAGATCACCCTGTCGTGAACGCACCAGTGGAAGGGGACCGGTTTCTTCACCGCCGTTGAAGAGCAGATGGCGCAGACGGTTGCCTGGGGGAAGTGCGACGCGGCGGAGGAAGAGAGAAGGTGATACCTCTGCCTCTGCAGGTTCTTCATGATCTCGTAGTTGAGCAGCCGCACGACTCCCGATCCGTCCGCTGCTGACTCCAACGCAATCGACTGCGCCTCGGCGCTGCGCTGCTTCGATTCGACTGGCCGCCGCAGAATGGCCACCTCCGGGACCACCACATGGTCCCGGCGGCTCCGGCCGCGCCTCTCCCTCCTGGACCTCTTCAGTTGGACGATAATCGCGCCGTCCTTCTCTCGCGCAATCCTGGCGAAATCGGTCCCCTCCTCGATCGGCGTCTTCCTCCGGATCTCCGCCTGCGGCCGCCCGGGACTGGCCTTCCTCTGGTTGAGGAGGAACAGCGCGATCCTATCGGGAGAAACCCCAACCATGTCGCCGACGACCAATTGAAGCTTCTCGAACACGAAACCGTGGTCGATAACGACTCTCCCGACTTCAATCTCCTGTTCTCTGTCGGAGAAGAGGACTCGGAAGGGGGAGAGGGCGGCTGTGGGAGCGGGGATTACCTCCTCCTTCATCGCCGTCGTCACCTCGGCGGCAGAGAAGGCGCATCCAGAAGAGGAAGGAGGAAGGGGGCGGGTAGGGTTTTCGGGAACAGGGAGGAACAAAGAGGGGCAAGAGGGCGGGGTCGTTTTAAAAGGCGCCTTCGATTACAGGTAGGAGGGTTGTAGGGGTATTACTGGTATTCCATGTATGTTATTGACGGTCCAGCGGCGCGGCTGGGGCCTACCACCGTGGCGATATCCCATTAGTTTCACTACTCTAGCGGTACATGTGGCGGGCTCATGGTGCTCCAACATTCCTGCCACGTCGATCAACTGCTGGCTGACGCTTCCCCACGTGTACGATGATGTCAGCACATTATTTCCTTTCTTACCCAGCTGACTTGTAAAAATTTTCCTGACCTGCCACTCAGCTAGAGGACGTCATTTATATCCTTAGCCAGCTGGCCTGCCCCGACCCCCCACAATGCAGTGTTAATTTTCGTACCCCGTTGACTTTTTTTCCCATCTATGCTCGCTCCTCCTACTTTATGGCATGAATTATAGATTCAAATCCTACTCAAATATAGAAATTATTGAACGTGAGCAAGAACATGGCCTTCATCACAGTACGGCATATGTTCGGAAGCCAAATAGAAATAATCAACTTCGATTTGACCGTTTGACTATGAGGGCCGATCATGGGCGCCACAGTCCAAGCAAAAGAACGCCCCTTTCTACATGTGGACGACAAACATTTTTAACAAACGAGCAGATAAACCTTCTACATATGGAAAAGGTGCAGCCAAAACGTGTACAACTAGGATCCAAACAACAAAGCAGGTGGGCGGTCCATGCTGATGTGGGTTGACAGACCCACCCTTCGAGACCTTGAGAACGTGGTCAACGAGTGGCGATCACCAGCAGCTCCATGGCCATGGGCTCTATGAAAGAGCAATAAGGCGTCTGCCGCCACCGCCATGGAATGGATTCATCATGATATAGAGGGTGTGAGGTCCTCTGCTGCCAAGAAGCTTAGTTTTCCTCTCCAGCTAGCTCTCTATTGCAGCACGGCATTGCCTCACGTGGGTCCATCTGAATTCCTAACAAGCATGTTTTTCAAAGCTCAACCCTATAATCATCAATTTTTCAACCTCCAGCATTGTCTCTAGTGAATACTCACATCTCTAGCTTTCGTCTATTTTTTCATGGGGCTAGTGTAGCCAATTTGTCCCATTCTTTGTTGTCTGTTCTTGGTTGCTCTCTTGTGGTTGATCAATTCTTTCCTACTTTTGATGAAGTTATTTTTCTTCTTATAATATTCAAGATGTCGTTTTCTATGGATTTCTTCTATTTGATGTTCAACTTTCTTGTTAGCTGATCAGAAAATCATTGCTCTACTAATCATTGATTCAAGTGCTCTATGTTCCTCTCCATTGATGGTAGCCTTTGTAACTCATTCTCTACCTTCATTAATTTATGTCATTTAGTTTTATATATATCATTTCCACCTCCTTCTCTTGTATCTCGGATGTTGTTTTGTTTGTATTGGTGGCTATTAAGATTGGTAGCTCTAATATCAGTTGATAGGAATCCAACATTGAGAGAGCAAGAAGAAGTAGGTCTAGTGGAATTTCAATAAGCAAAACCAAAAAGAAACAAGAAAATCGAAAAATTAGATCTTGTATGTGATCCAAGAACAATTGTGTGGTAATCATTCAAGAGGGGTTAATACTCTCCCAAGATGTTGATAATAACCTCTCCTCTTTTCGTTCCTCGCTAGTCTTTATATAAACCCCACTTCTCTTCATATGACCTCTCTTTGAGAATTTATAGATTAAACCCTAATGTATGAATTTTTTGCCCTATTATCACTCTTGGAGGAAGAAATATAAAATGGGGGTTTGCCGATCTTGGTGGTGTTGTTGATTGACCCGTAGGTAGGCCGTTGGATGATTAGTGGGGAAGAGAAGGGAAAGATTCGAAAAAGCTACTTCCATGAAGGGCTCCATGAGTCTTATACTTGACATACATCATAAGGCACAAATATTATGACAATAATATTATTACAATAATAAAATATATGAATATAATTTTATGACATATCTCTTGAATATTGGTTTGCTAAGGCCCTTGGTAAGTACATTTACTTGTTGATCCTATGATAATACAAATGGTGTAAACATAAGCCCACTTTCAGCCTCTCATTGATAAAATGTTGAATTATTTCAATGTGCTTCATAAGATCATGTCTCAATAGATTATGAGCTATACTTATAGCTGATTTGTTGTCACATAAAGTTTGATATGATCATTCCATTCAACCATCAAGTCTTCTAGAATGTTTTCCACACATAGTACTTCACATTTATTGTGGCCTATCACTCAAAATTCACTCTTTTTACTTGATCTTGTTATCACCTATTGCTTCTTACTTTGCTAGATATTTAGATTATCATATAAGAACATACAAAATTCAAATGTAAACTTTTTGTCCACTATCTATCATGAATAGTAAGTACTTGAAAAGGTTTCAAGATTCACATTTTCATTGTTCTGAAATAAAATAACACTCATGATTGTTCCTTTAAGGTAGCTTAATACCTTGTAAGAGTTATGCAAATGAACTTTTATTGGGTCATATATGAATTGACTTATAACTCTTATGGAGTATGCGATGTTCGGTCATGTATGAGATAAATAATTCAGTATGTTAACTAATTGCTCATATATTTCTCGATCAATCATATTTCTTTATTTTATATTGTCAAGTTTTTGATTTAGATCAAGGAAGTATTACTCATTTTACATGCAGTTTTACTAAAAGTTCTAAAAACATGTGAATCTTGAAACCATAATTGTGATATGAAATTAATATCCCATATTTTGGTTAAGCTACCTAAATTCAAAGGAAATATCTTAATTTTTCTAAAGCTTTGATGTCCAATTCCTTGGACAAGCATTGGTTTAGGAGTTCTACCTCCTCCTTATCATTTCATCACTACAATATTATCAACATATACAAGTAATGTTGTTACTCTCCTTAAATAATAGTATTTAAAATAATGTGTGATATCCAATACTCTATTTGTAGCCCATGGTAATCATAATTTCTTGAATATCTCAAATTATAATTTTTATTAATTATTTGGATCCAAACCAATGATTTCTTCAGCATACATATTGAGCTAGTATTCAACTCTTTTTTATTAACATATTGAATTAAAAGAAAATTATTCTAGTGGAATATCCATATAAAGCTCTTATTTTATGTGTACATGTATATAAATATTTTTAAGATCAACTTGTAGTAGATCCCTACCATAATGTGCTATTAAATATAATAATTTTTCATTGCGTTTGTCTTTACTATGAAGCAAAGGTCTCTAAGTAGTCCACTTTGTATGCTTTAATATATTATTTAGTTAGCAACATACTCTTCTTTCATTCTTTTTTCTATAGGCCATATGTATTTATATAACCACTTGTGGCCAATTGTTCTTTTTTACTTTAGCAACTTTATTAGTGCTGAGTTATGGATTATTAACTCAATATTATTAAAATATTTTTTAGATATTAATCTGAAATCATGAAATTGATCATTTGAAATCATGAAATTGATCATCTGAAATATGAATTTGATTATAGATTGATGTCTTAGACAATATTAAGGAGTCTAGATGATAAATATATAGATTGAAGTACATTTCAACAAAAAGTCAAGGTGTAGAATGATTAAATTAATGATCTTAATGATATAAAGTATCTTATAAAATAATAATTATTTAGGGACATAAATATTAAAATTTGTAATTATAAATACATTAAAAAAATTATGTAAAATAAATTTGTCATCATCTTATGTGTGAACCTTTATTTTTTTATTTTTTGTATCAAATGACCTTATTAATATGTAAATATGATTGATCATTAGAAGCATTTCTTAAATATGAGTCAAATGTAATAAATTTTGGAGAAAAAATATTGGAGTTAAATTGCTATTGATTTTATAAGAACACTAAAATAATACTTTTTATCAATGTAAAATAATTTAGATGTTTGACCTATTCAACTAAAATATTTTTTTATTTGAGAAAATACGTCACATATACAAACATACGATTATTAATATAAAGTTGGTACAAAGAGGAACCCAAACTGAGAAATATATAAAAATATTTAAAGTATTAACATAATTATAATTTTTATAAGTATTAAAAACCCCCCAGCAACCATCAATTTTTCAGCTTCCAACATTTTATTCATTAAAAAAATACAATTGTTTCCTCCCTTTGGGAATGGCGCAGTTGATCATAGGCGCAGTTTCTGCATCTGGGAGACAAATATTTCTTAGAAAGAACAGTTAGACCTTCTATATATGGAAAAGACCCAAGCAAAACATGTAGAATTAAGATTCAGACAGCATAACAGCTGGGAGGTTCATGCTGACATGGGTTGACGGACCCTCGAGACCCTGAGGACCTGGTCAACGACTTGGGAGGCGACCACCGCGGGGGAGAACCTCCGGACCATGTCCTCCCTCGCCCGCCGTCCCCTCCGGCGAGCCTCCTCGGGGCTCCTCACCACCCTCCTCATCAGAGCCCGCAGCTCCGCCACCGATGGCTCCGCCCAGAGATGGCTCTTGAATGGGCCCTCCCCCACCGCGCTCATCCGGTCAACGGGCAGCGGGTAGCTGTTCTCCGCCGTGAGGAACTCCGCCGGGCCGGACCAGTTGGTGGCGATGACCGGCAGCTCCATGGCCATGGCCTCCACCAGGGGCCTCCCCCACCCTTCCCCCCTTGACGGGAGCACAAAGGCGTCCGCCGCCTTGTACAGCCTCGGCAGCTCCACCTGCGGGATGTGCGCCTCCAGGAGATAAACCGGCGCCCACCCCTCCTCCGGCGCCGCCAATCCGGCGGCGGTAACAAACTCCGAGATCCTCCGCCGGATCTCGCCGCCGCCGCCGCCGTCGTGAAATGGGTTCGTCAAGATGTAGAGGGAGACCCCATCCGCCGCCGAGAACTCTTGCAAGAAGGCCCCCAGCAGCAGGTCCCATCCTTTCCTACGCTCCCATTTGAAGATACTGAGGAAGACGAAGCTTCCCCTCCGGTGGGCGTTCGCCGGCGGCAGCACTGGGTCCCCGGAGGGGAGTGTCAACGGGCGGTGCCTGGAAGGGTCGAAGAAGTAAACGTCCACGGGCTGCGCCACCACCACCACCTTGGAGGCCTCCACGCCGCTGCCGACGAAGGTCGCGGCGTTGAACTCGGTGGGCACCCACACGGCGTCCATGCGGTTGCACCGACGTACGTGCTCCGGTTCGACTCGGTCAGTCTCGAACATGGTCCGCCCCACGACGGCCAGCGCCGCCGCGTAAGCGCCGCCCGGCGGGCATGGCGTCGTCTGGAACAACGACGGAGCCCACGCGCCCGGCTCGCTGTGGCAGACCACCACCGTCTCCGCCGGCGGGCACTCGACGGCGTAGAGCCGCCGCGCCAGGGACTTGTCCGTTTCCGACAAGCCGGCCCAGAACTCGGGGTTCCCCAGGTCCCCGTGCTGGTCGATCGTGAGCCGAATCGGCGGGTTTTCCATTTCCTCCATCATCCTGCTGAGAGCAGTGATGTAGGACCAGGCCTCGGAGCTGTACCCTCCGCCGGAGAGGAAAGGGGCCATCCAGAGAACACATGGTGGGCGCGTGGGTGAGGGGACAATGGGCTTTCCCCATGGCCATCCCGCCGTCTTCCACGGCGCCATCGGGGTCAGCGCCGACGGCCGGCGGAGAATGGAGAGGAAGGAGGAGGCGGGGGAGGGTAGCAGAGACCGGATATGGCGGAGCCGGGTAGCCGGAGCGGTGGCGATTCCTAGGGTAACGGCGAGGAGGAGAACCAGACCCGCCGCGGCCCAGAAGGCCGGCGTCCGGGCCCGTGGGATCTCTGCGGTGGCTGATGGGCTCACGGGGACGACGGGAGCCTCGCCGGAGTCCATCACCGGCGCACGGAGATCCAGGAAGAAGAAGCTCCTGGCCTGATCCGAACGAGCTTTCTTCCTCCAAAAGAACCAGAGACTGCGGCCCAACGAGTGGGACCCACCGCCCTTTTGGTCCAGATATGGGCCCAGCAATTAATGGGCCGGGGGTTCGCGATGGCCAAAGGTACGGAAACTGGCCGAGAGCTCGAATCAGTTAAATTGGGCCCAATAAGGCGGCAACCAGCTCATCACATCGCAGAAGTCTCTCTAGCACGCCTCAACTCTCCAAGGCCCAGCAACTGGGAAAAGTCAAACCTGACCCGTCTGGATCGACTCGGTCTGCTCCCATTACCACAACTCCATCCGAGAGAGAGAGAGAGAGAGAGAGAGAGAGAGAGAGAGAGAGAGAGAGAGAGCAGTCAACGTTGCTGATTGGCCGGCCAGTTTCAAACATATCCAAGTTTTGAGGATCCACCTCAACTTGTACATCCGGGGCTGGGCCTTTTAATTATATTTTAATTTTTATTTTAGTTTTTTATTTTTAATTTGTATGAATTCTGAGCTCGGAAATTAATTATTAGGTAGTTTTTGGGATTTAAATCTGGCGTGGGCTAATCTTTCGTGCTTTGGGGGCCACAAACTTGAATGGTAGACCGCGGGATCGACAGATGGAAAAGGGCGGGTCAAAGTAAACCCGATTAGAATTGCACCAGCATAGCAGCTTTGACCTTCCAGTAACAGACTATTGACTTTTGAACGTTGACCCTGGAATGGAGAGAGCAGGGAGAACGGGTAGGCTCTGGTGGCCGCCGCCTCCGGGCCTACTGGTCAGCAAAACGAAACCCTCCACGGCGATATTTTGGAACGATACGTGTCGCGATATAATGACAGTATTCTCCCTTGTTTTTTTTCTGATATCGTTACGACGTGTTTGGTTATTCACTACGCCTCTCTCCGCTCTCACAAGCAAGACACCGGAGAGAAGTTCAGCGGCAGATGCTGTGATGAGGTCATCAACAAGGGGTGGAGGATATCAGATCTCGAAGAAACATCAGCAATTCGAAGATATCGGGACGAGAGAGAAAAAGAGATAAAGAATAGTCAACCAAAGCTACTTACGACCGATCTTCTGTCTACGGAGGAGAAGGTTTCAACATTCTCCCTCCTCTCTCTCTCTCTCTCTCGCTATCATTGGGGGAGAAGCTATAAATGCCCCAAAAGAGAGGTTTGCACCTCTGTCTCCGGAGGAGAGAGAAAAAGAATAGTCAACCAAAGCTACTTACTACCCTTCCTCTCTCTACTGAGGAGAAGGTTTCAACATTCTATCTCTCTCTCTCTCTCTCTCTCTCTCTCAACCCTTGGGGATAGGAGTTATAAATACCGCAACAAAGGGTGGTTCCACCCTTCAATTCAACATTCTAGAGCGAAGGGAGAGAGAAGAATTCTGATCGAGCCGCCTGTTCCTGCTGGGTCGCCAAGGATGGAGGAGATAGAGGTCCCTTGCTGCTTCGTCTGCCCCATCTCCCTGCAGATCATGAAGGACCCGGTGACCACCACCACCGGTGCCACATACGACCGCCAAAGCATCGAGCGGTGGCTCCTCGTTGACCGCCGCCGAACCTGCCCCGCCACCAACCAGCCCCTCCCCGCCCCCTCCGAGCTCACCACGAACCACACCCTCCGGCGACTCATCCACGCCTGGCTCGCCACCGGCGAGAGCCACCGTCGGCGCCTCGTTGAGAGCCTCGCAGCCGCGATAATCGAGAGCTCCAGGGAGAACCAGGCGGACATGGCCGAGCAGGCCCTGAGCATCCTCCTCTCCCTCGTGGCCGAACCAGAGGAACTCAAACCTCTCGTGGAGTGCAATAACCACGAACTCGTTCACTCTCTGGCGTGGTTTCTGTGTTCCAGAGTAACTACACAGGCGATTATCGCCATGAGTATCGTCTTCGAGCTGGGTGGCAGGAGCTGCGTGGAGAGGCTGAAGCCGGAGTTCTTCCCTCCGGTAGTCGGTTTCCTGCGCGCTCGGAGGTCACCGTCGGAGATGAAGGCCGCGCTGAAGGTGCTGCTCGCCGCCGGCGAATGCGGCGCCAACCGGGGGATGATGGTGGACGCCGGCGCCATCGGCGAGCTAGTGGAGCTCGAGCTAGCCGCGCCGTCTTGCCGGAGGACGACGGAGCTGGTGCTAGCCGTGCTGGCGAAGCTCTGCATGTGCGCCGAGGGGCGGGCGGAGCTGCTGCGGCATCCGGCGGCGATCGCCGTGGTGGGGAAGACGTTGCTGAGGGTGTCCCCGGCGGCGGACGACGAGGCGCTGAGGATTTTGTATCAAGTCTGCAAGTTCTCCGGGAGGAAGGAGGTGGCGGAGGAGATGCTGAGGGTGGGAGCGGTGGCCAAGGTCTTTATGGTGCTGCAAGCCGACTGCCCCCCCGCCGCCAAGAAGAAGGCCAAGTGGATCCTCGGGTTGCACCCGGTGACGTGGAGCAGCTCGCCTTGTACAGCCGTCTACGCGTTGACCGGCTACACTCAATTTTGACAAGTGAACAGCCGATTAAAACCCAACTCTGGTCAACTACATTTACATTTTTGTCATCAAGATGAGCCCATAATTTTTTTATGAATGACCCATCAAACATTAGTTGATAACAAGAAAAAATAGTTAATAATCGACAACCCCACAATCTAAAAAATGCAAAATATTTAATAGGAATGTGGGGCGTGTGTAGTGGGGAAGCAAACATATGGGAGAGAGTTGACTTTGGCCACTAAGGAGTAATAACTTTGTTTAGTTTGTCCTCTCTTAAATTACTGAATTAGGAGAATCAGTTCTAGCAAATGCACGGCCTTGTGGCGCCACACTTCAATGATTTTTTTAAAAGATTATCAATATTATATATTATATATATATATATATTAGTTAAATTAGGTGCAACTGATGGATATTGATGGATGAAAGAAGCCGCAAATCATGATGGCCGCTAGAAGACGAATTATAAATAATTCAATAAGTTTTTTGAGGAAACAAAACTCTACGAGCAATCTATTAATTTATAACTTATTTTCAAAAGCCATTATTATTGGATTAAAAAAGTATTTCCCAAGTCAACACGTGGCTTATGAATGGCTGGGTTTTTTTGCCACTGATCCAATGATTTCTGTGACCACCCATGCCCACCTTCACCAACCCTTTCTCTGGCCTTTCTCGATTACGTAACCCCACCAGTGGCTCGTTCACTTCATCGGCAAGTTGGAAAAAGTCAGAGTTTCAAACCGACGTGCCAACTCACACGATGCGATACCCTTCACCAAGTTGGCCTCGCGTTGACGGGCGTTGCGCGATGCGGCAAAGTTAGCGGCGGCTTTTGTCCGTTGCATTATTGACAACATAAGTGTCAACCATTGAAAACAGCTCAAAATAGTATTACATTGGAGCATCGCCTCACAAGAATATCTATGCGTATATATAGTATCGGAAATATACCAGTTAATTGTACTTGTACCCGAGAAAAATAATATATTGTATCGACCCTTCAAAACAGAGACACTAATTTTTCACCATGTTCATAATTTTGTCAACTAGGGTAAATACACAAATCTGCATCCTTGTGAGGGTTTTTCCTACTACTAATATGTAGTAAACTTGCATTTACGTCCCTAGGAATATAAAGTTGGGGATCTTCGGAAGTAGAGAGGTGTCTTATGACAAAACGTGCTTTTATGCCTAGGTTGACCTTTGAACTTGGACTTCTACACACCGACCATGGCCGTCCATTTGTCTCCAGCCTTTTTGCGGCCCGAAAGTGGACCATGAGTGGGGTTGACGACGTATTACCCAAAAAAAGGGGCATTAAATGAAAAAATGTTATATTTTTTCCGAGCACTATAAAATAAAAAATACCATTTTTCCAATTCATATATTTTTAAGCGCAAAAAATATTTTTCCCAAATGCAAAAAAGTCTCACAAGATTGGTATCTCACCGTTGATTAAGTGGACCCATCTACATGATGGGCTACCCATCCGGTGGATGGTGGAGATTCTTCCCGATTGCCGACGTCACTCTATCGCTGTTATAATATTAGATGGCGTAAGAAGATTCAGAAGCTAATCCACAGGAGATTACCTATTGCTACTTCACCCGACTATTTTATGAATAGCAGACATATTCTCTCCAGCTGTGCAGGAAATTCGCGTGTAAGGATTCATTCGCAATAAAAAATAGTACAATAGCTTTTTCGTATGGTGCGAGAGAACGTTATAAGCGGATGGAGAGGCTCTTCCTGTCCAACTCAAACCACTCTCTTCCTCTCCGATTCCCAAGCAGGTCGCCGCCATGAAGGTATCGCCGGAGCTGAAGGCGGCGCCGACCACGAGAGAGGTCAACCTGAAAGGCCCCCGGCCGTCCCCTCTCAAGGTCTCGAAGGACTTCCACAAGATCAAGAAGGCCGCCTGCGCCACCCCAGCGCCGCCCGCCGCCAGTCAGCCGTCGGACCCCCCCGCGGCGCCGCCGCCTCCCCGGGAGCCGGTCATAATCTACGCAGTCTCCCCGAAGGTCTTCTACGCCGAACCCGGCGACTTCATGACGCTGGTTCAGCGGCTCACCGGCCCCTCCCCCTCCGCCCCCGCTGTGCCGGAGGCGACGGCGGCCGCCGAGGAGCGGGGGTGGGATCCCTCCGGCGGCGCCGCCGGCGAGGTCTTCGATCTACTGGATATCTTACGGGAAGAGGCGGCGGAAGGTACCTTCCCCGGGATACTGTCGCCGCTGCCGACTGCACTGCCGTCAATTGCTACCGGCTTCTTCTCTCGGCCGGCGGCGGAACCGACTTCACCGGCGTCGTTTCTTTCTCTTAAACCAACTCTGCCGTCCCTTTCTCTCTCCCCCGGCGCGTTCTGGGACGCCTTCGGACGCCTCTGATGGCGCCGCCGCTGCCGCCGTCATTTTCCTACCTTGCCGCCGGCGGGAGCTCGAAGACGGAGGAGGCCCCCAGTGAGCGCCGCGCCATTTATGGGGCCCACAAGAGAGCTGAAGCATGCCCATTAGAGACCAGACCCACGGGTTTGACCTCTCCTTGGATTTTTCCGTAGATCCAAAAAATAATAATTAAAATTAAACGAGTGTAGCATGCCCCGGTCTCTCCCCGTTGTGGAAGAAATTTAATAAAATTAATATTAATAAAGCATAGCAATTTAATTTTTTTTGTAAATAAATCTCCCTCCTTGGGTGAGGCCCATCAGACAACGAAGTCTCCCGCCCCAGTGGCAAGTAATTCGGCCACGTCATCCTCACCCCATCGGGTCAGAAAGCGATGAATGGCACCGAGTCGACTCAGCGGGGGAACACCGGTTCGCCACCATCAAGAAATTGCCCACGGTTACCCCAAAAAAGGAAACTCTCTCTCAGAATTTTTACATGAAAGTCCACAAGGATACCCCAATCTAATCTCAAATTTTCAAGGGGGGGGGTCTCGGAAAATTCTCCCGTTGACCAACCTGCCATGAAATCTATAAATACAAATAAATCTATATCTGTCAGAGGTTGCAGCTTGGAGCTTCTAATGGCACGCGGTCAAACCACATTGGAGGGATTTCGGCTCCCGCCGATCAGGGTGCCGACTCTCTCCCCGAGGATCGCCTTGGAGATGTTGTTTGGTTTCGCCAAGTTGAAGACCACAACTGCAGAACTCAAAGATCTGAGAGAGAGAGAGAGAGAGAGAGAGAGAGAGAGAGAGAGAGAGAGAGAGAGAGAACCTGGGATGTTGTTCTCCTGGCAGAGCGTGATGGCGGTCATGTCCATGACAGAGAGATCCCTTGAGATGACTTCCTGGTAGCTGACAGTGTCAAGGAGGTGGGCATCCGAATTGCTCCTCGGGTCGTCGCTGTAGACCCCGTCCACATTCGTCGCCTTCAGAACCACCTCGGCGTTGACTGAAGATTCAGACGGCAGTGCCATTAGAACCCATCAGGCGCCAGGGTTAATCCACGCCATCTGATCAACCCAATTCGGGGAGATAAACAAGCTCACAGTTTTATACGACCCATTGAAGATGGGCAGAGCATCAAAGAAGAAATCTTGCTAAAGAGCAGATATTTTTAGATGGAGTAGAGAGAGAAAGAAGAAATCTTGCCAAAGACAACAGTTTGGGTCTTGACTCGCTCATTTATGCCCACAGTAATGGGTAAGAGAATGAAAGAAAAAATATTGCTTGGGATCTTTCCCCAATTGACCCACAATTTGACAGATAAATAAACGGATTTTTTTATATATATTTCGCGTTATTTATTTTCAGAAAAGAATGAATGAAGAAATCTGGCCGTGGATTACGATTAGGGTTTTAGACTCACTTTCGGCACACCGGAGTGCTGCAGCAGTGTCGGTGGTGAAGAAGGGGTTGCCGGTGCCAGCGGCGAAGATCACCACTCGGCCCTTCTCTAAATGCCTGACTGCTCTTCTTCGTATGTATGGCTCTGCGACTTCTGACATTCTAAAGGCAGTCTGCACGCGAGTGGGGATGCCAATGCTCTCCATGGTTGCTTGTAGGAATATTGCATTCATGACCGTCGCTAGCATGCTGAATCAATCAAAGAGAAAAATAACGACTATAATAATAAGAATAGCTATGATATGTTAATAATTACCACCTTGGGAACAAAAATTCAGTTAAAAAATTGTTCTCCTAGCTTGGATCCGCATTGTTAGTATGCTTTGAAAAGTAGGAACCAAGAAGAATAGGAGAGAAAAATAATTCATCTGAGAAATTCTCCAATAAAATATTGCTATGGCATAAAACTTGCAACATTGAATATGGGTATATAACTCCTCATAAGTATCATGGTATAAGGTTTTGAGAGAGATCTCTGCATTTCTTCTGAGCCCATCAGCTGAGCAGCCCTGATATTTATGTGCTGAAATAAATTGCCCAGAGTAATGTCCTAACCTAGCCAAAGATGTTCATCAGCATCTCACAATGGTAGCAAAAAGATGGTCACTGCAGTCCAAACAAAGCTTCTCCGTTTATGGAATTTTATCCCAATATGGTTCAAACACTTTGAATTTTCTAAGAGTAGTCCGAATTGGACATTAATGAAATAAAAATGATCTAAAATTTATACCCAATGTAGTCAGCAGACGAACGGTCAAGCCCGCTGCAGCCAGCCCAAGAGGATCCTCGGAAAATATTCCCCCCACCAACGACTATGGCCACCTGCAAAAAGAGGCCTCTGTGAGCATCAAGAAGCAGGATTCCATCTGTGCCTTCTCGTGGGCAAACAGACCTCCACACCAAGCCGGGTCACAGAGGCAACCTCTCTTGCGATAGCCATGGTGATCTGCAAGGTAGAGGGAGCATGAAATCCACGCACATTTGTAAGGAAGAACCAAATAAGCCTCGAAATTCATCATGCAGCAGGTAAACCTTGATTAAGTCTTTCGAAATTTATGTATAGGCAGGGAAAATATATAAGTAGATAACATATTGGCGTTGATATACTTCCTGAATGCAGAGAATCGCAGTATGGGATGCAAAGTCATAGATGCGAGCATGAAAAGGGATTAAAGAAAAATTATTTACATCCCGAAATCGAGATCCTGGTAGAGTCGCTGATGCAAGTCTTCCACTTACAGACCTTTGGATCTATGTTTTCTTTATGGTCCCCAGCGAGCGCTTCACCGCTCACTTTCAACAGAACTCTCTGCCATTTGTACGGCTGCTTGGGGACGGCTGGCTCCTCGGTGATCATGCTGAATGGTGTCGTCTTCGCTGCTTGGGATCTGAGAAATGCAATAAACAGATGCATGAGCGGTGCAAAGTTTCCACTAAACTAAAATCGTCTGGGTTTAGGAGGAAAAAAATGGTATCAAAACTTAGTGTGTAATTCAATAACCATAAGTACAAACTGGTTGCAGATGGAAATTAAATAATCATTTATTGGAAATAAGGGATAAATGGAAGGCTCAAAATGAAAAATTTGAAGGAATAGAACGACTCTCTGCACAGTAAACAACGGAGAACAAGAAGCTGTTTGGGATATCGAGCAGAATAATCTCGCTTGAGATACGAGCAAAAAATGGGGGGAAATGGATGAAAGAGGATGAATTATTACGTGATCTCAGAAGAACTATGAGGACGATGACCGTGCAATGCATAACCACTTCACGAGTCTGAGGAAAAGAGGGAGGCCATTGAATCTAAAAAAAGGGCGTTCGATATGGAAGTATCGTCGTCGAACAGGGGAACATTATTGTAGATCCGTCTGTATCCTCTTGTTCCCGGGGAATTTTCAAAGCTGAGGTAGGATGAAAAAGAAATAGAAATACACTTCCGAAGAACATACCTCATATTCGAGGAATCGGAAAGGGGCCCCGTGTGGGGGAAGGAGGAGGCGCAGTTCGCGACCACCGAACGAGGAGGGGGAGACGCGGCCTGAGCGGCCATTGATACCTGGTTTGGTCGTCTAAAGGCCTTCCACAGAGACGTGGATGAGGGAGAGAGAGAGGAAGGATGGGAAGGCGCGAGGCTAGCGTGGGCGCGGAGAGACAGCGGCGAGTGAACTCCCGAAGCGACCGCCATTTTCGCGCCGCTGAGGTGCTGAGGAAACGATGAGAGAGAGAGAGAGAGAGAGGGCGGAGGGTTCTGGGGGTTATCGAGTTTTCTGGGAGATATTATTCTCAGCCGAAAGTTTCTACCTTTAACTTTAGGCCTAACTTATTTTCATATTTACCTTTTTACTGTAAGAAGTAATATTATTACAATAATAACCTTTAGACAAAATTTTGATGCTTTTTCGAAACCAATTATGACACGAATAATTAAAGCCATACAGGCATCCGGGTTTTTATATAAAATACCTATTGAGACATTTATTGCCTCTAGGAATTTTATATAAATATAATAGATACCTCAATAAAGATAATAAATCCCTCAGTAAATATACATAAATGCCAACTTGATTGAACATTGTCTACGAACCATATGATCAGGAAATTCCAATGTTTAAAAAATTGGCGCTTTAAAAAAGGCATAAAAATTATTATTATATTACATATTTTTAGAATTATTGGAATCTTGTATACTTTTATATGATTAAAATTATTATTTTATTTTTTATATGCTTTTACATAACATTCTCAATGAAAAATAATCAATATGCATTTGTCCAAAATTATGAGATGTGAATATATATTTAACAGTAATAAGCTAATTTAATGTTGCATGATTTTGATATTTAATAATATCCTAATCATGCCACGAAAGTGCTAGTAATTTCTAGATCTGAGTAGATCTACTAGATCATTTGATGGCCGCATGTGCAGGAAAAAGATGAAAATATGTATTATTATAATGATTAGGGTTTGAAAATATTTTATTTAATAAACGAGGGTTTTTAGAAAATCTTCCTTGGAGAAAAACCTTCTCGAACTGAATAATGAGCCCTCAACTGAAACCCAGTTGGCGTCCCAAGCCCAAAGTCAATAGTGGGCCGTTTTAGATATTTACGATCTTGCTGCCACATCAGCATAAGGCATCATCGGATGGAAATATCCTGTAGTGCCGACCCCACCATGCTTGCAGATTTATATATATATACCGCGAGGGTGACCTGCCGCCTCACTGGTCGCTGGTCTTTGAGGCGGGAGACGAAGGAAGTCGCCGCTCGGCAGCTAGGGTATCCTCCAAGAAAATCGGGAAGCATGTATGATCCCGCAGTCTTTGTTTTATGGTTCCGAATGGTGTTAGTTGCGCAGTCATCGCGAGGTCTGCTCCACGGTCTAGATCTACGCGGATCGCTTCTTCTTCGTTGGCATGTTCTTGTTTGTCGTAATGTGAAATGTTCATCATCCATCTGGCTGTCTGGGAGAGAAGCAGTATTGGAGCGGTGACCGTGTGGATTTTTTTTTCGATGTTGAAGGTAGATGAACTTGTGGAGCCTTCGGATTGAGTTGATATTTTGGGTAACTTTTGTGCCAAAATATGTTCGGTAGCGAATCTGGTTCCTCTCTCGTTGCGCTGATCTCTTTCTGCTTTATTCTTCGCGCAGGATCGTCATTTACTAGTTGAAATAAATTTTAGACTTTGTGTCGGATGGCGGGCATTATTTTCTTGAAAGTTTTGTCACCTCGTGAGCGGTATGATTTTTAGGTTGAAAATTTTTAAGGAGACTTGAAATGGAAGCGTTCTTTTTCTTCTCGAGATTGATATGCTATTTGCATGACTTCGTCTATCAAAGATAGTTCTTGTTGGATGTGATATAAATGTTGTTTTCTTGTTCGGTTTGTCCTGATTCTTTTTGAAATCAGGAGGGAAAAAGGAGAAGGTTGGTTTGCATTTCTATACTGATTATCTCATAAAACTCTCTCGAAGCTTATTTGTATTTGCCATCTGTATTAAAAAGACGATTCACTTACACATCGTTATGCTCGTGGAACATTATTTCTTGTCTGATTAATTCATACTCATTCTACCAACTCGAAGAATCTTCTGTCTTTTGTTCCACATAGAGTTTTCTTTTGTTCTGTAGATTTCACTCCGACCCAAAAACTTGGTTGTTTAGACGGGCAAGGCGTGTAAGTCAATGACCTGATGCATTACTAGGGAACAAAGGATGGTACTTCTGGAAATATTAGTTTCCTCAAGATTTTAATGTAAATTAGTATTTAAGGCAATGTTCCCTGAAAATGGTTTTAATGTTGTAATATTTATGAACCATTCGGTCACGGTATGTTTATCGAAGATAAATCATTATAAAATGATTTATCAGTTTCATATATATCAACTTTCTTATTCTCATAACTAGCTTTAACCATATATTTCGTGATTCTTTTACAAACGGAAAAAAACACTTTTATGCATAACCCTAATTCGTATTTTTTTAGGCTGATAGATGTTGATAAGATTAGCTTTGGGAGTTGAGTTGTTCGCATTAGCCAACTGAACTAAAAAAATGCGAGAAGGCATTTTACCGTTCAATTCATTACCATTGGTATCCTTTTATTAGTATGGAGCGTTTGATGACTATGAACACACTTGGAGAATGTATTATTAATATTGGTATAAGAACATGCACTTTTATTGAATATGTTATCTGACATGATGGTTAAGTGATAAGCACAGTTGTTGAGGCACTAAGTTCTCCGAGATTTTAAGGATTGCTTACATTGGTGTTCGAATGCCTTGCCCTCCCTCTACACTTTATTGCCTGGGTGATGTTTTGAAAATATGCCCCTACAAGCAATTCCCTGAAGTTTTCTAAGGGATTGAGATTGGGTGCTTTTGATCTGTTTTTCATCGAGTTCTTCTGGAACTGGTGATTTTTGATAGGCCTTGCTCTGGACTTAAGGTGGCATTTTTCTTTTAGAGGGATATTTACCGTTTCCTTGATTTCAGTAATGTTGCAATTGTTTTATGCGCACATGCACTTCTTCAGCTTTGTGTTGTTTCTTTTGAGGTGATATTATCTTTGTGCCCAAGTTTTCATGTTAGTTCTTATTTCATGAGAAAAATCCGCATATAGTTTTACTGACTCTTTTATCTAAATTTTAGTTACCTAACTGGGGCATTCATTTTAATTTGTTCCATTCATTCAGATGGCGGATTTGGATGAGTACCGCTGTTTTATTGGTGGTCTCTCATGGTCAACTACTGACAGAGGCCTAAAAGATGCTTTTGAAAAGTTTGGCAACGTTACCGAGGCTAAGGTAACTTGTGGTGGCATGTTATGACCTTCTCTCTCTCTCTCTCTCTCTTGATAGTTGCATTATTCGTTTAACTAATAGAGTTTATGTATGTGCATGACTACTAAATTTTCTCCATTCAATGCTTATTTTGTTGGACTCAATTCTATTCAGTACCAAAAACATTACTTCATATTTAATGAATTCCCTTCTCTATCTGTCTGTATTTCCTGCGAATGACCTTCCTGTTTGAATTCCGTACATGGATGTGGTAGGACAAGTGATTGCCATACACATATTTCTTCTCTCTGCCATGTGTAACGCCATGAACTGGCAACATGATGTTTTTTTTTCTTCAGTGAAATTATTTTCGTATGTATATTTTGTTTTTTGGGACCTTGGAAGAAGGGATAATATTTAACATCATCCAAGATCTACCATTATCAATTCAGGGCCTGGGAACTTATTGCTTTTTATTTTATCAGTTATCTATGAGAGCATAACCCACCCTGATCTAATAGCCCTTTTTTAATTTATCTTAATGGTAATTTTTCTTGATGGAATATTCGGCGGCCACAGGTGGTCATGGATAGGTTTTCCGGCCGTTCTCGCGGATTTGGCTTTGTCACTTTTGACGACCGGAAAGCTATGGAAGAGGCAATTGAAGAGATGAACGGCATGGATCTGGATGGCCGTTCAATTACCGTGAACAAAGCCCAGCCCCTGGCTCCCAGGGATCACCGTGATCGGGACCGTGATTCCGACCGTGGCGGCCGTGACCGTGACCGGGACCGTGACTATGGTGGTGGACGCACAGCCAACAACGGAGAATGCTTCAAATGTTCCAAACCGGGGCATTTCGCCAGGGAATGTCCCTCCGGCGATGGCGGGGGACGCCGAGACTATTATGGTGGGAAAGAAGACAAGTATGGTGATGGCGCCAGCGGAAACGGCCGTTTCGGTCCCGACCGCGGTGGGGATCGTTACAGCGGGCGCAGCGGATCGGGCAGCGATCGGTACAGCCGTGACCGATCTGGGCCATATGAGCGCCCCAGTGGAGGAGGGGGAGGCTACCGCTCCTGAAAGTCTTCAAACCTTCATCCCTCTGCCTTATGTGAGCCAGCTTATCAAACAATAATAATATTTATTTATTTATTTTTACCCACACATGAAACGCGGGTTTAAATTATTTTTTGATATGTGATTTTTGGGATTGCAGAGCTGGACGTGGAGTGGAGGTCCCCGTCGAAGGGAGGGAGGAGAGAGAAGACCAGATATTTTTGCTTTGTTGACTTGGTGGATTTAACTAGGCATACTACTTTACTTTTTATGGTATGGGAGATGGAGCCAATCACTTCAGCTGCACTCCTGCCTTGCTTTGCTTAATATGGAACCAACCGGGGTTTGGATGGTCGATTCAGGAAAGTCCCTGTAGAATCTCTTCTGCCTTCTTGGTCGCTCACTTCTTATCAGTCGAAATGGGCGATCTTTTGTCTTCCTCGCGGATTTCCAGGCGCAGGTAGTGTGAGATGATGATGACGATGATGATGATGATGATGATGATGATTCCTGTTCTAGTTTCTATAGTTGACCCCTGTGAAGCTATCTTCCTTCCTTCCTTTTGGGTCCCCACAGATCTCCACTCTCTCTCCTCTCTCTCTCCTCTCTCTACATCTCTCTGATTGTTGCCCCATTCTGTCTCCCTGGGATAGATATATACAGACAGTTTAAACTGGATCTAGTTTGAATCAAGTCTGGTTGAGGGTCACTCATTTATGTGAGATATATGTATGTATCGAGAGAGAGAGAGAGAGAGAGAGAGAGAGAGAGAGAGAGAGTGGTCTGATTGTTGTTCCATTCTCTCCTCTGGTAGATGCAGACAGACAGTTTAAGCTGGATCTACATTCAAATGAGTCTAGTTGAGGATCACTCATTTTTACCTGAGATATATATAAATATAGATTCATAGATAGAGAGAGAGAGAGAGAGATAAAGTCTCTCCATCTTTCTGATTGTTGCTCCATTTTCTCTCCCCGGGTAGATGCGTACAGACAGTTTAAGCTGGATCTACATCCAGTTGAGTATAGACGAGGGTCCCTCCACATTGATGGGTAAGACAGAGAGAGAGAGAGAGAGAGAGAGAGAGGGCGGGAAGATGTTGCTCTTTTTAAAATACGAAAATAGGGAAACAACCGGAAATATAAAATTATTCTTCTGCTAGAGAGAAGATGTTGGGCCGGTAGGAACCTGATGATCTAAGCTTTCCCTATTATTGGGCCGGCTCGGTAGACACCCTTTCGGCCACTCTTCGTTCTCGTTCTCGGGGGTCGGTTTTCTCTCCCCCATTTCTCCCCTTCTCACCTCCATCAGAAAGCGGGAGAAGAGGGACGGTGAAGATGCTGCGATCGTTGTCGTCCTCGGGGGTTCGGAGGCTCCTCTCGCTACGGAGAGCGAGTCCGTCCTCGCTTTCTAGCTTCTTCCCCGTCGGTTACAGCGCCGATGATCTTCTCCAGAAGTCCTTTCCGCCAACCGCCGCCGGAGGCTGCGTTTCCGGTGATTGCGTCTCTTCCTGAATTTCTTCCTTCAGCTCCATGCGCACTGTCTTATTTCTTTCTTTTTTGAGAGAATTATACCGCTGTGTTTCGTTCTACAAAAATGCGGAGTAGATGATTTATTTATTTATTTCTCTTCTCAGTCGTGATGTCGTCATAGCTTTCGATCACCCCGTCTTGCTCAGAGATTTGTGTCGACGTCTGCATCTGAGGGTTTGTTTACTTCCGATCTTCTGTATGAGACTGTGTTTTTCCCTGTAAACAGTGAATTAGTTTAGACGCGTATCCGATGGGCGTAGTTTCTGCTGGCCTGAGCTTTCCGACTTTCTTTTTTGTCGTACAGTGTTTGTATGCTTTCTTCCTTTGTTGTGGATGCTTGATTTAAATTTATAAAAGTTGTAAAATGCTAGGGACGACTTCATACATGTTGAATCCATGTTATATTTATATTTGAATTTTTCGGGGGTAATCATCTTATTATTATCAAGGTGGAACCTCTCAATGCGGATAAACATTTACGTTGGGTAACAGCTTTATGTTGGATGCCAAGTTTATCTTGCCTATAATTTGAACATTGAGGTTTTCATTCTTTTTCTAGTTATAGGATTAGCTAATATGTCTTTGGTTTCCATATTTATTCTTGAAATTTAACGTGCCCACATTTTATTGTATGAAACCTTCAACTTGATTCCCTTTCCCTCATTTTAGTGTAGTAAATATTCTACCAAATTTAATAAATTTCGATTTTTTCTTCAAAATGAGATGTATTTCGTGTTGTTGAACACATTCGTTCCGGATGGAACTGTTGAATGTTGGAAAAAAGGATTCTTATCTGATTGATTTAAGCCGCCGAAGTGTTTTGTGATGGTGAGCAAGAAACTGGCTGCTTCTGACTGTGAAGTTTTAGCGTCCCAATAGTTGAAACCTAAAATGTATCTTTAGAACTTATGTGTTTATCAAGGGAAAAAAAAGGCTTAAGAAATTGCGCGCTCATATTATTACCGTGAGACCAAGCTAGACCTCCACGCTACTGGAACAGTAGACACTTATTTAAGCCGCCTAAAAGCAGCAGTAGATCGAGGCATTGACCCTGTGAAACGAGCCTTGAATTTTGACGGGGACAATGAAAATCCACCTGATCGCTTCTCCATGAAGATATCTACCTTTTGAAACTCTAGTGTGGTCGTGATGACTATAGGAATTTGCATCTGGTTGCCTCTAGAGAGGAAGCTAGTGCAGATTTGTACCTTTTTCCGGTGCTTAGTCCTTTGTCTTTAAACTTATTATTTCTTTAACTATTTTCAATCCCAGTGATGAGCCGTATTCATTTATTTTAGCTCTTTCAAAAAGATGAGAAGCATTTGACTGTGACATGATGTTACTTCTTCGTATAGTGTTGCATTATGGTTGGAGTGATCTTTTTTCCTTCCTTAAATGATCCCAAACAATGATTGTATGAGTTTCCATGCCACATGTGTTTGACGATCCAAATATCCTGGGATTAGTTTTTATGGCTATTACATGTCATTTGGATGAGGTGTTATGGTCATTTTGACGGTTTTAGCCAAATAACCGAAGTAGGACAGGAATGCCTGGTGACAAGAAGGGGGCTCAGGAGATCATGTATTGAGTTGTAAATAAACATGATTTGCGGTTTACTGGGATATTTGCAGAAAGTGGCATTTCTTTTTTTAACCTAACTATTCATTCGATGATGTCATTTGTTACCTTTTATCTGATTACTGTTTCGGTACACAATTATGCCTTCAATCCTGCAATGCCGTGAAGTGGGTAAAGATTATTCTTCCTTGTCGTAGGAAGTAAATATAACTTTTTCATGTGGGCAGTGTGATTGAGGGGTTTCATGGTTTTTCTTATTTTTGAGTTTTTCGTTCATAGATGATTAGTTTGCTTTGTCAATGAAACCTTAAAAAATATCCTATCTTCCTTTTGCATATTAACTTAGCATTAGATTTAGTATCTCTAATACGAGAGATTTAATCATAGAGAAGGATTTGTGTCATTTGATGAACTCACTGTAATCCCAACTATTTAGAGGGGATGCTTGAAATTATGAATGGCTTGGCTTTATCGATTAGAATATGGTTGACAAAGCGAGCTAGATGTTAACCTATTGATGTGCTTCTGAGGCTTAGACAATGAGGTGCATAGTTGTATGTAATATACATCCCCCTATCCCAAAAAATATTTATAGGCTGATCATGACAGGTGGGGCAGAATTCTTGATGGTGGTAGGTGCCTTTTGTCTGTGGGACAAATGGCTTGGGCATTCAGTGGGGCAGCCAAAAAATATGCCAAATTATGCTGCATGTTATTATGCCTATGGCGATAATGGTGTGACAGCTTTAAATGGACCCTGACTTAGCATCTAGCAAATGTACTGAGTGTCATCTGATGTTGATAGGGGAGGGAGCGATAAAATCTTACACAGACCATCTACTAGGCATACACCAAACATAAAATAGTGGGTGTGGTTGGACACAAAGTTTTCTTTGGTCATAAATAGGTCCATAACCCAATAGACAGTTCAAGTAAATAACTCAGTTTAGTCTTCAATGCTATAACCATTTAAGAAGATTGTACTTGTTTCGTTTTCCCCAAAAAACGAAAGAAAGAGGAGATGTAAAAAGTTAAGCGTGTATATCTTTTTAATTATGCAAAAAGTTCGAGTTGTGTTATATAAACGGTTGATCCAAATATCGACTGCTAGATCAAATGTCAAAGCATGTCAAGCGTATCTGACCCAATTTTTTAAGGTCAATTTTCTAGCCTTTTCAGTTTATCACGTCGTAGTGCATTGACACATCAGGCATCAGGCAAGTTATCAAGTTTGTTTGGGGTTGTACAGCCTCATTAAGGTTAAGATTTTGGTGTAGGATCTCACGTGGGTGTTCTCCTATTTATGATGATCTAAATTATATGCTGTATATTTTAGAAAGTATATGAAGCACTGATTTTATTTCTCTTGTTTGTCAAATGCGGATTCTCACAGGAGATATCATAGAATTCTCTCCATAAAATAGGTCTCATGTGCCATCCTCTTTGGGGAAATATGGCCATTGTGGCATCCACGATGACCACCCAAAAGGAATCATTATGTACAGTGGCCTATTTTACATGATATTCTTTGGGACACTATGAAAAAGGAGAGGAACAATTGGATATTCAAGAACAAGGTCGAGATTGTGATGACTAATGTGTGCAATAGAGTAAGATTGGCACCTGGAACTTCTTGTAAATTCCCAATCGTTTTTGCAGTTCGTGTTTAACATACCCTTCATCACCTTGAGGTTTTATATAGAACTATTGTGTAGAGGATTTTTTGGGTATGGTGTGATAATATGGGATCATCCTTTTTCTCTTTGTATGATAACGTATATATTTTCAAAAAAATAATTAAGAAATTAAAGATCGCTTATCAAAGAGGATATGTCTTGTTTGCCCCTCGAAGGGCAGGTGAATCACATTATATTGGCACGAGTCGCCGTTCCTGCGGCAGTGTTGTTGACTTGTTAGTGACTAGTAGGAGACAATAATGTGGCACATTGTGGCGGTTGCTGGTTTACTATGGAGAATTCGCTTCTTGGGCTCCAAAGCAATTTCTGTTTTACACATTCAGATTTCGAATAAGAGACGTGTATGTGTGGATGATCTTTTTGTTGATAAAGAACACAGCTCAAAATCAATGTGAAATGCTAAGGATTTTTCACAGGAGTTAAAAGATTTCGATGTTTTTTTTTTACTTGCTTTGTAGTCTCTTTCTCCTACATGATCACTGAGAACAGTGAACAAGATTCTTTCTGATGAATGTTCAATCAGCCCAATTGTTCATCTTCAGCCTCCTCTCCCGTTGACCCGCATCTTCTCTCTCCTAATCCAAGGTATCCCCCGCCCCCCCCCCCCCCCGTATTCTGCCTCCCATCACCATGAAGCTGTTGATCCTCGTTCATGAATGTGGGATGCAACTGAATGGACTTCCAGAACTGTTCTTCATTTTCTTCACTGGCCTAGGTTAATTTCACAAGCCCATGTATTAAAAACTGAGAACAGATCTTGGTTTTGACTTTTTTTCCCTTCCTTTTCTATTGTATTTCTCTTTTCCTTTTCAGTATTCATGTTTTTTTTTGGCGCCCATAGCCCTCGGTTTTGTGCACCTTTAATGGAATATGGTGTTTGATTTGCTGCATAATTACTGATACTATTTTCATTGATTATTTCCACTAATGCTTGCAATCTGCTGACAGACTTGAGCTCCTGGCCTCGGCTTAAACTGGGCTTCAATCGCTCATTCAGCTCAGACTTGAGCCCACTGCCGGCCATCTCAGATCCTGATGTGGAAGGTGCATTCAGGGATCTAATGGCGGCAAGTTGGGATGAAATCCCAGAAAGTGTCGTGTTGGATGTCAAGAACGCACTGTCCAAAGCCTCTGCAGACGAAGCCGGCCAGGCAACGTTGACCAATGTCTTCCGTGCCGCCGAGGCGTCTACGGAGTTCGGCGCAGTTCTAGTTCAGCTTAGGATGGCTCTTGATGACACAAATGGATTAGTCGGTGAGGTATAAAGTGACCATCTATTCCCAGCTTCAGTTCCCTTTTCTGGTTGTTAAGTTTCTCTCTCTCTCGCTCTTCAGAATGCCCAAACAGTGCCTGATGCACTGCTTGATGCACTGGCTGCTGCGTATAAACGCTACATGGTGTATCTGGATGCATTTGGCCCTGAGGAGACCTACCTGAGGAAGAAGGTTGAGATCGAGCTGGGAACGAAGATGGTGCATCTGAAGATGAGATGCAGCGGCTTGGGCGCCGAGTGGGGGAAGGTAAGATCACTGAACAAGTTCATGCTGTTTACAAATCAGTTTATTAAATTATATTTTACTGTTTTGGAGGAGTTTTCTAGGTTAGAGTAATCTTCTGTTGTTTATTAATCAGTATATTTTTTGTATTTTTATTTTTTATCTTGGGTTTTATTTTTCGGAATTTCTCCCAAGGTAGATGAAATAAGGCCTAGGAAAACAATTATCCACGTAGGAAAAATCAGTTATTTTTTAGTTATGACGATGGAAAATACCTTAGACCAATTTGAGCTACTACTACTACTGTTATAATAATAATAATAATAATAATAATAATAATTATTATTATTATTATTATCTTCTGCTTCGTTTTTTTTTTTTTTTTGCTTTCTTCAAATAGCTGTCTCCTTTCAGGATCTTGTTCTTATTGAAAGCTGAATTTTTCAGAAAAAAATGTGTTTGATCTTGCATCAGTTGATTTTTCAAATATATTTTTCAAGTTTAAATTTAAATATTTCTGGATATTTAGAGGCTACGTTTTTCCAGAATATATGCCAGAGTTGACTACTTTCTGTTTTAATATTTTGACCCAAATAGCTGGGGTCATGCTGCCCAATTTGTTTGCCCTCAAATGGCATAAATGGACACGAACCCATGCCAAAGCAGTTGACTTTTGGATAAGATATTTCTATAAATGCCCAAAAAATGCAGCTAGTCTGTTGAAATTATAGTTTGATTGTATGCCGAGTCTAGAATCATCCGACTCCGGTGGCAGGTTTCGGTTCTTGGCACCAGCGGCCTCTCCGGCTCCTACGTGGAACACCGTGCTCGGTGATGACGTCATCCCGGCGACGTCGCCGTCAGGATCTTTTACCGTTTCTGGAACTGAACTGTCTCCCTCCACTCTTCTGCTCCCCATAGTTTCCTTTTTTGTCCACCTGGTTCCTCTGTCTACAATAAGCCGCCCCTCTCTCTCTCTCTCTCTCTCTCTCTCTCTCTTCAGACCAGCTACTTGTGTAATATTCGGCTTGTCTGATCCTGGCCGGAGAGACCAGTCTTTTCCTTGTCTAGCTACACTACAGGCCATTGTTCTCCAACCGGGCCGGGCTTTCGGCCCATTATTCACAGAGAGAGAGAGAGAGAGAGAGACCTTATGGCTTCTGGGCACGTGGCGCCGCCATTCGGGAAGTGATTATTTATGAATATTATTGCTTTGGGTTGACCTCTGGCTAAAAGACAGAAGGTCGGTTCTATGGGGCGCATGTAGACGTGCGTGCATGGGGTGCTCCCGAGGGAGTTGGCGCAAGTTTCAACGTCCCGGATTGGATCCGGCGCGATCGGACGGATCAGAATAGGCCACCGTCACGTCAATGGGGGTACGGTCGCGGGGCCATACGTCCGAACCCATACCCAAATAAGCCTACAAAGATCTTCCCCCCCGATGAGACGTCCAGCTCAGCTGGAAGAGACAAGGTAGGCGTCCTACGTGGCGGGGTTCGATTGGCGAACGCATAACCTTGCAGGTCTCTCCTTGGCGTCTGTGAATCGGGGAACAGTGAGTGGCCTCACTGTGGCGAGAGGGGTACTCTGGAGGCAGCAGGAGCTCGTAGCTCCATATGAGCCAGAGAGAGAAGAAGAAGAATGGGCCTGTAGCGAGTGAGCTCGTTGGAATTTTCTGGCTCTGAGGATAAGAGAGCTATCCCAAGAGCTCCATCTCTTTCTTCCTGCTTTCCCGCATACTGTTATCACATTAGCCGTCTAGAGAGAGAGAGAGAGAGAGAGAGAGAGAGAAAAAGGAATGGACATGTAGCGAGCGAGCTCGTTGGAATTTTCTGGGCGCTGGGGCTCGGAGACTAAGAGAGCTATCCCAAGAGCTCCATCTCTTTCCAGCTGCTTTCCCCCATACTGTTACCACATTGGCGGTCTAGAGAGAGAAAGAGAGTTTGGAGAAGAAGAAGGGGGTGGGCATGGAACAAATATGTTCTTTCCAAGTTTTTGGGCTCTGGGGTCTCCAAGAATCAGAGAACTATACCGAGATCTCCATCATCTCTTTCTCGCGACTTTCCTTCAGGTTGCTACAACAGTCGCCGTTTAGATAGAGAGAGGGAAGAGAGAGAGAGAGAGAAAGAGGACAAAAAACGGACCTTCCGTGGCCTTGTCTATCATCGGCGGCATAGTCAAGGTGCTTGTTGGCTTCGCAAGCCGACGACGTTGTGCTGCCTTGAAGGGCCAGAAGGAGGCAAGGGCATGGCTTTTGGCAGGAACCCCATGAACACCTCCGAATTCCTCGTCCTCGCCGGCGCCACCTGCAGCGACTGCGAGTTCCTCGAGCCATGGCAGCGACAGACCAGCAAGACCAGCAGCAACACAAGAGTCGACCCCCTCTCCACCTGACCCATTTAAGCTTTAGAGAAAGAGAGATAGAGAGAGAGAGATAGCTTTAGACGCACAGAGAGAGGGAGGGAGGGATAGCGACTAGGAAGAAGGCAGGTTGGGGAGAATGGGTCAGCAGTTTACAAGACGGGTCAGAGAATATATTTATACGTATATATTATATTTTAATCAATAATATAAGGTGGAGGAGGTGGAGACTCTCTTTCTCTCTCTCTCTCTCTCTCTCTCTCTCTCTCTCTCTCTCTCTCCATGTACGGAACCTTCTGCTGTGTGCATGCGAGGAACAAGAAGAGAATTAAACCATGGGTACCGCTTGCCTGTCTTGTGGGCAGCTGTCGCTCTCTCTCCTCGGTTTCACAGCATCCAGCCCGGGCCCGCTTGGCTGAAGCATGCTTTTGTTGGTATCCGGCCCGGCCCGACGATGGCCCTCAGCGTACCATTAACTATTATGTGATATTTTTTATTAATCAGACAATGTACCATAAAATGTAGACGTTTCGATCCGGATCAGACGGACTACATGATCCTCCAAATACTCAAAATTTATACTTCTCGGATTAAATCATGACCGTTGATCTCCAAAGATCACGGTGGACCGAGCGAGAACCTTCGATTAATTCTTACGCAACAAGCAAAAGGTGGGGGGAATGGGTTTTCCGGGCCGGGCCCATGTGGACGTCGGCAGTTAACCCAAGACCTCCCTAAGCCCGAATAAGACCCAACAAATACCGGGCCTGAATTTTCCGGGCCTAGTAGCGAACCCAAAGCCCACCGGGCCCGTCGCCGCTCTGGGTGGGCAGCGGATTAAAAAATGGGCACCCTTGGGCAACATCTTAAATGGGCCCCACTCCACTGTCCATTAAATAACACCCCGGCTCCTAGTTTAACGAACTTATTGACTTTTTGCGACTGTGGACCCCACCACACCACACTGTTCCCGTTGACCCGTACGCCGCAGGCAAAAGTGGAAACGACCAGACGGACTCTGATGCCCTCTTCCTTGACTCTGACAATAAACAATCATTCCCCCACCCAGAAAAAAAATATGACGCAGAAAATAATTTTAATTAATTCCAGAGTAGGTATCTCAAAAAATTACACGGATGCCACGTGTCCGTAGGCCCACCTCATAGGCAGGCTGAGGCGGAGTTGGGCGATGCACAAAAAAAATATGGCAGAAAATTAAAAATAAATTAATTCCAAAGTGGGTCTCTCAAAATTCCACGAATGCCACGTGTCCTTTGACCCATAAGCAGGCAGAGGCGGAGTGGGCCGATAGACGGGCCTCCCGCATTTATTTATATATATATATCTATATGTTTAAAATGTTTTGATACGGCCCAGGCCCAAATTCAGAAGAAATGGACCCAAATGGAACGAGGCCCATTATAGATAAGTACCTTCATTGGCCCTAATTCGCTTTCTAATGGGCCTAATGAAGTCATTTGGCCCAATTATGGGATTCATAATTGGGTCTGAGTGGCCAGCTACGGGTCCCTGCGGCAGCAGGCCTTTAAAGAACAGCAGGTCTTCCCCTCCACCGAGAAGTGGATGGTGCTTCCTTTGACGTGCCTCCTGGCGGAGCTCCGCCGCGACGGCGAGGAGCGCCACCAGCCGTACAGAGCCTCCGCCGCCTCCTCCGCCAGGCCGTTCCCGCTGAGGTCCACCAGCTGGAGCCGCACGGCGGCGGCGATGGCCGCAGAAAGCCGCTCCTCGTTCGTCATAGATCCCCCGGCGAGGTCCTCCGGTCGGTCATCGGCGTCGTTCGGCTGCTTCTGCTGCTGCTGCTCGCAGGGAGAAGGTGCTCCGGCGGTGGCGTCGACGTTCTCGGCGAGGTAGAGCTCCTCTATGGATTCGTTCTCTGAGATTGTGCAGGGAGGGAGGATCTCTGATTCGAAAACAGAATTGGAAAAACCGAAGGAGGGTAGAAGAACTTGAGGTTCCTCACCTGAGGCCGATTCGAGAATGTGGACGATCCCGGAGAACCCTAGGCGGCACCTGTCAAGGTTGAGGACTCGGATGCAACACCGGGAATCCGCGAGCAGTTGACCTAACGCGCCGCAGCCCTGATTTCGCAGCCGGCAGAGTTGGATTTAGAAATCTAGGAACTCCAGAGTGAAGAAGATGACGATCCAGGACAATGATTTCCCAATAATACCATGGATCAATCTGCCTGTTTCGGAAAAGCTGAATCACGAGTTCGAGGCATCACCCTCAGAAGGAAGATGGAGAAATACCTCTCTTCCGAAGGAGTTTCCACCCAGGTTTAGATCGGTGACGCAACCCACAATGGAACTGTTCGTGCATATCTTTGCGAGACCCTGAGTATCCAACCCACAAAATGAGAGATCAAGCTTCACCAATTCTCCAGATCCCACGGACAACGCATCAACCAACTGGATCGCTCTGGCCTACAAGATTTGAAGCCGATCAGAAAACACTTGTTCTATATATATGCGAAAAGACGAAGCAGATTATCGAAGGCATCTATCTGCTCACCGATCCGATGCTCGATCCCCCAAGATTCAGAACTGAGAGATTGGATGATCGAGCCAGCTGGTAGAGGCCGTCCACCATGGGCTTGTTTAGCTTTATCCCTCTCATGCTCAGTTCAGAAAATCTGAGAACAGTTACAACTGAATTGAGAGAGAGAGGAGTTCAAACTGCAATGCCGATCCCGATTTCGCTCACCTCTTCAAGGTGGAGAGTCTACTCAGCAGATTGACTGCGGCAGTTCCTGAAACAGGGCTGTTTCTCCCTGTGGGATTGGGTCAACCAAAGGGAGGGGGGCTAAGATGAGAGAGAACCCAGGGAAGAAATCTGACCCAGAGAAACTGGTACTGGATTACCTATAAAGAGCTGAGAAAGAGGAGACCCATCAGGCAATGCATCGGCAATCTTCTGGATTGTTCTGGATGTAATGCAGGTTTGCTCCAGGTTTAAACTATATAGTGCTTCAGAAAATTTAAGATTTATGTCAGAAGAAACTGCAGTTGACCAGCATGGGTTATATCAATAAAGCGGATGACAGAGAGGCCACATACATCTGCAGCTGACCAGTATGGCTGAAAGATAAGAACCGCATGCATCAGTGAGTCGGTTTTCAGAAAGATTGAGGACCTCCAATCGCGATAATAACACGGCGCATTCACAGATCTGTTGACCAGTGCAGGAATTTGGTCAACCATGTTAGTCTAAAAAAAACAATTAAAAAATAAAAAATACCCATTTCAAAATAAATGTAATTATTAGATTTCTGAACGCAGGCAGCAGAGCAGATGGAGGCCAAGAACCTGGAACAGAGCAGTAGGCCCAAACTGATTGCAGTGCAGATCCAACGTCAGGCCACCATATTTCTGTCTTGAAACAGAGAATATCTGCTGGAGCTTCTCCACGGTGTTGTTTCCTGAGTGATGATGACGGCGGTGTAAAGAAGAAAACGAGATGGGATGACGCCATTTTTGTGCACAAAGATTGGATTTTTATGCATATACCTAGCAGGTTGTGGGACAGATCTAACACGGCGAGGGATTTGTGCTCCTGCAGAGCTTCTAAGAATGGAGATATTGATACGTCCTGCAGGCCACAGTCAGAGACGCTGACTTCATCTTCTGAGACCTGAAGGGAGAAACAACAGCGCAAGGTCAACGAGAGATGAGGAAGGGGTAAGGGGGTAGGGGGGTTGGTCAGAGGAGGAGACCCACCTCCAGATTATATAATTTTATAAGCAGCTTCATACTGGGTTCCTCGGATTGTTTCTTGCAGCAGTCAATGTATGATTTTAGGAGGCGCTTTGGGACCCACCCTGTGAAAAAAAAACAAAACCATTTTTTTTAGAGAGAGAGAATAAGTTTATGGAAAACAAAAAAAAAGGATTAAAATTTAGAGAGATTTAAAGGATACCAACTTCATATCTATAAAATTAGAGCAAATCAAGTACCAAAGATCGTCGGTCATCAATAAGAACAGAGGAACAGCATGACGCAGGCAAACAAGACCATTTTTTTAGAGAGAGAAAATAAGTTTATGGAAAAAAAAAGGATTAAAATTTAGAGCTATTTAAATGATACCAACTTCATATCTATAAAATTAGAGCAAATCAAGTGGCAAAGATCGCCGGTCATCAATAAGAAAGAGGAAAGCATGACGTCAGGCAAACAAGACCATTTTTTTAGAGAGAGAAAAAAAGCTCATGGAAAACAAAAAAAGGGATTAAAAGTAAGAGAGATTCAAATGATACCAACTTCATATCTACAAAATTAGAGCAAATAAAGCGGCAAAAATCACGGGTATCAATAAGACAAAAATCATTATTCACTCCAGAAATGCCTCATTTTTATATGACTACTATGCCTTGACAGACAATAAAGTATCTAAAATCATGACAAAAAAAATCTCCAGTTTAGTAAACTAGCAAAGTATCCTGATTATTCTACTCCATAATTTTAGTTGATACATAGAAATATTGTTATGATAAAATCTAGAGCATGCAAATTCGTAGAATGCAGCTTGTGGTCAAACCTTACCCTCGATAGCACCTTCACCCTGATCCCTGTCAAAAACGTGATCTCTGATCTCATCTACTGACTCAGCCATCTCCAGACCTTTCCCAAAAACCTTAAGGCTACGGATAATAGGTAGCAGACCTGTCAAAGTCCGAAAAATAGGGTCAAAAGTAAAGAAACGGCATGATTTTTGAATTTTATTTTTATTTTTATTTTTTGTCTCATGGGTACACTTGAAAGCAAGGAATCATCAATTCATACCCTTTGATTTCTTTTCTTCAGGGAGCTGAAAATAGTAAAGACAGCCCACTGCAGCCTTTAGGTATTCCTCACACATCCTATCGCTCTTCATGCAAGGACAGATGTCTACACTGATGAAGTAGCCTTCTACTTTGAATGTGACAGTGTGCTGCATAAACAAGGGAGAACAGAGTTAACAGGCTAATGAATCAAGAGTATGACCTAAAATGTAGTGAAAGAAAACAGGCTAGCATCAGAAACATTGGTTTGCATGCAATTTTATCACATCGGATGCCTCCTTATGTGATCAACAGATATCGGAATTCTCGCTTGGCCATGAACAAAGCATCACACAAAGGGTCTATAAAACAAAGAGTATTTTTAGTGAAGTAATATTCATATAGCCAAATCGAGAAAAACATTTCAAGAAATGACCATTTAGAATGGATGAATTCCCTGTTTACGGAAACAAAAGAAATATAACTTGAACAGAAGGTTGTCCGCTGGGGACACAAGATTAGACAACCTTTTTCATTGAATCTAGTGAGACAGATCCCAACTTGGGAATGATTGAGCTATCCAAATATGTCATAGATCTCATATCTGACGTGACTGAACACTCTTATTGTAAACATCACCAAGAAATGTTAGATTAAAATCATCGAAATTGATATATGAAATAGATAACAAATGGAGGAAAAAAAATCATGCCATCTAAGGGGACTATAATCTAATGCCCCTGAGTCCTATCCTTTTGTGCAACCGTCTTGAACATGAGTGTTTTCTATCTATTTGGACTACGACCAGTGTTCCATAAACAGGTAATATCCATCTCAAAGATAAGATTAGTATTTCTCAAAGATATATATAACAGCTTCAAGAAAATAAGGACGCAAATGTAATTAGTATCATTCTCAATTGTCCACTTTAAATAACTTACAGCATGCGCTTCCTCACAATTAGGAAGATGGAAATCTGTACCATTCCTTCTCGGTAAAAAACCACCAGAGATATGACTTTGGTCCATTTTGAACTCTCTCGTCAGACCCTTTCTTGTATAAAAATCTTCAGCAGGACTCAAAGAATAACGATCCATTTCAATCCCATTACTATGCTTCGAGCTTCTAGATTTGAAGGAAGAGGCACTTTCTTCAAGATGGACCAGGGGTACAGAGGGGATCCCTACACTCTTGGTGCCACTGGGTTGCGAGGTGTCCTGCCAATAAAATTTTGTTTACATACTGATAATTATGTTACCCCCCAAACTTTGCTAAAAGTATTACACTGAGCACTGAGCTACATAGCGATCCTTGCATAAAGAATGCCGAAGGGTATGAACGAATCCTGGTAATATTTGAGGAACCATCAGGTTAATCATTGGCGTGTAACTTACCTCTGACATATCAGTAAGTCTAGTCCGTTTGTTACTTCTATCTGTCAAAAAAAAAAAAAAAACAACAAAAAATTGCTTTCACAACTAATTGGATTTCAGGAAAGAAATATAGATCCTTTATAAAAGGAGAAATGTTCACAAGGCGCAAAACCAACCATCATTTGAAGTTGCAACTTCCTCTACAGGATCTGTGGTAGCTTGTCCCCTTAAGAAACCTGATGCATCACTCTCATCTTCATCGTCAGAAATGATGACGCGGGCACGTTTTCTAGCATGTTGCTGACTATGACTGGATTTGCTTAAATCTCTAGGAGATTCAGGGATCAGAGAACGAATGCTTCTCATACTATGAGAATCCAAAATGGAAATTTTTGCCTTCGACTGATTCTTTTTCAAAGACACAAGAGAAGCAAGAGGTCTGTCCTCACCAAAGTCATCAACATTCGCAGTTGGCAGCACCCTGCTGGTAACAGTTCCATTTTCTTCCCTTAGATGGTATGCATCTGGTGCACGACTAGATATCTCCTCTCCCTCGGTTTCAGTTTCAGAACAATACTCATTCCTGAAGTTCTTCAGCTCATCTTCATTATCTACAACTCGTCTTAATTTCTGAATGTCATCTTGTAGCTTCCTGCAGCAAAAAATGGTTCATGAGGCGAATTGATGGGCACGCGCCCCATTGTTTGAGCTAGAGATTCTCGGAGTTACCTAGCCTGTTCAACATTACTGAATCTGATCATGTGACTGTAATGCATGTTCTCAAGAGCCGATAACTGTGCAGAAGGGAAATTGCCCTCAATTGCAAGTCTGAAATTTAAGAAACAGTGAGGGATTGGCACCATAATATGAGCCAAGACGGAAAATCTCCAGTATGAGATAATTATACCCAATTTAGTGATCGTGCTGCAATGACAATAGTGAGTGGGAACAATCACCTGTAACCTTCCTCAAACGATTCCAATGCACCAGCCCAATCACCAGCAGAGTCCAAGACATTTCCTATATTTATCTTGGCCAATGCTTGCCCCTGGAAAGTGAAACATTGGAGCCCTTCACTAAAATCAGAATTTTAACATGATAAAGTCAATGCAATTAATAGTGCACTAAAACAGGCGTCTTCATAACAGTATGATAAATTAAGTCTTTATACCAAAATAATAATTTTAACATGCTTGATGTCTTGTTAGCCAAAATTTTAACCAGTCAATTGAAGAAAGGATGATGTTCTTCATAACAGTGTGATATATTAAGTATTTATTTCACGTGGGTATATTATGCTTCTAACTGCAATTCATCGTCCATGGTGATATAGAGATTTACAAGCTATTATTGAGAACAATGCTCACACAAAAACAATATACAGCATACCTCGAGGTTTCTAATCGATCTTGAAACGTTCCAGCTTTTCATGTACCATTTCCGTGCTTTGCTGAAGTTTCGGAGCTTTTGATAGGACTCTCCAATGGCCAGATATGAATCACTCAGCTTTTCGATGTCACAAAGCTCGTCAGCCACTTTTTTCTTCCTTTTAGCAAATTCTTGAAGCTAGAGAAAAAATATTGCAATAAATAATTCAAAGCATCACAAAACCACCGATTCAAATACGACTGCCGAAAGTTGAAGGTAAAGTGATTAAAGCACTTATTATTTCAGGAAAATATTAACACAAATTAAAAGTGGTCCTACTGTTGAGCAGGTAAAGTGAAAATGCTGCAAGTATTTCATTGAACATATCTATGCAGACATCAATAAAACAAAGAAGAAAAGTCGTATGCATGTGTTCAACATTTTCCAACCCTAAAAGAAAACAATTCTTCCAATGCACTGAATCAGCGCCAACTGTTTTCCGCTTGGTTACTCGACCGTGCTGATTGTATGACGAAACATGTACCTCAATAGATGAAAATTGATAACAGAGGGTCTAGGATAAAATTCTTACTTTTGACCATGCAGAAATTGAGTGGGACTTCTCAATCAGGCAGTCCAATAGTGCATACTGCTCCAATAGACACTTCCTTTCAACTCCTGTGCCACGAGCATCAGAAGTGGTCCTTGCCAATTTTCTAAGCTTCAGCTCCTCTCTCTTGACCTCCTCCAGTACCTTTTTGGCTTCTTTTGTTGTGTCAATATTCTGATTGATTACATGAACTAGAGCATCTTCATCTTGCATGGAACTTGCAATGTTTAGAGCCTTATGATAACAATGAATAGCGTCTTCGTAGTTTTGCATCTGATAATGCAGTTCACCAAGATTAATGAAACCTTTTGCTTCCCCTTCTGGGTGATCAATGTTCTTGCAAATCCTTATATCCCTTTCAATATGCTCTTTAGCTCTAGTCCATTCTCGAAGTTCCAGATAGACACTCCCAAGATTGTGATGAAGTCTGGTTCGTCCATCATCATTTTCAGAAACTTCCTCATCATCACAAATTTTTAGGCCCTGAAGAAGAATTTTCTTGGCTTCTTCCAGATTATCCAGGTCCTTTTCAAGCATCCCCAAGTTGTTGTACGCATCAATGAATTCCTTGAGGAAAAGAGAGCATTTATTATATGACTGTTTCTCCTTCAATGTTCTAGCAAGCTTCATGGCCGCCTTGAAGTACTTTTTAGCATTTTGTAAGGCATAATGATCATCTTCAGATTTTAAGAAAATCTCGTGATAAGTACGACCAAGTTGTGTACTTGCTCTCTGCTGCTCAATTAGATCCTCTGAGTCCTTGGCAAGCTGCAAATGTTTCTTCTGCGCACAAGAAGAGAGATATAAGAAAACAAGGCACAACTTGAGGGAGCATCATTAAGCACTATCGAAAGGCTCCCGCATGGCGATTGAGAAGGCAAATAAACTGATCCCAACGCCATCCCCACCTCTCCCTCTCCCCTCCCCCCCCCCCCACCGGGGATCCATACTCTCACTATAGCCCCTATGAGCGCACCCTACATATGCATCTCCCTCTACCATTTTGGCTGGGCACCTTATTGGGCGATATAAATTCCTGTACAATCTACCTGTAAAATCCGGGCTGAGCACCTGATTGAGCAATACCATAAACTTTCCCATCAATTCTTCACTAAAAATATCCTGCCCCGCGCAAATCGAAAGCCGCGGTAGCTGAAAAATGGGGGGCAACTACCTCGCAATGTACATCTGGCATCGTGACTCGTAAAAAAAAAAAAAACTCGGAGAACCCAGAAAAGAAAGAAAAAAAGGAGGAAAATGAGCACCAACACGTTTCCTACCTGATACGTGAGGGCCTCCCTAAAACGCTCGAGGCGGAAGTAGACCTCACCCAGGGACTGGCACGTTGGGAGGAGTTGCTTCTGCGGGAGGTGCTTCGTCGATAGCTCGTAGTCACGGCGGAGCCATCGGAGGGCCTCCACGTACTCCCCTCGCCTCTTCAGGATATCGCCGATCACATTCGCCCACCGAGCCTCCTCCTCGCGGTTCCCCTCCGCCTCCGCCTCCCGGAAGCCCTTCTTCGCCACCTTCAGCTCCACGTTCTCCTCCCTCCCCATCTCCAGACGCAGCGAGATGAACGGGGAGACCGCACCGCAGGGGGGAGACCAGATCCACCTTCTGTTATGAAGCTTTCCCGCTGAGAAAGGGAGCGTTTGATTTCCTGGGACAGCCCATGGCGGGAAGGATGCTTTAAAAGAGATTGACGGAATGCATTCCCAGAAAGAAATCATCTCCACTTGTGTGGCGGGAAGGAGGTTTAATAGACTGACAGAATGCATTCCCCCATAAGAAAGCACCTGCATTTGTGTGTCGAGGAGGTTTCAAAAGAGATTCACAGAATACATTCTCAGAAAGAAATCGTATCCATTTGTGTGGCGGGAAGGAGGTTTTAAGAGACTCACGGAATGCATTCCTCCAAAAGAAATCATCTGCACGTGTGGCGGGAAGGAGGTTTTAAAAGAGATTCAGAGAATGCATTCCCCGAAAGAAATCTTATACACGTGACGGGGTGAAGTTATCATCTAGCCCTCTTTCCTTTTTATTTGCATAATCATACTTATAAGGATTAGTTTCAATTTCCCGCTTTTCGGTGACAATATCTTATGGCTAATTCCCCATGATATCTTACATTTGCGTAAAACCCCCTCAAGTATTATTTTTAAGTCTAGCCGCCTCATTCTCTCATTCTCTCTCTCCCCCCCTCTCTCTATCATTTTAAACCTTTTTTAAAAGAATAAGGCCCTGACCACTAACTTCATTGATTCCAACTTTGACCGATTTAGAAGTTTGCTCAAGCTATACCCCTTCAAATTTTATATTTACGACAATGCCCTCATATATAGGGAGGGAGGAGGAGAGAGAGAGGCGAGAGAAGGGGCTAATTGAGAAAAGAAAAAAAAAAACAGCACAAGTTGTTGGCTGATAAGCCCTTGTGAGAAAGGCCGCTCATTCTCTTGGGTGAAAATTTGTATCAATTTTCTGGTAGTAATCCACAAATCATTCACAAAGTTTGGAGTTTTCCGGCATTTTACAGTGTAATAAATGAAAAGAACCAGGGAAAACACTAAAAAAATAATAAACTTACCAAAATGAGAAAAATATTTTTAGTAATGGCACATTTTATTTGTGACCAGAAATGGGTTGAATCGATAATACACCACAAAGATTGCAGAATGTACAACTCAATGAAGCTGGATCGTCACAGACTTCCCTCACCCTTGGGTCTGGGGGTCGAGCTCCCCTTGCATGCCATCAACAGACAGAGAATGATCGAGGATACAATCCCCCAGCCTTTCCCAACATCTCCAAGTGAATTACTCGGTTGATCCTCTCTGAAAATTAAAAAATAATAAATAACCTGGTGACTGAAGGTAATATTATATATATTATGTATATTAATGACTTGAATAAACGATGAAAAATGTATAAAAATTTCCTAAAATAGGAAAAATGGGGCAAAGGTGAGAAAGATTACTGGGTAAGCAGCTGCTTTCTGTGCGCCGCTCTTCTCTTTGCAGCCTCGATTGCTTGCTGCTTTTTCTTACACATGTCCTCTAGCGCTTGCTTATATTGCGACTCTATAGACTCTAACTCCAGTCGCAGTTCATGATCATTGGCATCGATATCAACATGATCTTTGTCCACATCTGTAGAAGGATCTCCAATCTGCAATCTTGATGATGGGATATTATACAGAACGTTGCGACCGTGCTCTTTGTCAACGGTGTTGACCTTGTCCATTCCCTGCTTCACCGCAGGTCCATGGCAATGATAGTCACCAGGTGAGGTGAAACCACAGCTTACTGGGCACTTGTCATCTCTCTCCGTTGACATAGTAGAAAAGAGCGAAGCCGCTGAAGCCCTTTCATCGGTGCAATTAATGCTCAGAGATTCAAAATCAAGGTGAGCAATATCGTCATGAATTCTGGTGGAAGCATCATTTCCATGGAGTTGACCAGTCGAATCGGCATGGCTGGCATTTGTCTCAAAAATATTTTGAAAAGATATCATGGAGCTGTAGGAGGATGAACACCGATGCTTTGCTTCAGCATGGCAATTCAGCCTAGCTAGCAAATGAGTGGGGACGCATGGTTTCCACCCAGGGATCAGATTTATCAGCAATGTATCGATTAATTGAGCAATGCACTTGACATCTTGGTCAACGAGTTCTATTTGGTCAACCATTTCGCTAGCAACAGAGAGAGGTGTGTCACTGTCGAGGTAAAACAAAAAGTGCACATGTCTTGGACGGCCTGCACACATGATATAGGTAAGAATCACGAATGATCAGATTTATAAATAATGAAAGATCAACAAAGTTAACGCATGCGAATAGATTACATGGGCCATGCTCGATACGAAGTAACAGCGACATAGACTTGTCATCATTCCTCTCCCCTTTTAGAATGAACCTCTTCCCATTCACTGCCTTCTTTGCCTCCATCACCGTCAAGTTGGATTCATCACCAGGATTTTTAACCAGAGTAATCAGCGGCAGCTCGGTGTTGTCAAAGTCAACGTCAAAGGATAGAGACAAATTTCGACTGCTAGCACAAGACTCATTGTTATGGGTGCAATTGTCTTCAAACGCATCCATCTTTGGTAAAGGCAGAGGGCAACTCTCCAGGGTTCCGGTCAAACCATTGAATTGGAGAAAAGGATCCTTCAATAGTTCCTTTGCTGGCAATCGTTGAGCAGCAGGGACAATGCATTTCTCTATAAATGCCTTAACCTCTGTGTCGGTCACTTTAGACAATGCCGCGGGCTTTATTCCCTAGACAACCAATGATAAAGGGAAGAATCAAGATTAATACCTGCCACCTAAACAACAGAAAGGATCCGTACTCATCAATAGTACTCACCGATGAGACTTTCTTAAAAATTTGGGCAGAATTTCTACACTCACTGTAAGGATACTCGAAGGTCACCATCTCCAATAAGCACATCCCAAATGAATATATGTCAACCAACTCATTGTAGTCTTCATCATACAGCTCCGGTGCCATGAATTCAGGAGTGCCTATATAGAGCCGACTTAAGGATTAACACGTCACACCATCAATGCCTAGTTTCAACACCAATAAACTAATCACAGCACCAAATGGTGATCATATTGGCATGAGAACATTTTTGATCGTATGGTACACATTATCTTCTAAAATCTAGGTGCAGTAGAAAAAAATGAGGCATAGAAATTCAGGGAAAGGGAATACCAATTACAGTCCGAGCATTTGTCCGTTGCATAATAGTTGCCAATCCAAGATCACCTATCTTTACTTCACCATGGTTACCATTGATGAATACATTGTCACATTTAAGGTCCCTGTGTATGATGGGTGGATCATGACAATGGAGATAAGTCAGACCCGTAAGAATCTGTCTGGCCCATCCTTTGACAGCTTTCATGTCTACTTTCTTATGTTTCTTGCGGTACCTGAGGTCCATCTAGCCAAGTTACCAGGGTTGTCTCCGAACAAGAGCAAAAGGCAAAAAAAGTATAAAACATTCAGCACGCAAGAGAGAGAAAATTACTGTCTCAAGCTGCCCGAGGTGAACAACTCGGTAATGATGTTGATAGTCTTGTTCTGCTCATCGATCCACGAAGTATAAAACTTTATTATGTTCTCGTGCTTGAGTAGTTTCAAAAGATGCACTTCAGAGTATAATCTCTCCAAGTCTTCAGGAGACTGCAAGACATCGTCTATTTTTACCAGGTTCCAGGCAACCTCTATTCCATCCAACTCATCAAACGCCTTGTAGCTGCAAAAGGTGAATAAGTTGGTAAATATGTTGGTAAATATGTGAACCATATAAAAGGAGATGGAAATAATTTCAGAACATACACAGTTTTGAAGGCGCCCTTGCCCAATATCTCTTTATACTGTTCAATAAGCAATTAAATATAATTTTAGACGAGGGGAAAAAAAAAGAAAAATCGGCGAAGACATCAGGACGGTTTTTACGCAGATATAACGCCCTGTGGGATCCACATCAAGCACGTCGCCGTCGGGTGGCTCTCCAAGCCCCGACTCCTCCTCCCCGTTGTCCGCACCTGCTCCCGGCCGTGGCATGGCGCTCGTGGTGAAAGCCGGGGTCAGAAGGAATCAGAGGGCTCGCAGGTGAGGCTCCTTGAGGAACAGGAACTTCGTCGGCAACTGCAAGAACAGCCCGTATCACGGATCCGCCCTAACCTCAGCTCCATATGGCCCCGGCTTTTCTCTCCCTCCCTAGAGAGAGAGAGAGAGAGAGAGAGAGAGAGAAGAACCCGAAGATCGAGACGCCGGCGGGGTTGCAGGGAGAAATCACGGATCTCCAATCCCTCTAATCAGCAAAGATCAATCATTCTTCGAGAACAGCCTCTCGATCTGGGCAGGGGGGGATGCTGTCGAAGAAGGCGACGGCCTCGTAACCACCACGACGGGAAGAGGGTGGGGCGAGGGGGAGAGAAGAAGAAGCCCCGTTTACCCTTCCCGCCACACCTCCCACGTCAGCATACGTTTCTTCCCTACAACCAGAACTCCCACTGGACCAGGTGTTTTGTCCAGGTCAGCAACCGGAATTGACTGGTCCCCACGACCCTTTTTTTTCTATTTTCCGTTGACGGAGGCTCCTCCATGCGAGCCGGGCTTGGGACTTCGGGCCTTTGAAGCCTGGCCCATCATTTTAGTGGGAACAACCACGGTGGGGGCAACAAAAACATAATTTTTTACTTCTTTTTTTTTTTTTTTTTTTCTGTCTGATGCATTTCGGGCTTGAGTTCGACCCTCCTCTAGTCTCTACAGCTTACTTTAATATGCCAAACTTTTAAAAATTGTGCCGGGCCCAAGTGACCCGCTATCAAGATCGAACTTATTTTTTATTTTAAATAGTTCATAAATTTTTGGGTAATAAGATTTATGCTAAATTGGCTTTCTTCTATTTTTTATGGATAAATACGAATTAATGGGTATTTTAAACCAATATGGGTTAGAGCTGATTTTCCATCAAAATTCATATTTATGTTTTTCATAGCCTTAACACGGATACAAGATTAAAAAAATAAAATAAAAAACCATAGCACCATATTTATTTCCTTTGTTCATATTTTCCATTAACGGACATAATCTTAAAAAGCATGCTTACTTAAAAAAATATCTCGTCATAAAATTATATGACTACATATCATATATTAATGCGATGCTTTTAAGTTCACTAAGGTTTTTTAGACATTAATTCAACATAAATAGCTAGGAAGAATTATGATATTATGGAGGAGTTATTCTTAAAAAAAGGGCATCAATCATGAGCGATTAATATTTATTTCATTGTATTTTTTATATATTTTAGATAACTAATACATATTTATTTTCTTTGTCCCACGTGCGGAAAGGATCAGAATCCGAATTATTCCCGGATGGTATTTTTTCGGACGGCAGAGATTCGTCGATAGATCGAGATCTAACGATCCGGATCTCTCCATGTTCCTTGGCTGGCAAGTCGGGGAGAGAGAGTGGAGACTGACCCCCACAGCTCCCACGGACCGCAGCCCTTTCTTGTTCATATAAATTCGGAAGCCATTTCTTTTGGTAGCTTCTTTGCCTCGCCACTGCGAACTGCGCAAGGAGCTTAAACCCTCTCCAATCCCCTTCCTATCTTCTCGCCCACTTTCTACTGCGCTCTGCCCAATTGAGGTTGTTTTTGCTGGAAGTGTAGGGGGAGAGGCCTGGTGTGGAAGGATCGCGGAACTCTCTGTGGTTGGGGGAGATCCAGTTCCCCGTGTTCGTGCGTTGGAGGGGCTTCCGGCAGCTCGATAAGGGGCGAAGGTGCTGCTGCCAAGAAAATCTGAAAAGTTTGCGGTGAGTTGGCCCTCTTTTTTCAAACGAGCTTCTCCTTGTCTACCGGAGCAGGTGGTTGCTTGCTGGATGCTCTAAGTGTTTTTTTTGTTTTTGTTTGGGGGGCGGGGTTGGTGCTGTAGTTAGAGAGAGAGGTCATTGAATTATCGGACGAACCTTTGAGGCGGTATCGATTTCATTCTAAATAATTGTTCACTATTTTCATCCCGACGTTGACACGTCTATTTGCTTCCGTCTGGAGTTTGTATAGTCGGGTCGAGGTTGAAATGCCGTGTCTCATAAAAACGTTGTGGGCAGAAACTTGTAGTTTCTATCGAGCAGATGTTTCCCGAATGCTTAGGATTATTTTCTTCTCATGTGAATGCTTTTATTCCTTCCTGCTGTAGCGATCTTCGCTCCGCGGGAGATGTTGATCGCGAGCCATCCAGTCACTCATTTATTCAAAACCGCTTGATGTTTTTTGTAACCTTCTTCAGGTTATTCATCACATCACCACGCGTGATGGTTTGTCATCGAGAGGTGGAGCGATTTGTATGAGAAGTGCATTTAAATGCTGTTGCCTTGATTAGACGTTGGCAATTCTGAAAGGTATGAAACTTAATTTTCTGCCCTGAAGCAGAAAACCTGTTGGAGATGGCTTCAAGATTGATTACCAGGGGAAGAAGGCACCTATTCAACCGTCCAGATGCTCCAGCTGGTCCCACGTTTTGCCTCTCGATACTTGGGCATGGGCGATCATCTCAGGATTGGTACACAGGATATTTACATCAGGTTTTGAGGGACAATGTTCACGATGCTGATAAAGTAAAGGAGAACCAATTGATTTCAGCTATCAAGGATGAACACTGGGGTTATGGCACAGCTAAAATTCTGCAGCGACCTCCCGTTTGTTTTTCTACGAGCGAAAATATAAGTGCGAAATTCGACATCTCCCTGCCATTAGGAGCAAGGTACTTTCTGCAATCTGTGCGGACTGCGACCACAGCCACAGCAGGACAACCTGCTGCGGGGAGAGGGGATGAAGAGAATGATGATCAGAGCCAAAAGCAATCAAAGGAGCCGTCACCTGAGGAATGTGATCAGGCCGTTGAAGGTCTGAGCACTGCAAAAGCTAAAGCAAAGGCTAAACAGTTGCAGGGGTCCCAGAAGGATGCCAAAAAACCTCTACAGAGGCTCTGGGCGAGGCTTCTTGGGATTGGGCCTGCTTTGAGAGCCATTGCCTCAATGAGCAGGTGTAAATCCTTTTTTTTTTAATTTCGAAGTGAAAAATATACTGGAATGATATGATGGATGAGCCTACTTTATTCATTTAGCTGATTCAGTTCTTCTTTCTTTTTTCTCAAGGGCGGACTGGGCCAATAAACTCGCCCATTGGAAGAATGAATTTATTTCTGCTTTGCAGCATTACTGGCTGGGCTCTAAGCTACTATGGGCAGATGTGAGAATATCCTCACGATTATTGTTGAAGCTTGCTGGTGGAAAGAACCTTTCTAGAAGGGAGCGACAGCAGTTGACTCGCACCACAGCGGATATATTCAGGCTAGTTCCATTCGCAGTTTTTATCATTGTACCATTCATGGAGTTCTTGTTGCCAGTTTTCCTGAAGGTTTTCCCCAACATGTTACCATCCACTTTTCAAGACAAGATGAAGGAAGAGGTACTGCTAGCTATATTTTTATTGTTACGTTTGGAAAGTTTTAGTTATGAGACTTATGTGCCTATATGTAGTTAATGCCATTCATTAATGGACATCTTTATATTGTATCTCCCTGAGCAATTACATAAGAAGCTTGGATACGTCAAAAGTGCCTAAATCTGGATCGTATGCATATTCATATGCAGCTCCTGCAAAACAAAGTATTTTTGTTGTCCATGTCTTAAATATTTTCTACCCGAGGAAATCATATTTTCTGCTTCTCTCCTTCTGAAGACTTGACTACTGCCATATGACGCACTGGGGTTGCTTCTATATCCTTCATACTTTGTTGCTTCTATATCCTTCATACTTTTAATTTAATGCTCAACGTATGGTTCCACGTTAACAGAGATGCCTATCATTTTGCACGCATATGACTGAACAACAGTATTGGTTTCCGGTGTACATTTTCTGGTCACTGAAGATTGAACATATTTACCTTTCTTCTTTCTATTTTCTCAACAGATGAAGTCCTTTGCCAATCTTACTGTATGCATAGACGAACGTATGGAACATAAGTCATTTGTGGTTATTGAGATCTTTCTTGTGTAAGCTGTGAATGGTAGTAGAGACGGGAATCTCAAAACCGTATTAAAATTGCTCCTTTGGTTATTCTGTATAAAATTGAGTTCAGATATATTTTTTTGATATTTAATATCCAATTAAAAGAAGGGATCTTTTTGGTGTGGAGACTGGTACGTTGGGTATTTCAACATTTATCAACAACAGGAAATGTAGCGCACACGTGAGCTAGTAATAATTCCTAATTGCATATTATTGCAAGTCAATTTGTAATTCTGGGATTTATAGGATTCTAATTCCTCTAATTTTGTTCTAATTTGTCAAGAGAGAAATGTCCTTATTCTGATGCTGTAAATGCAGGAAAAAATGAAAAGGAAGCTCAACGCAAGGATAGAATATGCAAAATTTTTACAGGACACGGCTCAAGAAATGGCCAAGGAAGTTCAGATATCACGTAGTGGAGAAATAAAACAGACAGCCGAAGATCTTGACGAATTTTTGAACAAAGTAAACTTTTTTGTTGTATTCGGGGTTAAATGTGGTTCACGCTTCAGCCCAATGTTTTTGGGTTTCTTTCTTTGATTGATCAATCTTATCAGATGTAGTCGATATGTTTTGAAATATTTGCTTTGCCATAGGTCCGGAGAGGGTCCCCTGTCTCTAATGAGGAAATTCTCGGTTTTGCAAAGCTGTTCAATGATGAGTTGACTCTGGACAACATCAGCAGGTTGCATTTTAAACACTGGTTATATTGCATGTCGCTTTATTTGCTTTTAAGAAAATGATACAATCTACATTCTGTTATTCTTTTCAACTGCCATTCTCAGGCCAAGGTTGGTTAACATGTGTAAGTATATGGGGATCCAGCCTTATGGAACGGATAAGTATTTGCGGTACATGCTGCGGAGAAAGCTACAAGAGTGAGTCCTCTGCTACCTGTTTCTTTTAATGAAAGTGGATTGTCCCATTGTCCTTATTTCATGAAGTTATATTTTATCACATTCGTATAAAGGTTATATAACTTGTCGGAGCTAGTTTTATCAGTTATAGTTATTTCGTTGAATGACTTGCTTATCTTGTCTAGAAATAAACATTATCACCGCTAGTCCTTGTCCGGTCATTGTGGGGTAGCTTACGAGCCATATAACTGGGTGCAAAAGCTTCATGCATGGTTTTATCAGTTATATATAGTTTGCTGACACCCAGAATAACTTCAGGCTCTCGGAGAAGATTTGCATCTGCTAGCGATGTGAAACTCATATTTGCAAGTAGATGTTTAATACTATGGATGAATAAAGTAAAATAAATGTTGGAGAAATGATGGGGTAAAAAATGGAACATAATACCTGAAGGGGAAGCGAAATTTCAAAACCCTTAATGCTGTTCAGAATAAAATGGAATCCACAGAGTGAGTATAATGTAAAACGGCTAATCTCTTTCTTTCCAGCAGAAGATTTGTTGGGGTGGTGGGGATAGCTGAGTAAAGGTTGATCGGTGTAAAAGAATGGAGATTGGGAGTGAATTGGTCTAGTCTGTTGAAGATAGGGAATGCATAATTTATCTTACTTTTGGTTTGCTGTCTTGGACTCTTACCAAATGGATAGAGGGGCTATTCCTGGGTTGTCTTCTTTTCGTTTTTTCCTTATTGATTGTGGGTTTAATTTTCTACCTCAATAAATAGAAATGGAAAACTGAAGGTAAACTATATGACGCGCAAATCTAAGGCGATATACATGGTTTATGGGCCTGTGGTATCGGGCCTGTGGATCAAGTCTTGGATAAGAATCTACAACGCACTAGGGCTCCCTTCATTGATAACGCAGGGCCCTCCTGCCGGTCTGAACAAACCAATCTCTTAGGAAGTAGTCCCGTCATCGTAATATTTCAACAGCACTATGCTATCATATGGATAGGAACTGAGTCAGTAAACCCCTTCGGTATTTTTTTCTTTTTTTGGGGGTAGCTCAGGGTTCTTTCCTATAGGTGGGTTTTTGGGCTGAGGATTAAAATGTCTGAGCTATTGAATATTTTCAAATGAGATGCTAACTATTTTATTTCAAAACGCTCCCAGGATAAAGAATGATGATAAGCTTATCCAGGCAGAAGGTATAGAGTCTCTGTCTGATTCTGAGCTTAGGCAAGCTTGTAGGGATCGGGGCTACCTCGGGCTACTTTCAAGAGAGGACATGCGCCAACAGGTTTTTACCTCTTTTTCCTGTTAACGATGGCTGTTATGATGATCTGATTTAATCGATTGGTCCCAGTACTTTCATCCAGTTGTCCATGTTCATTAGATTACCAACACGTTCGTTGATTCTTTGGATCATTTGTACACTCATTTCTTTCTTTTTGATTTATTAGATATTTATAGATAGCTTAGAAAGAACAGCTTGGAAACTTTGGATACTAAACCTTATGTTTTCATTCAGCTGCGTGACTGGTTGGACTTATCCCTCAATCATTCCATGCCTTCTTCTCTTCTAATTCTTTCAAGGTATGCTAATCTCCTTTAATTGGTTACTTTACAAATGTAGCTTTCTTTTTGAAAAAAACCTTAAACTTAAGCTGTCGCTTGTTCTGTCTTACTCTAGAGCGTTCACTGTTTCTGGAAAGATAAGACCTGAGGAAGCTGTTGTAGCTACATTATCCTCCCTACCAGATGAAGTAGTGGATACTGTTGGTACCGGGCTTCCATCTGAAGATTCTGTTTCTGAGAGGAGAAGAAAACTGGAATTCCTTGAAATGCAGGAAGAGCTTATCAAGGTCTGTGTGTTTTTTGCCAATTCTCTCCCTTTTCCTTTGGATGTGTTCCCGTTGTCCATATTATCTGTTACCCGAGAATTTTAATTGAATTATTTGAGCCACGCTCTCTTTCAAACTCATAATCAGTAAATCTCTCTCTCTCTCTCCCCCCTGTCTCAGTCTCATATAAATGGCCTGGTTTTGTCTGGAGCTAGTAAATATTTTTTCCTGCAGAAATTAACTGATCTTTTGATTGCCATCACTTATTTTCTCCACCCTTTTATTTGGTGACGCCAGTGGTTCTGCATTCACTGACTAGCAGCTTAGTGTCTACGGAAGTGTGGCTTTCCAGTTTGAATCTAACTAATGAAAAACAACATATGCAAATATTCATATTAATTTATTTTTCTACTTGTTAAAAAATGGATTCATAATTTGACCATCTCGGAGTCCCGATTGGCTAGAAAACCAAAATCCATCTCTGGAAATAGGCAATTTCATTGACTAGTTCTCAATGCTACACTAGTACTTTAACCAGATTTACCTGTGCGGCTGAGGCTGTTGGGAAACTCATTAATGCTCCCTTTATCGTTGCCTTTTCAGTGCCACTGTTTGACATTCTTCCTCACAATTGTAGAAGATGGAGAGATTTGTAGAAAAAGTGCAGGGTTTTTAAATATGTCAAAGTGTACCTACACCCATTAATTCAATTTATAGAATCATCCGAAAATATTTTTTGAACCTCACCGTCATAATTTTTCATTCATACGCAGGTTTTGTAGAGTTTACAGATTTATTCATTATCTATTCTCTGAGGGAAGTTTGGAATGAATAGAGTTCTTTGACTTAGATCAACGGATTGATAACTTCATGAATCTACATTATTTTTCTTCGATCTTAATACTTTTATGAGATTTGGTTTGAAACCACAGGAAGAAGAGAAGGAAAAGGAAAAGGAAGAGAAGGCAAAGATTAAGGAACCCGTCATCATCCAGGAGGATCTGGCTCTAAAAGAAATGACTGCTCCAACCGCAAGGGAAGCTCAGGATCTGGCTAAAGCCAAATCTTTGGACAAGCGTGAAGAATTCTGCAACATCAGTCGTGCATTGGCTGTTCTAGCATCAGCTTCAGTAAGATCAGAGACCCATTTTCTAATTACCCAAAAAATTCTTCCCTCCTCCATATTCAACACTGAGATCGCCACTCAATGACACCACAGTCGGTCAGCATGGAGCGGGAAGAGTTCTTGAGCCTCGTCAATAAAGAGGTAGCCCCCTGTTTCTCTCATCTCATCATTTCCCTACATGGCGTCCTTCATCAGCCATTTCTTTTCCATGATTGGAATCTCCGAGCTTTGATGGCTGTCGCTCTTTGGCAGATCGAGCTGTACAACAGCATGGTGTCGAAGGAGGGCACTGATGGGGAAGAGGAGGCTAAGAAGGCCTACAAGGCTGCTAGGGAGATGAGTGACCATGCAGCTGAGCTGGCCGCAGGAGACAGGGTCTCTTCGGCGCTCATAGACCGGGTGAGGGAGGATCTCTCAGTAGTCCATTACGGCCTATTGTTACCCTTTTCAATAGAAATTCATATGGTTTTTGTTGTTAAATCTCCATATGATATCCTTCCTATTATTGCCCATCCCAGGTCGACGCCATGCTGCAGAAGCTCGAGAAGGAGATTGATGATGTGGATGCTGCAATTGGCAATCGTTGGCAGCTGCTGGACAGGTAGGCATGTTTACGAGGGTTTATATTCTAGTGGAGATCCTGCCAGGAGATTTTATGTTGATGGCGGGAGAGGCCCCGTCCGGCCCGGTTTTCCTGGTTTTGGGCCTGAAAAATCAAGCCCGGAAGGAGAAAAACGGGCCTGGTTTGGGTCAACGTGGGTTGTCCCAGAAGCCCCCATGCCGACGTGGCTGTCTCATAATTACCCACGTCCCCAATCCTCTCTCTCTCTCTCTCTCTCTCCCTGTGTCTATCTTATCCATGTGTAAGTGCATGTGGAGGTCGGGTGGGCCTTTGAACGGCATGAGGTTAGCCCATAGGTATTTCAGTCGAGAGCAACGTTTGACTTTTTGGCCGTGTAGTGACCACGACGGGAAGGTGACGCCGGAAGAGGTAGCATTCGCTGCCATGTACCTCAAGGACACGCTGAACAAGGAAGGAGTTCAGGAGCTCATCAGCAATCTTTCGAAGGACAGAGGTCAACGCCTGCTTCACCCTCATAATTTTTTCCTCTTCTTTCCCCATTTTAGAGAGAGAGAGAGAGAGAGAGAGAGAGAGAGGATAGCAGTGGGGCTTGAACCACTTTTGGGTTTGTGATTACTGCAGAGGGGAAGATTCTTGTGGAGGACATTGTGAAGCTCGGCAGCCAGAAGGATGATCCCATTGCAGAAGCGGCTGAGAAACCGTGAAGAAGAAGAAGCGTCCCTCCGTTCTTTCCCAGCTATGGATTCCGTTCTTCAGTCGATATTGGAGCTCGGCTTAGTTGAGGTACTCCTCCTTTGATTCAAGTTTCTCTGGGATGAGGCTGGCTTCCAAGATTGGCTAGTGATCACAATCCAATGCCTCTGGCCACCTGCAACCTTCTTCTCTCCCTCTTCATCCTTCCCCACACCTAGGGGTATCACTGCCTTGAGGCCGAAGCTTCACCTTGCCCAGCCCGTCCCCTAGAGAGAGAGAGAGAGAGAGAGAGAGCCGGAAACCCATCCCTTGAAACCTCCACCGCACACACCTGGGGGTATCACTGCCCTGAGGCCGAAGTTTCAGCCTTGCCCAGCTCGTCCCCTAGAGCGAGAGAGAGAGAGAGAGAGAGAGAGAGAGGACATGGAAATTCATCCCTTGAAACCTGATTCCCTCCCCTGCGAACCCGGCTTCATTATCGTTGCAGGATTCTTGACTGACAAATGTGGAGTGACGATATTTTTTTCCTTTGTCGGACAGGTACGGGGGAGTTTTTGTTTCCCTCTATACCCGCCCCCAAACTGTCAAAAATGCTTGCAAACTGCTGAGGGAAAGAAGAAGAGGGAAGAGGGGAAGAAGGCTCGTGGAGGGGCGGTGGGTGGGCAAGGACATTCGTCAAATATAGAAAATAAGGGCAAATATGGTTGACTCCGAAAGTGAGCTCAGGATCATGAGCCGGCGGTTTGCCTTTGCTTGTTTTTGTTATCTGGGCGTGAGTGTACATTCTATACAACTAGACAAGGTCCTGATAACTTGGAGACCCTGCTCAACTTGTTGAGCCGAGCATCCCTCTCTCTCTCTCTCTCTCTCTATCTAAGTCCAAGGGGTTTTAAACGGCCCACCACGCTACACATGTCTGCAGGAAGTCACACCTTTCCTTACTCTTTATCTCCGATTAATGTTTCCCTTTTGGAAATGCTGCACCGTGGAATCAAGGATGTTGCTAGCGAGTTGGGTGATATTTATTGACCCAAGGTCAGGTGGTGGTGGTGGTCTGCATGAGTGCTTCCATGCTCTTAAGGAGTGTTAAGTGACCCAGCCCCAGCCCAACTTAGAGCCTTAGAAGGGTAACCCATAAACGATTTGGGTTAAGTACTGAGGGGAAGAGAAAGGAGGGTACTTTTTGGAAGTCTATTTTCAAGTCCTAGGCTATTAGTAAAGAAGGACGGAGGATGACGTATGTATTGATTATAGAGATTTAAATAAGCTCAATATCTTTAACAAGTTCTCTATATTGATGATGGAAGAGTTATTAGACGAATTCTTTGGTGCTATAATTTTTTCTAAGATAAATTCGAAATCTGATTTCCATCAGATCAAGATGATTGTTATAGATATTCATAAGACAACTTTTAAGATCCACAAAGGCTATTACGAGTAAATAGTTATGTTATTCAAATTAGTCAATGCAATTGTCACATTTTAATTATTTATGAATAATATTTTTAGATGATTTCTTTGTATATTTGTATTAAGTTTTATTGAACACATCTTGATTTACAACAAAGACAAATGATAACATTTTCTACACCTAAGACATATTTTTAGAGTTTTGCAGTAGCATCAACTACATATTAACAAGAAAAAGGACCACATTGCTCACCCATAATTAAAGTATTTTAGTCATGATAATCTTGACAACATGAGTGGCAGATGACAAAAGAAAAAATGAAGCCATGTTTAAGTGGCCAACTCCTACAAACTCCATAAAATTAAGAAAATTTTAACCTAATGGGTTATTACTCCAGGTTTTTGGTAGGATATGTAATGCTAGCCAACCTTTTGACTCAACAACTCAATGACTCATTCGATTGACAAGAATTAATGCAAAAGTTATTTTAATAATTTAAGAAAAAGATGAGTTCAATATCATCATTAGTCCTCCCTGATTTCTCCTCTCAATTTATACTAGAGACCAATGCGTCAAGTGATGAACTTGGAATGGTATTAATACAACATGGGAGGCCAATTGCATATTTTAGTCATTCTTTTATCTAAGAAATCAAACCAAATCAACTTATGATTGTAAACTTATGATCATGCTCAAATGGCACCACTATTTCATGGGTTGTAGATTTACTATCTATCTACATGGATCAACAAAGCTTAAAATTTATCATGAAACAACATGTACCTCTTCAATTTCAAAAGTAACCTTTTAAACTGATGGGTTTTTATTTTGTGACTAAATACAAGAAAAGAGGGTGCAACAAAACTATTGATGCTCTCTCATGTCTCCTTTCATTGATACAATATTAAGGGGTGATTCTGACTGATAGACATGTTCTACTCTACCTTCCATAAAGATTAAAATTCAAGTTGACCCTTATTTGGGTCTCATCTACCAATCTCTCTTCAAAGGAGAACTCTTTTGACAAGATTTTACTCTCAACCAAGAACTCTACTACAATAGATGACTAGCCATCCTTTCTAACTCTCAAGTAATTCTAGATGTTTTTTGAGAATATTTCAATAATTAGTCATTTATTGGGCCAAAATGAAGTTGATGACTAAGGCACATGTAGATGCTTGTGAGATTTACTTGCACAACAAATCATCCTCCTTAACTCATGCTATCCTACAGCCTCTCCCAATCTTGAACTAGGAATGTGATGATCTCACTATAGACTTTATTGAACAGTTACCAGCATCAATAAGTTTCAACTCAAAATTTGGTTGTGGTAGATAAATTATCAAAATATGTTACTTTTATTTCATCAAAACATCCATTTTGAACAAGTTCTATTGCAAACAAGTTCACTAAGAAAATCATCTGCCTCTATAGTACCCACCCCTAAATTTATTATTTATGATCAAGATTCTAGGGAATCATCTTAAAATAAAGCAGATCAATGGTCAAATAGAAGTAGTGAATAGATGTGTGGAGAATTTTCCGATGCTATGCATCATCTAGTTTTAAAATATAAAGTTCTTAGCTCCATTGGGCATAGTTCAATTATACTACTTTATTTCACATCTCAATTGGTATTGCATCCTTCAAGACCTTGTAAGACAAGGGTCTGTTCCCTCTATTGTGTTATGGATCACTTGCCATTCCAATTGGGGCTGTCGACCAGCAATTGATGTCTTGTGACTAAGCTTTGGATCAACTCAAGCACCATCTTCATCAGATTCAATCTCAAATGAAAATACATACAAATAAACACCACTGAGATTTGGAATTTGTTGTTGGAGATCTGGTTTCCTTAGACTAAGACCCTATTAAATGAAATCTTAGTCATGAAAATTAATGAGAGATTAGCCCCCCCCCCCCTGTTATGGACCATTTATAATCTTATAGCAGATCGAACTAAGCTGGTCCTCCCTTCCTCTTCATTACTTCACCCAATGTTTCATGTCTCTCTTTTGTGCAGGGCAATGGAGATCTCAACAAAAAATTCATCCTCTTCCTAAGGGACTTGATGGAAAAGGCCAACTGGTGGTTCAACCCAAAGAAATCTTAATAGTCAACAATTCCATAGCAGGTTTAAAAGCCTCATATGATGGAACTCAATACTTTTGGCGAGGCCTCTTGGGAACCAATTTCCCTCATCTAAAAATAATTTTCACAGTTTTACCTTGAGAATAAGGTGCTTGAGAGGGGTGGTGGTTATTGATATAACCCCCATCCACACCCATCTCTGAAGTAAGAGATTGCTTTTTCAAGTGACCCAACCCCAGCCCAGCAGCCCATTAAGCCTAGTAAGCGAAGAGGATGGGCACGGGCCCAGCTTAAAGCCTTAGATGGGGAATCCTTAAAGGGTTTGGGTTTAATATCGAGGGGAACATAAGGGAGGGCACTTTTTGGAGAGAGAGATTATCTACGGAGCAGGAGAGACTCTGGTCTTCCGTCTGTGACAAGAGATTTAGGGTTCTAGCAGAGAAACCTAACTCTTGATTTTGTATCTCTAGACCCTTACTACTCTATTCTGGTTGTAGTTTCTCTGACCGCGTTTGTAGTTTATATCAGCACATTGAGAGTGGGACATTAAGAACATTTATAGTTTTCCATTTGACTAATGACAGATGCATCCCCCTATAAATAAAGAAACCCAACAGCATTTAAGTATACCATTTTAAATATAATTATTATTTTGATGATCTATGCAAGCTTTGATAAAAAAAAGATAGGTTTCATCTCTTAGCAAGAGACTAATGTTGACTTCTTTTACTTGTTTTTCCATTAAGTCAACAATTATTTGAAACTACTTTGGTACGCCCATATTAATAATGTGACAAAAGATCTCTCTCTCCCCCCTCATTGGGAACAAGACCCGCCGCTGGACCCAGTCACCAAGACTGAGTCTTTACGGCTCCTGGGATCACTGCCTCTCATCATACTTCCACAGAGTAGTCATCCATCGCAAGGCCTACAAATGGGCAGAAAGAGATCACCTCTTGTCCTGGGTCTGCGGGGACCAGGAAGCCCTTGAGTGAGAGACGGCTGAAAGTAGTAGGTTATCTATCTACCTCTCCCTCTCTCTCTCTATATAGGGAACCGTTGGCTCACTTCCCTTCGAGAAGAGAGAGGGGGGGGGAGGGTGGGGGGGGGGGGGCGCTAGTTAGAGAGTTGGATGACTCAGTCAGCCTCAAGCTCAGCGCCAAACTGCTCCAGCCGACTGTCATCAGCCTGGAGATCGCGGACCCGCGCGTGGTTGACCAAGCCGTCGTCCTCGCTGGCGTGGATTTGCCGGCCTCCGAACCTCCAAGAACGGAAAAACACAGACAGTCAGTCAGTCAGTCAGTCAGTTCTAAGGAGTTCCATGTGTTGGGGCAAAGCAGAAGAGTAAGCTTTTTTCATGGAGTTTCTTCTCTGATCGGGATAGTGTGGGCGATGGTGGTGACACTCATCCAGAGGTTTCAACGGTCATCTAGATCCAGAGGCTCCTCCTGTGTGTAGATTTTCTGTGTTCCACGCTTCCTCACTGCAAGCACCAGCCACCTCAACGGTCATCACAATCCCCCTTCTTCTCCTATCACATTGCCAGGGTGGTTTGATCACTGGCGGACTGCCCAATGATGTAATGGGGGAGATGAACCCAGATCTAGATGACCGTTGAGATGGCTGGTGGTTGCAGGATATGCCGATTCATCGACCAAGTGAGGGAGGCACACACAACTCGGAAGATCTTCAGAGCTCACAGTCCGGTTGGAGTTCCAAAGATGAACAGAAGGAGGTGGAAGGAAGAACAGGGGAGGAGGAGGGGGTGAGGTTCCGGAACTGCTGGAGATTAGAGGGCAAATCTGAGCAGATTTTTTCTTTTTTTCTTTTTTATTTTTATTTTTTATAGAGCCCTTAGAATTGGAAGAATCTAGAAGGAAGTCAACGCAAGGAATTACCATCTTCCGTTCATCAGGTCAATGCATTTGAGGGCATCCTTGCGGTCCTTGAACTTCACCAGAACGACGCCCTGTGGGTGGTTTTCACAGACCTGAAATGGAAGTCAGATCTAATGTGGTAAAGACCGAAAGAATCATATGAAGATTGTTGTTTAAAAGAAGCACCTTTTTCTCATGGAAAAAGGGTGCCCAAAAGTTCTAAATGCTTCAAGCAACGGCAAGATGAGGAAAAGAAAACACCCAGCATGTTGCGATGTAAGCTGTGTTCTACACATTGACTAGAGGAAAGGGCAGGAGGAGTCAACCCAGATCAGATTTTAGAGATTTAAAATAGGGATTTTTCTATCAAAAAAAATCTGCTGTTTCGAAATAATTAACTGGATTAGGTAATGAGGACCAGAACCCAGATTGTAAACACAACTCCATCGATATCATTCTCCAATCTTCATGTATATGAACATTGACAAAAGATTGATGAGGGTGGAGACAGGAGAAAGACAGTGTGGACTTTGGAGTTGACTAGAAATTTGAGCCACGCACTTGAATCGGCAATCTACACTTTTGCAAACGATTTGCAAGTTTTGCTTGCGGATTGTGTGAATTAAGAACATCGGTTTCTTTTGGGTATAAAAAAGTCAAACTGATGATAGTCTGGTTATCCTAGAGAACACAACTAGACGGTTGAACCACAGGAAAATCAGCTTCTACTACAAGATGAAAATAACAGTAAGCATATATATAAAAAATAATTGGTAGAGGCATCTTTCTCCGATCACGGTGACAATGTTTCGCATTCTGCAAGCCATACTGGACTTTTATGGGTTGTCCATATTCCCCAGAAGAAATCAACTGGTTTTTAAGAACATAAGAACTAGAAACTCATACAGCAAGGTAACTTTCCCAAATAAAGAACTGCGTGCCGACTCACTTTCACAGAGTCGACTGGACCAAGCTTGCTACATTCCTCCCTTATGTCGGCCTCCAACTCAGGGAGAAGGGTGTCATCATCCTGTAAACATAAGCACACGATGAACACCACACTCAGTAGCTTCTCAATCTATCAAAACCCAAAATAAGGAAATACAAAAATAAATAAAATGATCGTCACTGCTGCAAGGTATGGACATCGGATAGCAGCAGAGAACATACCCTCAATTCAGCAGGCGTAAACATGTTACGAAGAACGATAGTTGCTTGAATCAAGACTTTGGCTTCGTCATGGCCTCCTATAATTAGAAAGTTTCAATGTTGCATAAGGGCAATATGTATTTTAGAGCACTTACATGAATAACATAGAATTTTACCCAATAAGAATAAAAAAAAAAATGAAAAAAAAGGCTCGCATGAGATGAAAAGCTGAAATTGGCATAAAGGTATGGGATAGGTTATTCTTGGAATTATCAAGTAGATAAATCTACTTTTGCATTGAAAAGGAGTCGCTGCATGGTAAATATGAGTCTTGTCAGAGTAGCAACATGGGGCCCTTATTTCTAAATGCAATTTTCTGACTCCAAAATTACTTGTTACGTACTAAATGGCTCACAGGCCCATTAAAATTATTCCCAAAACAAAATCCTTCATTTCATAAGCCAAAAAAGGAATGAATGGACAGGATTGATGTTAGCAGAGAAAAACGGAGCAGCATGTCAGAAGTGAAAGGGTAACAATCCCTCACACAGGTGGTTTCCTCAGAGATTGCCACATGCATAGGTTAGAACCGGATTCAGCCAAATAGAAATTGCCTGAATTCCAATGGGTTAAAGCACTAAAATACAGGCATACAAGGGGAAACTGAGGGTTTTTTTATATAAAAAAGAACATTTGTTTCAGGAATCACCCCATCCAAGAATCTTCTCCTCAACTCTCTTCAGTTTCCTTTTCTTGTTCTTATCTGTTTTCTTCGCAATGAATTTCTCTCCTGCACGAGAGAGCATCACAGAATAAAAACACAATATCACAATGTGATGAGATGCAGAGAAGGAATTTAAAGCCGAAACAAAAAAGCTACCATTTTATTAGTAATGACAGGTTAGACAGCCTAACATATTTCACACCATAATTAGAATATTGACAGATAGGACTACAGGAAAGAAGTAAACTGCAGTGAACAATCAACGTCTTCTTCCAAGTCTAGGAACTGTAGTTAATAAGAAATAAAATGACCTTTTTGCTCAAATTTGGCCAGGCTTACGGACATAGGAATCTTTCCACCAGGACGAAGTGGAGTTCCATCCAAAAGTTGGATAGCCAAGGCAACTGAAGGCTCCTGAATTATACAGCATAAAAGACGTTCAAAATAAGCATATTACCGTTCGAATTTTCTCTTCCTGCATGTGCCAGGGAAGCATTTTCGCGTAATCCAAGAATTTACCTTTAAATATGATACAAGTGCATCTCCTTTCTTTCTACCTGTTTCCTTATCAACATAAATCTTCACCCTAGGCTTTTTAGTTTCCGGATCCTAATGAGAATAACAGCAGAAAACACACTTGTAACCACCAGAATATTCCCAAATCTAAAAGACATCACGAAATGCCAAAACTATCATCTTGATCTCGGAAAATGAAAACATGCAGCTAATTCAAAATGCAATTATGAAAGAACGCATGAAAATATAAAACATCCCGAAATCATACTAACAAACTCCCACTGTCAGGGAATAGATCTTATCTTGGATTTTGAATTTTTTTTAGTTAAAGGTTGAGTGGTGGGAGAAACAAACGAAAAAGAGTACAAGGAACAAAAGAACGGAATATATTCTCCTAAAGTCATCACACGCCCAGATGAAATATGTACCCTTGCCTTATCTTCTAGACTATCTCCATGGGCTATACTATTGATTTCCTCCCCGATATCCATTAGCTTGAACTTCGCAACCTTGATTTATACATATACTCTTCTCGACTTCAAAAAAAGGCATAGAGGCATTTCAGGAAGATTGTAAGTGATCTTTTTCTGGAAATAAACCATATGAGCTGAACACCACAATCCCATCAACACAAAGATGCATTGATTCTCTTCTTCCAAGTATCCAGAGATACGACAATCCTCATCCAATCTACTCAATAATGTCACTAATTAAAAAAGTGACACATATGTTGTTCAAAGAGGGCACAAAAATGCATTTGCCTTTGTTGTTCAGATCACAAATGTCTCAATAGGTTAGTAAGTTACACAACGCCATCGGAATAGTACTTCTACATAAGAAAATGCACAAAAGATGTACCACTGTGAAACCATAAGAGACAATAATGTCAACTGATTAAGTGAAAAACCTAGTCAATCTTCAATTTTTTTTCCTAGAGGTCGTCCAAACAGTGAATAAGACTGCCAAGAGGGATCCCCAATTTATCATGAATGGTCTAAGGAGCACAGATTAGAAAATTTTACGGACAATTTTTTTGTGCAAAAAGCTTTTAGAAGAGTCCCATATTGAAAGGGATAAGTATTGTGGTCAAATATATCTCCTCTAATAACTAGTAATTTACTTTCAGTTGGAACCTGATTATTTAACATTACATCATTCCCAAGATGTGTGCCCTGTTTGCATTGTCCGTGTGGCAAATAAAAAAAATAGACATGGTATTAGAAGAGCTCAAGTTGAAATAGAAAGTCAAATATATGAGATTACTTCACTCATTAATCTTTGATTTTTTAAGTTTGAGAGGTAGTCCACTACATAAAGACATTGTTTAAACGTGGAATTCGATTATATTTACAAGATCAAATATTTTGCAGAAAAAAATTACAATTTGCATCAATCACACTAAAATTATTACACTATAATATTACTCATTTCCAAAAATATATAGATCATATCCACAATGGCATGAACACATGAACTGAAGACAAACTTTCCGAGTTTGATTCACAAAACATGTAATATGTAAATACAAAAAAAAAGCATGGGATATATATTACCTCCTTTATAATGCCACATTTCGAGAATACTTCTATCATCTGAAACATATGCACAGATTAAAACATTCAGGCGATTAAATGTGTAGGCAAAATAATATAATAATAATACTAAGAGACAGGCAGATCGCGTGGTTTTTACGTTGGAAATATTCTCAATCAAAGTGTAATATTTTTTGTGAATCTGGCTTCGCTGTGTGGCGTTTGTGAAGATTGGACTAACATTTTAACAATGGTGGAATTGGTTCCACAGACTACTACACAGAGAAATCGTCTGAGCGCAACGAACAATGAGAACGAGTTGAAAATGAAAAAAAATTAGGCCAGTGTGAAACACAATTTCTGACCAGTGCAATTGTTAAGAGTGAATGAAACGTAAACTTCCAAACCATTAAGCCTGTACTTACTTCGTCCGCAGTCACATCATCAGGTAATCCAGTCACATACACATGGGTATTAACTTTCAAGTCGAACCAACTTTCTGGGGGCTTATTTCCTTCCTGTAAATAAATGAGCTCAAACAAGTTAAGAGTATACCTAAATAAAAAATATAAAAAAAAATTTGATCACGATTTTGATTCACATGAAGAGGAAATATTATTTCGTGACAGAAAAAAAACCCCAAAGTTAATAGGAACTGCATGAGTGAAGTGGAAAAAGAAAGAAGAAATGTTTGAAAATACATGTAATAGTTTCAATACTGCCATAAAAGTTCATTTTCTTGCTAAAGATGCAACCCACTTTAACCTAGATATTCCATCCAATAAATTGTATAAGATGAAAAAATAATAGAAGTAAAAAGGTCTCAGCATAGATAAACCCTAATATCGAGGTGTACTCGACCTTGTTTCTCAAAACAAACAACATGATCTCTCAAGGAACAAACTACCATGAACCTAATAAGAGAAAAATATAGGAATTGTACCTTTTTTTCAGCTGGTTTATCAGGCGACTTGCGCTTTTGGTCCGGTTTTTTCCGCACATTCTCAGCTGAAGTACTTGTCTCCTCAACTAAAGCTGTCTCGGATACACTTAAAGCAGGAAAGACCTCCTCCTCATATGCATATGTCATTTCTTCCACAGGATAAAGACCACTTTTGTTTATTGGGTCATCCTGCAGAAAAGAAAGGCATAAATAACATGTTGAACGGATGCCCAGCATGTTACAAAAAAAAAAAACTGCGGTATTGTGCATCACGAAAACTGACGATTGGTACTGCAAGGGTATGATAAACACGTGGATATAAAATGGCCAGTTACACAAGATGAAGTATACTCCTATTCAGAAAATACACATAATTCAGAATTATATCAGAATATATAAAATAAGCAGATAGACGAAAGCAACATGGAGAGTTCAAATATTTTCACATGTCCAAGTGAATGCACATGGAAGTAGCTCTGAAAATATCTTGAGAAAATATAATACAAAACGGATGTCCAGCATAAAAAAAAACAGAAATTGAAGCACATGAGTACATATAGTATCGCATTGCTTCAAATGAATATTAATCTTGGGTGGAGGGGATTTGAAACCCAAGTGAAAGGAATCAGAAAAGAAGATGCAAACAAAATATAAACAATTCATTATATTGTATAAGTGGAGCTAAGGATTCTGAGTCGGTAAGATCTAACTTCAATTTTCACAACTGAGTGTTAGGTGCCGAACAGTGCTTTGGTGTGCAGAACAACAATTAAAAGCGTATTATTTGGTTTTAGAGGAAGGCTGAAAGGAAATGGAGTACATAATCAAAATACCTACCTGTGGAACCCATGCTCTAAGACCACGATCCCACTTGTAGGTAGTTCCATCATCATCTGTAAACTCTTGTTCTCCATCTGGAGGAGTAGTGGGTCTCTCATCTCTGTCTTCTTCCGCTTCTGGTGGCTTCACATCTCCATTAGCATCGAAACCAGTAGCTGGACCTGCTAAAAAACCGTATTTCAAGGTCACTGTCCAGCACATAGTCGTTGCCTTATATCTCTCCACAAATAACACTCTTATCCATGAGTAATGAACCACAGTGTAGTTGGTAGGGAAGAGATTTTCACCTGAATCAGAATAATCTCCTGCATGCACATGTGTTACAGTAGACAACTCGACAACAGTGGACAGTGGTTGCCATTCGCTACTTCCTTCACACCACAGCAGAGTGCTCTCGGATATGTACCCATTGGAGAAATGCACTGTTCATACAAAGGGAATAGTGTTAAGCCGTTGATTTCACATCTTCTTTGAGTAGATAAGTAAGGAAGCTTTTGATATGATCCACAGGGGGCAGTGCCCATAAAGCACAATGCCTGTACGAGCAGAAGCGGGAGGAAAGAAAAACTAAGATAATTTTTTAAAAAATGAAAGTTTGCAAGCGGAGGACGAAAATAAAGATTATAATTTAACCATTAAAAAGAACGACCATGATGACAAATGCAGTGGTTCAGACCAAGAAATATCAGTAGAAAGAAAAGATTTCGTCCAGCAACCTTGTATCTATCTTTAACGTTCTTTTGGAATCATACCCAAGCTGATCGCATGATAATAAGAACATTTATTTAAATTGGGTACAGTCAAGATTAATGGTGTTAAGCCAGGATCAGAGGCAAAACAGTCAGTTTCCCGTAGTGGAGCTCGATCCCAGATCAACGTTGATATATTTCTAATGTATACAGTTCTATATAGATTCAAATTCCCAGAGCTTCTAACACGAAGAAATTCCTTGGAAATCCAACTGGATCATCCAGTAAAGTAGGAAAGCAACTAGCTAAAATACATAAATGAGGTCAGACACCGGTACGCCCCATTTCACCTACAAGAAAAAGTGCTGATCCTCGAGGAAAATAAACAAAAACCTGCAACAAGGATCAGTCGACTCACCTTGCAGCTCCGAGAGTGTATACGGCCCTAGAGACTCCTGATTATCCCCAAGTATGTACCAGCCTGCAACAGTCGCTCCCGCGCCGTTCGTTCCACCAGTGTTTTCCATCCCTGTAAGAGAAAGAAGAGCCCGCCATGGATGATTCCACCGATTCAAGCAGGAAGAGGAGCAATAGGAAGAAGAAGACACCACATTCAGCACTCTTCCTCCGCTCATGAGAAATGAGAATCCATTCAAGATAAATTCACAAAACACACAAAAAAAAAAAATCACCCTCACCCTCGCGAGAGGCTGCGTTCCAGAGCAGCGAAGGAGGGAGAGAGAGAGAGAGAGAGAGAGAGAGAGAGAGGGATAGCACTGAGAGGACCACGCTAGAGAGAGAAATAAACCCTTCAAAGTTGGGCTTGTAAATTCGGGCGCCGCTGAAGGAAGATTACCGATAATACCGGCCTCGAATCGACCCGGTAAACCCGATCCGATAAGAATACCCGACTTCTTAAAAAATTCAATTTTAAATAAGTACTCATATTTCCTTATTTTACGCTTCTTAAGAACATTTCCAAAAAATCTCTGCTCAAAATAAATGAAAGAATATTTTATTTTTATTATTTAAATTAAAATTTTAATAATTGGGAGAGAATATGTACTGAGTAGAGAGAGAGAGAGAGAAGGGAGAGAGAGAGAGAGAGAGCCTCATAAATTAATGGTTTACCATTAGAAAAAATCGAAGATAACCAGGTTGCTCAGGGTATTAGAGGGACTAAAAGACAATTTTATTTGTGGAAGGACTGAGTTGAATTGAAGAGCCTTTTTCATGAGGGCTTTTTATAAAATATTTTTTAAATTCCTAGTCAACTAAACAAAGGGCAAAATAGTCATTACCACTGGAGAAGGAAAATCTGGCGAGCGGAGAAAAACCCATCCACAATCTTCGACTGGTCTTGACGACTAGGGTTTGTGGGATGGTGAATTAAAGAGGATTTGTTGCTACGTCTACCTTCCGCGAGCATCCATGGCCTCTCTGTGCAATTTCGTTGTATCGTCCTTCGCTGCTCGTCAGCCTAGGCGGGGTATCGCATTGGATGAGCATGGCATCCTCTTCAGTCAGTCTACTGTATTTTCCGCTCAAATCCGCAGGGGAACACCTTTTTTGAGGATTGGCGCGCCCTTCAGTGTCCAGTGTAAAGCGGTTTCTGTTAAGCCCCAGACGGAGATAGAAGGCTTAAACATTGCTGAAGATGTTACACAGGTGAATTCTTATATCTCATGATTTCTCTCCTGAAGAGGCGTGAGCTGAAACCCTTGATATATGATGGAATAACTTATGCAGCTTATTTTCCTGCCTGCATTAGCGATTAATGCGATTTCTCTGAATATTAACGTCGTCCTATTTTCTGTAAGTTTATGTTGTTGAAAGTGTTGATGAAACGGATACGTTAACTTCGAGAGGTTGTCGTTTGCAGTAATCCTGGCCTTAAGAGGTCCGACCATCAGTGGTACCCAAAACCTTTAATTTTTCTGTTTTACCGGTTATGAATTTGTCTCCTTGCTGACATATGATCCCTCCTAGCAATCATGAAACTTGCTCCATTTCCCTTCAGGTCAGTCTCTTTGTTAATCGGAAGCAATTTCATACAGCACCTTTTGGTACTGCTTTTAGCAGAAGGCCTGGAGGATATTTCAATCCCATGTGTTGATGGCCCATCTACTTTTTAAAAAATTTGTTCTGCTCTTTCCTCAGATGATGGGCTGGAAAATCAGCCTATAGGAATAATTCTTAAAATTCTGATAATTTTGTTCATCTTATTTAAAATCGTGTTTTTGTTGTCTTCTTAGGCTTCTCCTTTTAGATGGTGCTTTTAGTTAATAATTAATGACTAAACATTGGATATATGATGAGCAATTTTATACTTGAATATCCCTGACTTCTTAAAGACTTCAAAAGTGTATTAAAATGATCGTATAATCAGATTCCATCTAATTTGGATTTGTAGTGCACCTTTCTTTTTATTTAGCCGAAAACTGATTTTCTCTGTATTTCACTGCTTTTACTGTGCTAGCTTATAGGGAAGACACCAATGGTATACCTGAACAACATTGTAAAAGGTTGCGTTGCTAATGTTGCTGCAAAACTTGAGATAATGGAGCCATGCTGCAGTGTCAAGGATAGGTGAGGACTACGACTACTTTTTTCATAATAATATTGAAGAGAATTATGATGCTACTTGTAATCTCGTGTAATCAGGATAGGTTACAGTATGATTACTGATGCTGAACAGAAGGGTCTCATAGCTCCCGGAGAGGTAATTAAGCAGTGATTCTGCAATGCCATTTTCATTCTTCATCTAGTCTCATATTGTCATCGTTTGTCATAATGTGAAGAGATGATTTGGAGTTGATACTCAGATGCACACAACAACAATTTCGTTTCGTGCTACTGTTGATTGTTTCACATTGAATAAGCGGACTTAACTTCTAGTATTTGTTTGATTCAGTGAGGATTCTTTTTCATGCTCATTTTCTGTGAGTTGGTAATCCGTACATCTGTTTTTCTGTGTCACAGAGCATACTTGTGGAACCAACAAGTGGAAACACCGGCATTGGTCTCGCATTTATTGCTGCTTCTAGAGGGTATAAGTTGATTTTGACAATGCCTGCATCGATGAGCATGGAAAGACGAGTCCTCTTAAAAGCCTTTGGAGCAGAGCTTGTCCTTACTGATTCTTCTAAGGGCATGAAGGGAGCAGTTCAGAAAGCTGAAGAGATCTTGAAGAATACTCCAAATGCCTACATGCTTCAGCAATTTGATAACCCTGCAAATCCCAAGGCAAGATACGATTACTGAAGGATGTAGTCACTGGTCTCAGGAAGAAGGAAACTTCTCTGCTCCCTTTATAATTTATTTATTTATTTTCTTTGTATGCTTGGTACAGATTCACTATGAGACCACCGGCCCGGAAATCTGGGAAGATACAAAGGGGAAAGTGGATATCCTAATTGCAGGGATAGGAACGGGTGGAACCATTTCTGGTGCAGGTCGCTTTCTGAAGAGCAAAAATCCCAACATAAAGGTCTGCTGTCATAATTTTAATTTTATATTTTGTATTCCCTCCTATATTCGAGCTTCATAAACAGGTTATACTTTCATGACTAATGGCTTGTGGAAATATCTTTTTCTCTAATTTTGCGGTTCTCATTTGCTCTAATTTCAGGTTGTTGGCATTGAACCTGCCGAAAGCAACATTCTTTCAGGGGGAAAACCTGGTAAGAAAATGAAATCAGAGGTATTTTACTTTTTGCTCCCGTATTAATCTAATCGAAATAATGTAGGCCCACACAAGATTCAAGGTATTGGGGCAGGTTTTGTTCCGAGGAATTTAGACCATGAAGTTGTGGATGAAGTTTTAGAGGTCTGTGCTTTCCTCTTACTTCTTATTTTTGGCAAGGGATTGCCTGAATCCTTAATTTGTGATTGAACTGACGTGTTTTGTTTGTTTATCTGCATCATTTTTTTGATGAGATTGATGCTTGGATACGACTTTCTTCTGTATCTTCTGGTAGTAACATATGCAAACGGATATTCATTCCTTTCCCAGCATAGATATCCACTTGGTTTTTTTTATTCTTCTTTGCACTGGGAAAGTCGATTCCCATCCTTCCTTTCCTCTTCCTCTCTAATTTCCCACCTTTTTAACTTAAGAGTTCTGCTTCTTCAGAGTAAGGCTGGTCTATCTCTTAGTGTATTAGTTTCTCACAATCATTGTAATTTGTTATATTTTCTTTTATCTTGCTTTAGTGAGCATCAGTTTAGGTCTTACCTCCCATGTTGAACATGTAATTAATTCATTTCTAATTTACTTTATTCTCTATTCGACTTGAATTCTTTTTATGATTACCATGATTAGTAGAAAATTCATGTAACTCCCAAGCATTTTTCATTTTCTGGGGCGTATTACAGATTTCCAGTGATGAAGCTGTTGAGACCGCCAAGAAAGTAGCTTTACAGGAAGGCCTGCTGGTGAGTCTCACCCGTCATTTCAATTACGCTGTGCATTATACATTAGTTACAAGTGTAGTATGACATTTTCAGTTCTCTTATATGAATCCAGATTAACTGTAGCTTTTATAATTTACGAAGATATGCTCCAAAGATGTTTGTCATTTTTGCCTGATTTTCTCACTCCAGATGCACCTGGGAGGATAAATAAACATGCCTTTCACATCATTCTTGTTGCATTGACCCTTATGTTATCCAATAACCTTTTCTTTCTAGTATTCAATATTTACCAATTTAAATAGAGGACTAAACTATCGGTTCGTAAAATTAGGGTTCTCAACTGTAGAAAATCAGGAATGCAGTGATCATAAAATGGTCTTCGCTTTGACCAAGAACTGTAATCATGTGGACCATAGTCTTGTGTATGTCTCCTTCTGCTTCAATGACTGAACTTGGATGATTTGTGCTGGAGTGAGGTAATTCTTGATCGTATTAAAGATCATGACGCTCATATCTTCTTTTTTCCATGAAATCACGTCTGATATGCTCTGTAGCTGGTAAGAGATCTCATAGTTGTCTCACTTTAGAAAGACATTAATCTGATCTTTCTTATTTCTTATGTTTCCAAGCTGGTCCTTGATTTAAAAAAAAGAAATCATTATTTTTTTAAGCCAGGTGTGCTTCTTATGTTTTATTTCATTTTTTCTTTAGTGTTCTCTGGTTTCCTGAATCATAAAACTCTCTGCAGGTCGGCATTTCTTCTGGAGCAGCGGCAGCTGCTGCCGTTAAGGTTGCAAAGAGGCCTGAAAATGCAGGAAAACTCATTGTGGTATGCCTAAATCTACTCTTTCTCGCTATTTATGGAATGGGAAAGAGAATTTTTCTCATTCATATCAAGAGAATCATTTCCATTCGGATATAAAACTCTGAGCTCACACTTGCTGCCACCGCCACAGCAGCCACAGGGGTGCCATGTGGCTGTCTGACCGGGCCCAAACTTTGATAGATGTTCATTCCTAAGCGAGTTTTCTGGGCCCAGCTTTGTGGGGCCCAGGCCACTGACCCCTTGGGCGGCCATCTTATTATGTCACGAATATCCTCATTCTGTGGCAGAAATATAATTATGAAATTTCATGTGAACTGGGCATTTAAGGTATAGGTCTTTCCTTTCATTAAGCGGGACGTTTCCTGCAAAGATTATACATACTACAGTCATGCTCTTGAGATATATATATATATATATATATATATATAGATAGATATCATTTAGGGTAATTCTGCAAGCATATGTTTTCCTGGGGGGTTATACGTGAACAGCCAAAATTCTTTAGTCCCGGTCAACCCAGATCATGTCCCCATTTTTCTGTGAAATTGGGGGGGCCTGCAGATCAAGCCTAAAATAGGAAAATGTACCCGGCCCAGAACCCCGCTATGCGACTGTTTCTCTATCTCTCTCTCACACACACACACCTTTTTTCTCTCTACTGCATTTTGCGGATTTTTGTCTACCCCGCCAAATTTGTTGATTAATATTTTCTTGATTCACTGAATTTAGTCTCCGGTGGGAGCAATTTTTCTGTAAGGTTTCTCGGTCAACTCACCTTTAATGCGTTGACTCAGGTGGTGTTCCCGAGCTTTGGGGAGAGGTATCTCTCTTCCGTGCTGTTCCAGTCAATAAGAGAAGAATGCGAGAAGATGCAGCCGGAGGCATGAGGAGGAACCCCGATCATTTACTCTACTAAAAAAGGAAATAAAAGAGGTCCCTTTGTACATCTTCGCCTGCTCTTGATTCATGTGGGCCCATATTTCTTCTATCATCTTCGGGAGAAACCATGCTCTTAATTATTCCCAGATCTTGTGGGTTCATTCTTCCGATTTTGACAATTAGCCCTTCTTGCCACGTGGCTGTCCCACATGACCCAGGTGACTCTCTCTCTGTCTCCCCCCCCCGATTTGTCTGTCATCCAGGCCAAAGTTCACGTTTTTGATGATGGAATTTGGCTTTTTCGTTTGGAAATGTGCCACGTGGCTGTTCATCTCTCTCTCTCTCTCTCTCTCTCTCACGGTATACATATATCTTTGTGAGATTACTATACCTGAACCGGTTGGCCTATACTAACCTGGGTCGTGCGGAATAGCCACGTGGGTGTCTGTGATGACCCACATGACAGCTCATCTCTCTCTCTCTCACCGAGGCCATCTTCGCAGACTTACAGGCCCAAGTTCGGGCTTTGATAGGAGTCCAGCTTTTAAGAGAGTGCTGGGCTTATTAATGGCCCGGGCTTCTATGATGCCCTTTGAATGGGCCTGGTCGGTGGCAATATCTTCGGGCTTTCGCATTAGGTTTTTTTTTTATAATTATCTGATAATGTAAATGTCGGGATTTTAACCATCCTTATTTATTTCTTAAATAAAAAAGACTGTCAAACCGACTGATTGACTTATCGGTAACGGGTTTCCTGGTTCGAGTCCGAGATGTTGTATCCGTTACCATCAATCAACCTCGCTCATATTTCTGGCTATTCTCTCTCTCTTTCTCTCTCCCCCTCTGTCTCTTCGCGCAGAAGCTCGACGCTTGCAGAAGCTGGTCGGTGCGTGCTTCGGAGAATCCGTCTTCTGCTTGTTTTCGGAATTTATCTGGGATTCATTCGTGAAGGGGGGGGCAAGAATTAATTCGACGCCTTCGTATTATTATTGTGTATGTTACGTTTCTTGGTAGAATCCTCTGTTTCACTCTTTTTCTCTCCTCGTTGATGTGTAAAACCCTTGGCGACGATCGGCGTGGCGGCTACTGATGTGAGTTGGTACTTCCTGGGGATAATCAGGATTCTGTTAGCGGGAATGCACTCTTTGCGCTGAAAGGTGGATTCATGACTCCTCGTTCTAGGTTTTTTTCGTGGATCCTGATGATATGCGTCGATGCTTGTTGGGAAGTGGGGCGCATCTTTGTTTTGCATCACTAAAGAAGTGTTGAAATTGGTCGACTATATCACCTCCCCTACTATTTTCTTTCTAAGTACACTTTTTCGTCAAACTTTTCATTTCTAGTTTGATGAAGAGAAGCGTTTCATTTACGAAACTTATTCTCCTTCAAATTTCCTTCGTTTGCGGTGGCAGGGAGGGTGCGTGGGAAGTGGATTGGAACTCTTTCATTGTCTGCTTCTTGTTCACAAAAAGTTTAGAATACAGAAATTCTCCTTACTTCTCAACCACAGAGATGGAAGTTCTTCTTTATTCTTCCCAACGATTGATGAAAGATCTGTCATGTCTTAAAATCTCCTCATCAACGGTAGCCCACCCCTCAATCGATCTTTTTTGAGGGATGGAATGCGAAACTATATATTTCTGATGATTCCAGAGTTTGTTTTGATGTGTGAAATTTTGATCAATGTGAAAGAGCCTGGAACAGAGAGAAATGTCTTACTGAGAAAGGCAACCGATTGAAACCCAAGAGAAAACTCCTGCAATGACATTTCTGCTTTATAAAATAAGGACACACATGCATGCCTCATGTCTCTGCAAGATCTGTCGCCGGGGATGCAAGTCGTATTTGATACTCTATCCTTTTTTACCACGGTTATACAAGAATTCAAAAATGCTTGCATATAAACTACCTGCACCCGCTGCATGAAGATAAGCTGTATGACTATGTATAATATTGCATATTCATGAACTTTTTTCAGTTGGACTCATCAACCGTTTCTCAAGTTTGAATAATGTCTGTGATCTCTCATGTTATTCAGAGAAAAGTAAATCCTAAAATAGAACTTCACGACAGAAGAGTCTACTCCTCCAGGGCACAAATCGGATGGTAGTGTTTTCTTGGTAGTGCCTGTGTGGAAGCTACTGTTGTCAATTCCCAGATAAAATATTACCCAATTGTACTGGCCTGACCATCTCTTTCCGAATTTTGAGGTCATGTGAACTGAAGAATCTAAGGTGTGCTACAGCTTGATATATACAGCTATTTTCCTGAATCCTATATCAGCAATCCTAGTTATGAGTGGTGAGCTTACTGAACATTTATATAATCAGTTTCATCTTTGACGCATCATGCTGCTAATCATTCTCTGGTCTTTAAATCTTTCCGAACTGATTTGAACAACTCCAGAAGCATACGTCTATCAATTAATTCGCGTTTTTTCAATTTATCTCCATCTTTCACTTCTTTCGAGGATTTCATCCTCCTCTTCTACCTCCTTATCTAGCTTTCTTAAATGACTAACACCTACCCGTTTGTGTGTGGGGATCATTTTACTGACATTCTTGAGCCAAATCTTTTAGTCCTTCATAGTTTGTCCTAGAAAAGGAAAATTTTTAGTCCTTCAGTAAAAAAGTATAAAAAATTTAGAGGAATGGCGGCCTTCATCTCCTCTTTCCCCCTAAAAAAAGGGAACCCATTAAAAAAAAAAAAAAAGCGAAAAGAGATTTTGGTAGTGCTGCTGCTTTTCTGAATCGGATTCGTCTGATTCTGGATCTCATTACGCCAAAAGATTTTGGCTGATTGAATATGATGTACTGGCGGTTACATCTCTCTCTTACAACTGGCAGGTAATGCTGAGAATTATCCGCTTAGTGTTCTGTTCCCCTATCACAAATCTGTCTTATAGTTGGTGTAACCCTCGCCCCATAAATTCATATTTCTGTTTCTTCATCAATTCTTTCCCATTCTTTTTACCGATTCCAACATGATCATTCTTCTTACAGTGTTTTATTTAATCTTAGTTACATCAGATTTCTTTGATTTTCAGTTCGTTTGGAAGATGAAAAATTACGATCTACCTTTTAAAAATATATATATATATATATAATTTTTTGTGTTATGTAGGTCCCATCAAGATGCCCTTATTCGCCAAGTTCAACGGCTTCGCCCCAAAGACCAAAAACGCAATAGTTGCAGGCACCCTGACCAGTTTCGTTCTTGGGGTATATTTCTACACCATGAGAGCCGTTGGAGGGACGGATGAGCTGCAGGTGGCGATCAACAAGTTTGAAGGGATGAAGAGTGAGACCGAATCAGGCTCAGCATCCACATCATGAACCAGGTTTCCAACATATTATATGACCTTCTCAGCCTCCTGGGGACCCTTTTTTCCCCTTTGCTGCCATGCTTTAAACCAGGATCGACCTTTCATTACCATTATTTTCGCAGCTATGTTTTAGGCTTGTTTTAAACAAGTCTCCTGCTATGTTTATTAATGGTTTTATTTCCTGTTTTGGATACCATGGATACATCTTTTGGTGAATAATGTATACTGCTTGAAGAGTAATCAATTCTGCTGCTAGTCTTTGCATGCATACTGCTTGAAAGGTTGTACCCTTTTTGGAAGAGCTGCTGGTGTTAGAGGCCTCTGCAGTAGAAACAAAATCAGAAGATCAAAACTGGGACTTTTTCCCTTTAATTTATGTACTTTACGAGATCTTTTAACCAGTTATTCATATGAGATCCATGTTCTTCTATGCATGCAATATAGATATATATATATATATATAGAGAGAGAGAGAGAGTGGGCAAGGGGTCAGGACTCTGTTTCTGTGAGTCATGGCGCCTCCATGAATCCATCCTGTTTTGTTACCTTGTAGAGTATTAGTAGCAATAATAAGAAGATCAAAACTGGGACTTTCCCCCCCTACTTTCTATACTTTACTAGATCTTTGCATCAGTTATTCATATGAGACTCATGTTCTTCCATGCATGCACATATATACTTGTTTTGTTACCTTCTATGGTATTAATACCAATAATAAGAAGATAAAAACTGGAACTTTCCCCCGTGTTTCCTGTACTTCACTACATCTTTGAACCAGTTATTCATATGAGAACCAGTTCTTCTATGGACGAATATATATATATATATATATTCATTTATTTATAGTGTGTGTGTGTGTGTGTGTGTGTGTGAGAGAGAGAGAGAGAGAGAGAGAGAGAGAGAGAGAGAGACTGGGCAAGGGGGCAGGACTCTGTTTATGTGGGTCATGGCACCTCTATGAATCCATCCTATTATGTGGGTTACCTTCTACGGTTATGGCAATGATGAGAGTAATAATAGCATTATTACCATCATCCCCCACCATAATTTCTGTATCATTGCCCCTTTTTCTTCTTTTTTTGCCGTCCAGCGTCTTATTAGAATTCCATCTCTGCCCCAGCATAGCTTCAGCGACCAGCAGGTGGACCGGGCCTGGCCGGGCCTAAAGGCCCAATTGGTAACTCACCACAGAAAAATGGAAGGCATTCATACCCTTTGACAATCCAGGCTGACCTATGAGATAGAGGATTGACCCAAATGCTCCGGTCTGACTTGGGGCATGCCTGGCCCGTTGACCTTTCCGATTTAGATATCTGGGCCATCTAGGAACACCACTCAGGACGGTACACAGATCACAGAACCATCATTTATATAAAACTGGTCTCAATAATCTTCCTTTAATAATATTTTTGTATAAAAAAGAGCGCACGATCTACTGCGTGGTAAGAGAGAGTTCTTTCAACTGCTGAGGGTCAACGGGCGAGGGCGCCTTGGTCAACGCACAGTGGGCCGTGGTGGTCTTCGGGAAGGCTATGACGTCTCTGATGGACTTTGCGCCGGCGAGGAGCATCACCAGCCGGTCCAACCCGAAGGCGATCCCACCTGCAAAGGGCATTAATAAAGTGATGTGGAGAAGAGGCCACGCGGCAGCGATATAGGAGATCCTGAGATGGGCCAATTAAAGCCTGGCCCCGGCCCAATTGCGTACTATAGCAGACCGAAACTGAATTCATAATGGGCTTATGGAGGGGCCATCAAAGCATAGGCCCTTCTTTGGACCCATGCGAGAGAGAGAGAGAGAGAGAGAGAGAGAGAGAGAGAGAGAGAGAGAGAACTACTCCATGCCATGGTATTTGATGTGGGAGGTGGTTCACATACCGTGAGGAGGAGCGCCCATGTCCAGAGACTCCAAGAGATAACCGAATTTCTCTTCGGCCTGCACAAAAATCAGTAATTCAAGCTTAAAACCATCTCATTAATTTGATCAACTATATCCATATCTCATGGTCATTAATCTCGTGGTTAAATCGTACTCCACATTTCTGATTCACAAATCATACATATTATATGTATACTTTACTTGGTCATGAATCTAATTCTATCTACTCTGGGGTTAAATCGGAGAGAGAGAGAGAGAGAGAGAGAGAGAGAGAGAGAGAGAGAGAGAGAGAGAGAGAGACCTGTTCTGGGGAGATGCCGACAATCGCCAGGACCTTTTCCTGGACTTCACGTTTATAGATCCTCAAGCTTCCACCGCCAATCTGGTGCAGAGATAGATTGCAGATAAACCCAGAAAGAAAAAAAATCGGCATCATGTATTTGAGGGGGATTGCAGATAAACCCAGAAAAGGAGAAAAGAAAAATGAAGTCCTGCATGAGCACAGCAGAGAACAGGCACCTCGATTCCATTGTAGACCATGTCATAGGCCAAGGCGCGAGCAGTGGACAGGTCATCCATGTCATCCGGATTAGGGGCCGTGAATGGGTGATGAAGAGCCTGGCAGATAAGCCGGATCAGTGGGGAGGGAAATCTCATATTTTTTCTTTGATACCAAGCTTTAATGAACTCTGGAATTTAGAGAGAGAGAGAGGGGGGGAGAACATGTTCAACTCATTGAGCTGGATCAGTGAGGAGGGAAATCTCACCAATTTTCTTTGATACCAAGCTTTAATGAACCCTGGAATTTAGAGAGAGAGAGAGAGAGAGAGGGAGCATGTTTAACTCACCTCAAGCCTCTGCTCCAAGCTGTTCCACTCAAACATCGGAAAGTCAGTCACCCACAGAATCGAATGGGCAGACTAGGCCAGAATCAGATGATGTAGGGGGAAAAAAAAGAAGCAAGGATTAGAAGATATCAAACATGGCATCTGAATCTAAATCTAGAAAAAGGGTCAAACCCCAAAATTATATAAATATATGTACATGCAAAAGGTCAAAATGGGTCAACTCAGGCACAGCCTATCAACCCACCAGACGCCATTCCAGGGACCATGACAATAGGATTCACCGAAAGAGGAGAGAGAAATTTCACCTGGTCAATGAGACCCAGGTCCCGGGCCACAAATTGTCTGAGCCGGTCGAGGGTCTTGTTGACCGACTGATGGTCGCCCACCGAAAATAGAATGAGATCGCCAGCCTCCGCGGAGCAGAGCCTCAGCAGCTCTTCCCTCCTCGGAGGATCTAACGATGAAGCCAGAGCAGGCACACCCTCGACGCTTCCTGAAATAGGTTACTTATTATGCTCCACTTTCTCTCTCTAGGAATTGGGGGAGGATCGAGGGGTAGTGGTGGCTTCCTTACCATCATCTAGGACCTTGAGAAAGGGCAGCCCTTTTGCCCCAGATTTCATGGCTTCGTTGCATATGTCGCCCTTTTTAAGGGCCGTGTTTGAGTATTTCTTGGCTCCAGAGGGTACACATAGAGCCTTGATGATCCCTCCGTTCTCCAGTGTATCTGTAAATACCTTGAAGGAGGATCCTAGAAAAACATCACTAGCCTGCAGACAAGATCACAGAGAGATCGTCAACAAGGGATGCCATAGTATTTAGAAAACCAAAAAAAAAAAAAAAAAAGCCCTGAAATAGAAAATGTAACCACTGGGTGGGGGGAAAGGGGGGTCTCAAGGTATTAAGAAAAAAAAAAAAAACTGCCTCCAGTTGATATTGTTATTGCTTTCGACTCCATTTATTTTTTTGTCAACATACTGACAGATTACATTTCTTCCAAGAACACTTCTTAATATGAACACATCCAGATAGGCGCATCTAGACAAGGGTTTCAAGCACAGATCTGTGGCTATTAGCTTTACGAGAAATTGCAACCTGGAGTGCTAGATTATATGAGAGTAACTGATACACTCAGATTAATCAGAAACACTGATTTGAGAAATGAAAGGAGCTTCTTTTGACAGAGATATCGTCCGATTCCAAGCAACTGCAACTATCAAGACATAGAAAGAATATAAATTCTAGGCTACTCAAAACTGTACTTGAATGGGCTCACATCTCTGAGTTTCATGTCAAATCGAAGATCCGGCCTGTCCGTTCCATAAAGATTCATTGCCTCCGCGTAGGTAAGCCTTGGAAATGGGTTCGGAAGTTCAACCCCTAATATTTCACGGAAAACCTGTTGAATTTAGCGCATCTGTTAGAATCATCTGAAAAAGTAAAAACCAAAAGGGAAATACTGCCAATTAAATGCATGGTCGCCAGTTTTTTAAGGGTGAAACGGAAGGAAATGGATACATGGCCTATCAAATCTTCATTAAGTTTCAGCATGTCTTCTAATGGTGTAAAAGCCATTTCCATGTCCAGCTGCGTAAACTCAGGTTGCCGATCTGCTCGTAGATCCTCATCTCGGAAGCACCTTCAAAGGAAATATACTTATGAATATACACACCTTTTCCCAACTACTCAACAAGATCATTTTACTGCATTTATTATAAAACGATATCGTTTTCATCCCTTCCCGATTTGGGATAAGAAGAGACTGCACAAATAGCAGTCCAGGCCATTAATCACCTGTGAAGAGCATGCCCATATCATGAAATAAGTCTACCTATATTCTATTCCCACAGATTGCCTGGCCAACAGATCAGCTAGCAAGGAACAGAAAGTGCCACAAACTGAGCTAGCATCAAAGATCCAGGTGAGGTTCTGAGAAATGAGTAAGTACATAGGGTGCTTAAAATTCACCTGGCGATTTGATAATATCTGTCAAATCCAGAGACCATCAACATCTGCTTAAACAGTTGCGGACTTTGAGGTAGGGCATAGAATGCCCCTGGCTTCAAGATCATATTAAAGTGAATCAGACATCCATAACAGTAATTTTACTCTTTCTTCGTAAAGAAAATAAAAGTTTTCACGATAAAACAGAGATGCTCGCTTAGTTGGAAGCAAAAGATTTGTGTTGTTTTCCTGTAATATGTTTTAGAGAATAGTTGAAAATCCTCTGACCTACAAAAAACTGCTTTTGCTACACAGACAATTGCTCCGATGAAAAAAAGGGCATCCAAATTACGAGTTTGAAGTTCTTAACCCAAGTTGTCATGTTTAAGCTGGAGGGACGTCTCATACTGTATCTGAATCTCTACAGTAACAGAAGAACAAAAATCTATACAGCAAAATCCAGGTCCTTATGCAAAGATATTGATTATGAAGCATGGCTATGATGGACCACACCTGAGTGGTTTCTTAAAATCCAGACAGGAGATGAACCAGGGCAACTTACTCTGGGTAATTGAATAACTACTCCCTTTATGGGTTTGATGTTAATGATGAACCGATTATGGTACAGAAACATGCTAGATATATTTCTTGCAACCGATTATGAATGCGGTATTTTTTTTCTAGAAGACAACCAGTTGACCAAGTAAAGCTCCCCCGGTTCAAACAGTTTTGGGCCTGAGATAATTTTTTAGCGTGGTTTCAGCATGTTTGGGGGAATGAGGCAACTCTTACAATCTTTTCGTGGTCTTAGGCCACTTTTTTTCAGTTAGCTCTCTCCCACAGAGATGCATCATTATTTCTTCCCAGAAGATTTCAAAGAATCAAGGCTATATGTTTCCAGCTGGATCCTTTGGCTTCTCTTGAGTCGTGGTTGACTTCTCTGACGTAAAATCGGCAAATCTAATAATTCTTGGGAAAACAGAATAAAAGGAATATGAAGGATACATCAGATATATGCACGTTTGACAAAGAATATTACCTGAAGTCGTGAGGGAACCAGGTAATCCCGAGCACCTTCAGGGGTGGATCTAGATAATATTGGAGTCTCGACCTACCTAAGTGTAAAAGCGCCAGTTCTAATCATTAGAATTGAAATTGAAGAATAAATCATCCCGAAATATAATTAGAAGAAAATTTCGGAAAATTCACAGCTTTATTTAAAGATCTACAACTAAAGAAGTAAATCAATTAATTTCAGCAGAAATTACCTCCACAAAACCAAGGATGTCCTCCAAGTAGTGTCTTATGTTCTTTACTACATTATGCCTCAGCATCAGGTTAGAATGCATCTGTTGACGACGTAAGTCAAGGCATCGATATCTAGCATAAATTAGCAGAGAGATCAATCAGGCATCCGTAAAGCTGTATGTTGACCATGACAACCATTATTGCCTAAAGACTAACTAATCCCTCATTATGCCTAATTACAAAACTCTCTCTCTCTCTTCTCTCTCTCTCTCTCTCTCTCTCTCTCTCCCTCTCTCCCTCTCTCTCTCTCATGATGATGATGATGATGCTGTTCAAGGAAGATATAAAGAGCAAGCATCAGGAGTGCCAGTGGACAATTCAGATGACCAATATGGGATTTGACCGAACAAAAGGCTAACCTTAAACGAATCTCCTCAGTTATCGTCTCCTTTGTGTCATCTACAGTCGTGATAAGGAAAGGCAGTGCGCGTCTTACAGAATTCAAAACTTGAATATGCTCTGCAGTAACCTGGGATGATCATAGAAACATATTACGAGACAGGGAGCTCAGACAATCAGAAGCGCCTAACAAAGGACCCAAAGCTTGTCCTATCAAAGAATGATGCAGAGCGTAGCAGAGATCATTCCCAGAACAGTAAATGTAAATCCAAACCAGATTAAACAACCCAGAATATGTTCGTAATCTGCAAAACACTGGTACTCAACCGCGAGGCAAATTCATCAACGGTCCCCGATGACAGGAAGGAGGGGTACCTCTATGAACCCCGTCTTCATCTTCTTGTTCTGCGACTCGGCTGGTCGAGGACGAACAGTGCCTTCTACAGCTATCACGTACTCAAGCCGCAACTTGTTTGCAGTAGCATACGCATCAGGGTGGTCAGAGGGAAGCGTAGTAATCTGATTGAGCAGAATAAGAAAAAAAATTAAAAAACGAAACTATGACGAGTGGGAAGCATGGAAGGAGATCGTCGTTGCTGGAGATTAAGAAGAAAAATAAACACCGAGAGGAAGAGTAGGCCAATAAGAAGTTCGAATTAATCAGAAGACGAAATTTCGAATCAATTTTCTTTAGAAAGAAAGTGAGATGGTCGAAGATAACAGATACGGCCACCTGAACGATGCCCGAGTGATCTCGGAGGTTTAAGAAGGTGAGGCCTCCATGAACCCTGTGGAGGGCCACCCAACCACACAGTCGAACGCGCCTCCCAACATCCGCCTCTCCCAGCTCCCCGCAAAGCGCCGTTCTCGTCACCCATTCCAGAGCATTCTTCGCACCGAGGCCCTGGCCCTTTTCGCCGGTCGGAGCTCCCACCGCCGATGGAGCAGGCGGCGACGGAGCAGCAGGAGAAGCGGTAGCGGCCACATAACTGGAAGAGGACCCAGGGGCAGAGCTAGGGGAGGAAGAGGAACACGCAGAAGAGTTGGAGCTCCTCCTCCTTGGAATCCGGCTAATGCCGACGCTGTGAGAGAAAGATCGAGGGAAACGGGAGAAACGAGGGACGAGAAGGGGAGAGATCCGGAGGACCGAAGACATGGCCCTGGAATGGCTGCCCCCACCCTACAATGGAGCTCCCTCTTCCCCTCCTCCTCCCTCCGCTGTGCTGCTCTTATCCTCCCTGAACCAGTTCTCCCCACTCCGATGCTATTCTTCCTAGTACCCATTCTCTGGAACCTTTTCTCAGAATGCATTCCAATCAGAGTCACCCGTGGAAATCGAAACAGAAACTTTTTATACAAATTTAAATTTAAATTAAATATGGTTAAATTATGATGTTTTATACAAGTATTTACGAGTTTAGCATATTTGAGAACATTAACAACCGGTCAAAAGTGAAAAATACTCAACTTCGGGAGTAATTTTTATCGTTAAAAAATAATTAAATGGAAATAATATGTCATTTTTTTAGAAAAAAAGGCCCAAACATAGATTCTGCCCATCATGAATATAAAGGCTCCCCTACATCTTAATTAATTAAAATAATTTAAAAAGGAAATAATGTATCTTTTTCTTTAAAAAATGCACCAAGTATAGACTACGCATCATGAGTGTATGGACTCCCCCTACATCTTAATTTTATTGTAAATAAAATAATTCAATAGGAAATAATATGTCATTTTTTTACAAAAAAATGGCCCAACTATAGATTTTACCCATCATGAATATAAAGACTCACCTACATCTTTTTTTTTGTAAAATAAAATAATTAAAAAGGAAATAATGTGTAATTTTTTTACAAAAAAATGGCCCAAGTATAGATTCTACCATCATGAGTATAAAGACACGTACATCTTGATTTTTATCCTAAATAAAATAATTAAAAAGGAAAGATATCTTTTGTTTATAAAAAAATGGCCCAACTATAGATTCTACCCATCATGAATAAAAAGACTCACCTACATCTTAATTTTTATCGTAAATAAAAATAATTAAAAGGAGATAATTAGTCATTTTTTACAAAAAAATGACCCAAGTATAGATCAAACCATCATGAATATAAAGATTCACCTACATATTGATTTTTATCATAAATAAAATAATTAAAAGGAAACAGTATGTTAGTTTTTTCAAAAAAATGTCCCAAATATGGATTCTACCTGCCATGAATGTAAAGGCTCGTCTCTATATTAATTTTTATCGTAAATAAAATAATTAAAATGAAATAATAAGTTATTGTTTTACAAAAAAATGACCCAATTATAGATTCTACCCATCATGAACATAAAGACTCGCATACATATTAATTTTTATCGTAAATAAAATAATTAAAATGAAAAATATGCCAGTTTCTTACAAAATAAATGGCCCAAGTACAGATTCTACCCATCATGAGTATAAATACTCAACTACATCTTGATTAAGAGCAAAAAAGCAATAGGAACCCTGGGTCATCTACCAGACTATAATTCATCAGTTGACATTTTTACCACAGAAATTTAAATACAATGTGAGTCTCATGCTAATTCTGACCAAAAAAGCCCATTGGGGAATCATTTCCTGTGGGGATCTCTTTGACCAGGTAAGAATGTTAAGTTGAAGCAGGGCTCATGGTTCATCAAGGTCCACTCAGGGAGAGGGCAGACCTTAAACGGTCAACCACGAGAGGTAAGACCTGAATACTTTCATTAATGGCTCGGTCAACGCAGGACTCCAAGCTCCCCATGGCGGCTGCCTTGGTCTGCTGAAGCTTGGCAGCCTCAAACTTGTCTTGGCATACAATCAAGGCTCGTTGGAGGCGCTCCTGAGGAATGATAGAAGTATAGATGTACTGAATCCTCTGCTTACTGATCTAAAGATATAAATGAATGGTTTAGCTGCCATAATAGGTTCGAACTGAGAGAAAAAAGGAGATGGTAATAGCTGCATAAATAAACTGTCACCATGTATCACTTTCGGTATATCTTATCTTTAAATAATAAAATGGGTCCTGCTTTGGGGTTTTAAGAGTTGGCTGTTCTAATTTCGCCCAAGCAATTAGACCATCTCCAGATGATCAGCTTAGTTCTACCAATGCAGCATTACTTCTCTACCCAGTAATAGTGCACACTGGGGCTCTCAACGGAAGGACTTATATCCATCATTGTCTTTGAGGGACAACTGATAGCGGATGGCCTCATGGCTCTCACCAGTCGGAGGAAGATATATGGACTGATGTCCAACCTCCTCTCCCCCCTTCTCTCCGCAACATGAAGGCTAGCGCATTACTTCTGCCTCTCCACAGCCAGTGAAGAAAAGAAGCAACAGAAACCAGAAATAAACCAGAAGAAGAAATGAGGTCTGAGGAGATATTTGGAACTAAAGTGATGTAGTTATCTATGTGTTTTCCCTGAGTTGCCATGGTTGCTTGTATAGTTGCTTGGTAGTGTTGCAACACTTGGGCCATATTAGCTAGTGTTCAGGAGGCCAGGAAAAAATAAAATCATTCTTCTTCTTTTCAGTATCATAATGTATTTCAGCAAATCTTATACTACATTTGGGTGTTTTTCTGATGTTTGAACTGACAAGAAAATGAAGTAATAATGCACTTGTGCAATAGGACAACGCTCAAAATATTTCAATGTAATAATGCACATAAATTTGGTTTTCATGAAGAAATCGGTCATCAACGTTCTTAACATTGGAAGATTTGAGACAGAAAATGAAATTTTTTATGCAGGAAAAAGACGACACAATGCTCTCCTCACCACTTTGGCATTTTATCCAAATATCTTTGTAAAATATTTTAAATCCATTTTCCTCGTATCTGAAGAATTTTCCGTCAGTGAAGGATCTATTATTCCAAGATTTTCCATCATACACCACGAAAATCAATCAACTTCACCATAAACGACTCAAAGGTATTAAAATTTACAAGAGGGATAGACTTGCTTTCCCCATATTAATCAGTTTGGTCACTTTGGATTGCAGCTGCACTCCTCCTCAATACCCTATGATAAACAGTTTTCCATGGCAATCACTCTGGTCCATAAATAAAGCTAAACTTTGCAACTATCATCCAAATGACTTCTCCGGAATACTCCATTGTTGACTTCTCCGGGAATTCCATAAAGAAGCTGCGTCATGGGGATGCAATTAGATTTAGCAGTTTGCATTCTGTTACAATCCAATTTTGTAGGATGCAGGAAATGACGATCCTCACCCGCTAAAGATGATTAGATCGAAAGGAAATTAGGGAGGAAATGAGGATAAAGTCAAAGACAAATCCACGCTATGTTCAAGGGCAAGGAGTTTTTTCCGGTCTTAGTTGGGGAGACCTTACCGACAGTTCATATTTCTTCAAAACAAACTTTTAAGAAGTCATTCTCCTTCCCAGTTTCTCCCTAAGGATGAAAAAATTGATAAACGATGTATTGACACATTCTAAAAAGTGACAAACTTATACAGAGGACCGTATCATAGGTAACAACAGTACTCTATCGGAGTTCCATCCTTCAGTAATAGCGTTCTGGTTCTCTACTGGATCCCAACACTGTTCATATGCTTGAACAAGAAAAAGCTCAGAAATTCTTTAGCAACTGAGTTCTATGTGAAATTGACTCTAAATGAATCAGACATAATAATTATGAATGTTTCTCATGGACGAAGAAATATTTCACGGAATCTAACCGGAAACGATTGATACATACATCTCTCCATTTGCTTTGAGCAGAAATGAATATCAATATCCAACAAGATGCCACTGAGGCAAGCTCTTACCTGAACTAAGCGAGCGGTAGATTTTTGCCAAAAATAAACATAAAAATACCTGGAACTTTTCCATCTCGGTTTCAACGAGATTGTTGGCATTGAGAACCGGAACGCTGCAGTATTCGACACAGTTATTTATGTCCTCCTGCCGTCTCTTCCTGTCGAAGCATTCATACGCACACTTGAAGTACGCTTTCTGCAAAACCATCAAAGAGGATTCCCTAAGGATCTGTAATAGAATCACAGTTCTCCCACTAACTCCAAAAGAAAAACACACAGAAAGAAACGCCTCGCCGTGTTCAAAACTACATGAATAGAGGGAATCCAAGGACACTCCAGCATTGGAAGAAAAGTGCACCTGGAGCGTGAAGTTGACGTGGTCTTGGATCGGGGAGAGCTGATCCCGCGCCGTGATGTTCACTTCCTCCAGCCTCCTCCTCAGTCTTTCGCTGACAATCCTTTCCTCACCTGCGGCGACGTGCTCCATCTCTGACCACGTCTCCCCAGATCAGCGGCTTCCTCTCTTCTCTCTCTGACAGAAGCTTGTAGGGTTTTACCGTGGTGGGGTTTTATCACTAGCCTTGGGGGAGAAAGAAAAGATGGGGTCGGAAAACCCGCAAGAACAGTATTATCTTAAGATGTTTCGCACAAACCAGAAATCCAACAGTTGGATTGGGATTCCAACTGTGGGACCCGCCAGATTCTCTCCTCGATAAATACCTGCACCATTTTCTTCCTTGGACGCCATTTTCATAGGAGGGAGGAGATGGGGACGGAATGCCTGGTCGTTCCTCCCCTTCTCTCCTCCTTCGTGGACGCCTTCGTGGACTTCTCCGTAGGCGGTATCTTCTTCCCTCTTTCGGAGGAGCTCCGATCGATCCCCGATCCTGAAGGTGGAGCGCCTCCGGCGCCGGCGACGCTGTTCCCCTCGCCGGCGCGGCTCGTCGCCATCGGGGATCTCCATGGCGACCTGCACAAGGCCAAGCAGGCTTTCTCACTCGCCGGCCTCGTGGACTCGCAAGAGGGAAGGTGGAAGGGGGGATCTTCTGTGGCTGTTCAGGTCGGCGACGTGCTGGACCGTGGAGGGGAGGAGATCAGGCTGATGTACCTCCTGCATCGCCTCAAGATCGAGGCATCTCGCGCCGGCGGAGCCCTCCACATTATCAACGGTAACCACGAGGTCATGAACGTGGCTCTGGACTTCCGTTTCGCGACTCCGGCGGGAATTGCGGAGTTTGAGCGTTGGGGCGTTTGGTACCGGGTCGGGATGGCGATGAAACGGCTCTGCGATGGCGTGGAAAGTCCGAAAGATCCGTTCGAAGGGATTCCAAGCGTCTTTCCAGATGTGAAAGAGGAGTTCTTGGAGGGCATCAGGGCGCGTATTGCGGCACTGCGTCCCGATGGCCCGATCTCCAGGCGATTTTTAGCTGGAAACCAGACGGTCGTTGTCGTCGGGGACTCGGTTTTCGTCCACGGAGGACTTCTGCGGGACCATGTGGAGTACGGACTCGAGAGATTAAATGATGAGGTGAGGGACTGGATTGAGGGGTCAACAAGTTCGATGCCACGTCACTTGAAGGGGCGAGATTCCCTGGTGTGGCTGCGTAGATTCTCCGATGGCCCAGACTGCGACTGTACACATCTGGAGGAGGTTCTATCGACTATTCCAGGGGCTAAACGGATGGTGATGGGACACACAATCCAACAAAGGATCAATGGAGTTTGCGAGAACCGTGCAATCAGAGTGGATGTCGGACTCTCAAAGGGCTGTACCAATGGATTGCCCGAAGTCCTGGAGATCGTAGAGGGGAAGCAGTTGAGGGTGTTGACCTCAAACGAGGTGTTCCGGCACAAGAATACCTACGAGTCGTCTGTGAGGTTGAAGAAAGAAATTGTTAAGTTTCCAGAAAGTATGATTAAAGATGTTGAAGTGAAAGCTTAAAGCCGGTTGTTTGTAACCAGTTACCACCTGTCTTTGGCCTATAATATTGAAGTACCGAGACTCCCCGATTAGGTGAGGATAGTGTTTTTCTAGCATCATCAGTAGGTATATTTTTGGCCTCCATTTTGTACAAGGCCTTGTATCAGGTGTTCAGCTATCTACCCGTCTTAATATGTGACTGGTTTATGGATGTAGATGAGTGTGGTATCATCATTGGCTGTTCATGCGTTTTGCTCTTTATTAGTCGTTGCTAATCACTCGTTTTCCTTTTATAATCTCAGTGTGACAAGTAATGCATCTGAGTATGAAACAGCATCTGAATTGAGCTAAATTAAAGGTAAGATGGCCATGACACTGACATTTATAGTGAACTTCGTTCATCAATGAAGCACAAAAACCTAAGACATTGCCATGAGCCTTCCTGGGTGGAAAACGAATGGAGGCCTAAAGTTGAAAAGAGTATATCTAATGGATTAGATGAAGATTCATAAGGAATAACTGGATTGTAGATAGGCCGCAGTGTTAGTCTTAACTAAGGTATTCTAAGGTGCTCTATCATGTCCTTACAATGTTTTACTATTTTGAACCTAGTGTTGAGATCTTCATATTTCTTCAAAATCTACTTTTGTAATTTCGTATAGATTTTTTTCTCACTCGATAGAAAAATTCTATTTCTATTTGTGACGCATCTGTAAGCCTTCAATGTCGACCTCGATTGCTTTGCTCATTTTTTCAGATCCTATTTATTTCTTCGCCATCTCAAATTATGTCTCCTCAAAGAGATTTTATATGTTATGGAGACATTTGATAGTCATACGTGTGGGATGATCCATGCTACAATCTTAGAGAAAATTATGGACCAAAATATCACCAGGCAACTACAGGGACAGTGGATAACACCAGTGAGTGCTTGATGTTATAACATTTCAGGCACTCTTGGTGGAGCCGGAAAAAAACTTGATGTTGGGCTCATGAGGATGGGAAATCGTAGTTTCCATATGTAAAGAGGAATTGGCTCCACTGTCCTGTTTTCCCTTTTTTCTTTTCCATTATAGAGGGGAAATTTACCTCCACTGTTGATAAAAAATTATGTACAGCAGCCCAGATGATTGGATGGGCCCTTTCTTCTAATCTGGGCCTTGACGCAATAAATGAAACCTCCCTTTTATTTTTCTAATCTTTTGATGCAACAAGTAGTTAACATTGTAAATTTAAGCCTGGACTCAAAAGAGAGCAGTTTGCGGATTAACCATTCCTTCCCTCTTTTCATGCAAGTGTGTATCAGCGAAATAAAAGGTGAAAATTTTGCTGTTTCGGTAACAGGGTTGAACACTTTGTATCTCCTCCTTCCATCCATTCATGGTTCTAACATTGTCTCATCAAACAGAATGTGGCTTCTTGTGTTCTACACTTACAATTTACTAGAGGAGAGCAATTACATGCCTCAGTTGTTGTCTTATTATGTACACTAGTTCCATGATGGAACCAATGTAGACTAAATCATAGCACCAAGTCACATTGATTACAAGGGCAAAGTGCATCCTCAACAACCCATCACTCGAAAGGCTTCCTCCTAATTCCCACTGGTAAAGAAGCTGTTGATTCAACGCTCAGGCTCCCTAGGGAGTTCGTCATCCTGTGCTTCCCTCTGATTATCTGGTGATTTGATTCCTTGGTTGCAGGCTGGGAACTCTTCTTCCACTTCAAGGTCTCAATGTTCTGTGTCAGTCCAAAGGAAAACCTCTTCTTTGTCTCCATCTTTGGACTCTCTTTGTAGAATTTATAGTCTTTTACCTTTGCTCTTGCAGAAAGCGTTGGAGCCATGTAGCTGGGCACAGTGAAAGCGGGGCAGCTCGTCAGGCTCTCATCATCCCTCAGCGGCAGGTGGCAGCTTCCTTCCCAGTTCATCATGTGGTTGTCATGACCAAATCTGGGGCTCCTTCTGTGTCTGCCGGCCTGTTCCCAGGTCGGTGCATTGGCCTTGGCCAGTGGTGTGGCTGCCCTCTCCTTAGCAGATTGGCCCATCTGGAAAAGCCCCTTGAACGTCCACCAACCCGTGCTTCTTCTGGCCTTCAATTCCTTCAGGGAGGAAGGGGGCAATCTAGTTGGTGTCTTTGGGAGCTGGTGGAGAAGATATCATGTTAAGCCCGTGTCTTCAGTCATGGGAGAAGAGCTTCTTCTGATGTGAAGATACCTGATGGGAGGTTGCATAGGCCAGAGCTCTCTCCCTTTTGACGATCCCCTCCACCTTCTTCTGCAGCCTCGCATTCAGTTCCTCTGTGGACAGCAAGCTCGCATCCCACTCCCACCGGGTTTCTGCCTCTCTATGTACCTGCACAGAAGAAGGATCCCACAATCTGATGGCTGGAAGACGCTGAGAGCATCAAAATCCAGTAGCTGAGGATAATTATGCAGAGGAAGGGGATGTGCAAAGGGTCTCTGTTACTCTGATGCTCGGGCTCCATTGGCCAAGGGTACCACTGGCTTCTTCCTTCTCATAAATCAATGGAGTCACCATCCCCTGGGCCCTTCTTTGACATATCTGGGACTGGACTCTTGTGACCAGCTGCATCAGTCTCATGGCATTCATGGTCTGCCGCATTACACCCGGCCCTCTTATTGTGCGGTGGAGTCTCAGCAGTGCCCTGAAGCTCTTCCTTGCCTGAAGGTACAATCTTCTCTCCTTCAATTTTTTCAGGATGAATTGTGGGAAAAATATTGGAATTTTTTCCAAGGGTTTGATCTCTAACCTTGTAACCTCTGTAGGCTGCTTGGATCCTTATCGCCGACCTCTGGAGACATCTAATGGCGATCCTTGGAAGGGGATCTATGGGTTGCTCGTCAGCTTGCTTCTCTGATGGGGCAGATCGTGGTGGCAGAGGAAGAACCTTCTCTTTTCTGGTGCCGCCAGGGAACTGAACCTCCACTGGGGCCGCCAAGTTCAACCCGTGCCGCTCCCATTTGGCTTCCCCCAGTATCCTTTCAATGCCACTGAGTCTTTTGTGGAGGTGGGTGGCAGACTTTGTGCTGCAATTCCCAGTTGGCTTCCCTGCGTCCCTCTTCTTCTTTTTCTTCTTCTCCTCCTCCTCCTCCTCCTTGACAAAGCTCCCATCTTCCCCCTGCAACCCAATAAAGGAAGCCGATCCAGGACATGGGATGACAAAGAACGCCATGCCTCACTTCTCTCCAGGTAAGCCAAAGAGTTCCTCTCTCTATCTCACTTCTTTGTTCTTTATCGTTTCTTATTTTAGTGGATATATCCTTCATTCCAGTTCCCATTTATGAATCATGCATCGATATATCATTTTGAAGAAATTGATCAGTGCTCCGATTTCAACCGTTCAAACCCATAAGATTCTCATGCATGATAGAACAAAAGTCAACATTATTCTACAATACCAGTTACATACCTTGATCTCTGGCTTCTGGTTGGAGGTGGAGGAGAAGACCCTCTTCAGAGCCACTATCCATTTCCCCTTCCTTCCCATTTTCACAACGTCGCTGTCTGTTCCCCCTCACAGCACCTGCAATTGTTTCTGTACCGGTGAAGAAGAGGGTTCAGTGGGATATGACAACTCGGGAATAGATTTAGAGAGAATATATAGCATCGGAGTTTATTTAGAGAGAGAAACTCGCCGTTCTATGGATGATGAGCCTTCTGTGGCCGATCACCAGGTAGAATTGAACACTTGATTGATGAGAAAAAAAAAAGTGTCATGGGATCAGATGTAGAGAGAGCCTGCATGATTTTGGAACAATGCAGGGAGCTCACCATCTAGAGAGAGAGAGGCACACCATCTTGAGGAGCTCTTGCCCAATGGTGGAGGACTGACTAATCGCACCCTTCCAAGCCTTTAGCTACCTGTCTCTGTCCATCTTCATGAGGCCGAACTCTCAGGCTCCTGTGAACTCCCTCGTTACTCTTCTCTTCCCCTGTAGATCCTCCCTGCCGCAGGAAGAACTCGGCATCTGGTTCTTCCTTGCTGGGATGGTGTTTACCTCTGTCTTCTTTCCTCTCTTTTTTTAAGCTTTTAGGATCAAGGGTGCTGTTATATCTGTCTTTGGAGCTGCCTATGACGCAGGTTGTAAGGAAAAGAAGGGGGTAGAGAGAGAGAGGTGTGAGTGAGAGGACTACTTCCTCACTCCATTCCCGCACCCACCCCTCCACAACCAACTTTGCTTGGGCACAAAGACAGCACAGACACTCAAAAGAATCACCAGGTCGTTCATCTCTCTCTCTCTCTCTCTCTCTATCTCTAGATTATTTTCGGATGAGATAGGGTTAGATTTGTACCAGGAGGTATAGAAATCTTCACTTCCCCCCTCTCCCCCACCAACCGTCGCACAGAAGGGCTTGTGTTTCCGTTGAAAAAGTGAAAACCCTAGGACTGCTGCACAGGGTTCAAGATCTTCCCATAGATAAAATTTCCATTTACGGTAGTCTTTCAGCATGAACAGCTTCTTCAGTGGGGGTCTGGATAGAAGCAAAAACGGCCCAATACCTTTTTTTTTCCCTTCAAGGATTCGCTTTGAAGACACTGAAAGCGATCCTGTTGAGCGGGAGCTACTCCATCGCTTCGCTAGGGCTATGGCAATGTTAGGCTTTGCCACGTCACCCTTTTCTGGAATCCCTAGGCGTGCTTTCGAGGTCACTTAGACGTTACTCCCCAACAAGGGACCTACGTCAGTGGGCGGGCCGGGCTAGAGAGAGGGAGAGAGGGGGTGCCCCAGGTCTTTCGGAATCTGAAATTTTTGTCCTGACTTAGTTCAAAATATCTCACGAATCGTATGCTTTTTTGTATCTTAAATATATCAATCATTTCATGATATTATTTTAATGAAAAAATAGTTATTTAAGATTCATCAAAAAAAATCTTAAGGTGTCGGGCCGATGTGTCTGGCCCCGGCCCAAAAAGAGACCCTATGAAACGGGCTTTGGGCCTGAGCTCCTCCTTTGAGAGATGGAGCGATTAACTACGGGGTACTTGCCACGTGTCAGGAGACAAAAGGCTGGAAGGTTTTTTAACTCGGCCAACGTATGTTTTCTTTTTTGGGCTTCCTTATGAAGCCCAATGAGGAATGAAGCTGGAGCGGGCCGAGTTACTCTACCCATTCTGCAGTGTTAAACATCACCAAGTTCAGAAGCTAAAAAAGTCAACTACCCAGAAGCACAGCCGAAAGAACCCTAATTACCAGAAGAAGAAGAAAGGGGGGATCGTGGCGATCTAAGAAGTGGGGAGGGGGAGCAGGTGGAAAAGAAAAGAGAGAAAAAGAGGAATTTTCAATGTGAAATGATTAGCATACACAAAGAGGGTGGGATCCGCCGCAGATTTCTACAGGAGGAGCTTAAAAACCCAAACCCCTCAGATTGCCAGAAGAGACATTGCAGCAATCCCGAGAAGAAAAATATAATTTTTTTTGTTAAAAATCTGATTCAGTGATGGGTACTTACATGGTCTTCTTCTTGTTCTTCTTGTTCTTCTTCTTCTTCTTCTTGTAGCTAGGAATCGTCGGCCATGGCCATCCTGCTCAGGGGGCTGGGACCGAGGTTCCTCCTCCTGGAGGCGGCCCTCCTCTTCACGAACTCCATCTGGTTCCTCCTCCGCAGCGTCTGCGCCGCCGTCGCCTCCTCCACCACGAACCTCCTCATCACCACGTCGTCCGTCAGCGACTTTCCCCTGAACAGCCGCCGTCCCTCGCCAGAGGCCCGCGGCGCCACCGCCACCGCCGGCGGCGGGGCCGGTCTCCGCCGCGGACAGCTCGCGCTCCTCTGCCCAGCGGGCGGGGGCAGTGGCGCGCAGAGGCAGGCCCGTGTGAAGGAAGCGGCCCCCGCCCTCAAAGAAGACGACTTTCTCAGTCTCCTGCCGGCGACCTCCGCCGCCGGCGCCGGTGGCGCCGGCTTGGGCGCAGGCGTCCACAGGGCGGCGGCCTCCATCGCCCGCTGGTACCACCGCTTCCTGCGGAGCCGACATCCCCTCGTGAATTCCAGAGAAATCCTCAAGGAAACGATGAAGAGAAGACCCTGCAACTCCTCCATACCTGGACTTTGATTCCTCCTTTTCTAGAGTGAACAGCGAATGGAGATACATCGGAGAGGAGACCTGCTTCTGGGGTTGGAGACGGCGGTGGCAGTTGATCAGACCCAGGTGAGCTCCATAGTCTAGAGAGAGAGAGAGAGAGATTGTGGGGGAGTAGGAGACGATGAGACCCCGGTGAGCTCCACGGTCTAGAGAGAGAGTGAGAGAGAGAGAGATGGGGGGAAGGTGGTGGGCAACGGGGTTCTCTCTTTTCTTGCTGCTTTTCTTTCTCGCTCGCGTGCTTTGGCTTTGGCAGATGACCCTTTTGAGCGCAGGTGGGAGGCGGAGTAGGAGGAGCAGGAAAGAAGAAGAAAGCCTCCCTGACCCTCGAGTGAACAGAAACCCGATTTTTAAACTCTAACGACCTCAGTGGGCTCCCGTGGCATCGTTCGTCAACAGGCCGGGATGAATTTCTCGCTCCTCAACGCCTAATACCTGTCCTAGAGAGAGAGAGAGGTCAGGGAAGGAGATGAATCTCTCGCCTAATACATGGCAGGCTAATCGAGTTGCCTTGAGAAATTCTTGTTCTTCAGTTGTTGGGTCTTCCTTACCATGTTGACTCACTTTGTTGACGAAACCGGGCTGGAATAGCCTAGAGAAACGGGTTTCAAGTTAGTGCTCTATCTTTATATATATAGAGCGAGAGAGAGAGAGAGAGAGAGAGAGAGAGAGAGAGAGATGAGTGCTTATGGGATAACCATGTGGCAAGACATATATAGGTTTGTCATAGTTCAGATATGGATTGAATAGTGACTGGAGCAGTCCAATTGACTAGGATAGCTCAGCCAATTCGCTTGTAATTAACTAGCCGTTGTTTATTTAAAACCCATATGAAAATAATAATTTATACTAGACAACAACTATTAGTTAGTAAACACATCCAATGACAAACATCATAGCACATCATTGACTTGCCATTTGATGTGTTAAGTGCTCCCAAATAACCCTTGAAACACCCCTTAGATTGAAGGCATGAGGTTCAAAGTGTGGCACACAAGCATGACACGACATGACATGACACGACATGCATCATTGACATGCATGAAGCTCACACATTTGTGCATGTGATTTAGACATACGACACCACCAAGATAGAACAAGGCCCATGACATTTATATTGACACTCATGACTCAAGGGATTGCAAAGACAAGGTTTGTGAGAAGTATTTGTAAACTTTTGGGGAACTATGTGTGTTATGTTGTGTGTGTCAGCCCAGTGTGACATGAGTTAGTGTTGACTATGTCAAGATAGAGGCAAGTTCAAGGGAGCATCTCATGATCCTCAAAGACCAATGGTATGATATGTCATAACATGGCACGAGCGATGTGCACGAAGAGGTGTGTGACACAGCAATGTAGCGCAGCATGAAGTAGTATTGATGTAGACACTTGACAAGTGGTAGGAGCAGAATGAGGCTAACAAAGAGGTTGTGACCTACCAAATCTCATCTGCCACATTATCAAGCTATCACATCGAAGGTTAAGGCGACTATGAGGGTTCATCTAATATTGGGAGGCATTAGCCTTATAAAGCTGGATGGCCCTTTTGAGCAAGAGAATTTAGTTTTTTGGCAGAGAAGAAGGCTGTTTTGTGTCATTAAGGATAACCAAGGCCTCTCTTGCCTTTAATTATAGTGAGCAATGTAAATCACATAGTGGTTGGCGCCCCTAGGCCACAGCCCCAACTTGAATAATAAAGGCTTATCATGTTTCTTTTCATACTAAATTAGTGATAGAGAGAGAGAGAGAGAGAGGGAGGGAGGGAGGGAGGGAGAGAGAGAGAGAGAGAGAGGGAGGGAGAGGGAGAGGGAGAGGGAGAGAGAGAGGGAGGGAGGGAGAGGGAGGGAGAGGGAGGGAGAGAGAGAGAGAGGGAGGGAGGGAGGGAGGGAGGGAGGGAGGGAGAGAGAGAGAGAGAGAGAGAGAGAAGGAGAGAGGAAAGTTTCTTACCTGGGCTACATTAGGGGGATAAATGATGGGGAAGCAGTCCTGAAACGGAAGGGACAAAATAAAAAATAATTGAATCAAAGGCTATAAAGGCGAGTACAAAATAATCTTAGTGTTGTCTTTCAAATTAATGTTTTTCCTGGGAAGCATCGATTAGAGGAATGAACCTCATGGGCTTGAGCTGTCTCGGGTTCTCTTGGCCCAATACCAAGCATTGCGCATCCCAATAAATGTGGGCCCGGCATCATAAAAAATATTGGAAATTGGAGCCCAGCCCACCACAAAAGCCTGCCTTCAAATGGGCCGTATATTATTTCATCATTCTTCCTTGGAAAGGGGAGCCTTGCCCACATCATGATGGGCCCAACCTGACCGGGGCCCACCACTGGCATGAACCTTGTGGATAAGCTTATGGGGTCCACAACTCCAGCCGTTTTCGGGCTTTTTTAAGGCCCGAAATCAGTTTAGAGAGGTTCTCGAGGCCCTGGCCGGCCCAGTGGACCTGTCCTCTATTTATTCTTTTTTATAATAAAATCGATTTATTTTTATTGAATATAAATAAAACATCGATTTTGCTACCTATCAGCTCCACGGCTTCCCGACGGACCGAACCAGGAATCCGTCAAGCAGAACCGAACCAGAGCATCCGGACAAATGGGGATCAGACACGTGGCATATCAACATTCGGCCACACGTCAGGTATGCTTTTAGGTATTTTGATTTTAAAGGCGTATATTAAGTGGAACTTCGAGGACCCACCGCCCCCACGTTGCGCGTTTCGCGAAGCAATGGTTGACACGTGGCGGTTGAATTAGTCTCCCCGTTTTAAAAGCCACGTGACTCATAGTGCCAAAGTTGAGGTGGGGTCCACCCCCCCAAGAACCCACCGCCAACCGGAAATTATTGAGGTTCGGTGGAGGGTCTGTGTGAACGGATTCCGGTCCTCCCAAATATCTGTTGACAATGGGTAGGAAATTATTTTGGATTTTTCCCAGGGGATAACTGTTAATTTGTTCCCACTATCTGGTCAATGGTATCTGCGTTGACGATGATAAGATGGGCCTTCGGATCAGTCCCCCCTCGTCCACATGGAAAAGATCTCATCCGTCCATTCGGTCAAGCCTGCTTCTCGAGTGGGGCCTCTTCCAAAGGAGGGCGAATAGATCCATTCGATTGTACTCGCTCAGATCTTTCACTGTTTATTAGGAAGTTTTCGGCGGCGGCGGCGGCGGCCGCCTGCCGCGGACTACGTGAATTGGCGCCATCTGGCAGGCGAGGGCCGCCGATAGCACGTTATCCGTTGCTTGCGAGGGGAGTTTCAAAAAAATGAAAATGTCTGAGGAGGATGTTTTCGCAAAAAAAGCAGCGGAGGAATGCACTAGGTCCGGGCAACTAGTTAATAAAAAACATTTTTAGGGTCTATGTGAAATTATTATATAAAAGTGGCAAGTTTGATGGAGGAGCCAGTCAGACAAGGACATAATTCTTTTAAATGGAGTAATTCACGTGATTAGCTGATTAATACTGTTCATAATACTTTGGTCATTTTATTAAATGTGTTATTTAGCTGTTAAGAGATTATACGGAGTTGTTTTCGGGTCATTTTCTTAGAGGGTCCCACATCTGAACCGGGAGTCGTGCGGCGGAAGACGACAGACCGCTCTCCCTACCTTCCTCGTGGTAGTAACACAGAAGAGAGAGAGAGAGAGGGAGAGAGAGAAATAGAGGAGAGAGAGAGGAGAGAAAGAGAGAGTGGGGGAGAGAGAGAAGGGAGGGAGGGAGGGAGAGAGAGAGAGGGATTGGTATTCTTCCTTCTCTCTCTTACGTCTTCGGTCGCACTGTAGAGGACCGGGGAAGAAGCAAGGGCCAACCCATTTCCAGAATGTCACCAGGAAACGGTAATAAAGAAACTATGCACAGAGAGAGAGAGAGAGAGAGAGTGGGAGGCGACATAGCTTTTCTCTGCATCCTCGTCCCTCGCTCCTTCTTTCTTTAGATTTCTGCTGACACAGTGTAGAGTGAGAAATCGACCCATCGAGAATCTGAGCAGTAACCCAGTAATAAAGTAGCCATCGAGCACAGGTGTTGAGAGAGAGAGGGGAGTGGTGGCTTCGTGGGGCGTGTCTAGTACTCTTCTTCCTGCTCTTTTCGCTGTCATACAGAGCGGACAAGCGAACCCTCACAGCCGCTGCCGCTGGGCCTGTTCATCTGCTCGTACTGCTCGTCTCCACCAGCGGGATGGCCAACTCCTGACGAGCGGGGGATTTCTCCTCCTCATTGGCCCCAGTCGCCGGAAGATTCCCGCCTCTGTTCCTCCTCCGGCGACCGGCGGGGATGGAATGGGGCTTCTGCTCTCGGAGCGGCCTCCTCTGATCCCCTCGCCTCCGTCATCCGTCGGTAAGTTTCACCGCCCCCCGTTCTCTCTCTCTCTTCTCCTCTGCAACTCCCTCAAGCAGAGCGTCTCCCCCATTACAAAGCGGGGGATCTCATATAATGCTGCGCGGGGCTGGCATTGTCCTTCACCAGAGCTTCTACGGTTGCCTGGGCGCGTATTCTCGTGATTCATAGATTCGGAAGTCATTCGGAGGCCTTATTTTAATGTTGGATCAGATGTAATGGTGCTGGAAATCCCTGCTAAGCTCATCGTCTTCCTCTCATGCGTTCCTCCGAGAATCTTCTGTTGAACCCCTCTCCACCCCCTTCTCTCTCTCTCTCTCTCTCTCTCTCTTTCTCTCTCTATCGCTCTTGCTCGCTCCAGGTCAAATTCCAGGTTAGGTCTCCTGCGACTTTCATTCCGGTGGTCAATTCAATTTTCTATTTGATTCCGAGATTTTTTTATCCCCTCTTCGTCTCCGTCATCTCAGTCGGACTGTGTCGTCTTCAACCTCCGGGTGGGCGATCTACAGGCCAAAACGCACCAATTCTCAGGCTTCTCTCCGTTCGTTTTCGCTAGGGTTTCTGCAGAAGATTGTCCGCTGGTCTCATCCATCTCTGTTTTGTATCGTCTAGATTCGTAGATCTCGGTCCTGATTGGGGCCGCGAACCTCCTTCGCCTGCAATTACAATTGCTTCCATCGGATTGTCTGGTTAGGGTTTTGCAGATTGTTCATCGAGCTCGCCGGTGTTCGCAGGCTGGTTCACCCCGGAGATTGAGAAAACCAGATGGCCACCCTGGTTCCTGGTGTCCTCCTCAAGCTCCTCCAGCATATGAACACCGACGTGAAGGTCGCCGGTGAGCATCGTTCCTCCCTGCTGCAGGTCATCAGCATCCTCCCCGCACTCGCCGGCGGCGACCTGTTCCCCAACCAGGGATTCTACCTCAAGGTCTCCGACTCCTCCCACGCCACCTACGTCTCCCTCCCCGACGAGCACGACGATCTCATCCTCAGCGACAAGATCCAGTTAGGGCAGTTCATCTATGTCGATCGGATTGAGGCTGCTTCTCCTGTTCCGATCCTCCGAGGAGTGAGGACAGTCCCCGGTCGCCATCCATGCGTCGGCAGCCCCGAGGATGTCGCAGCCACGCGACCCCGAGGAGGATTCCCAAATGCGGAGAAATCGTCGCCGCTGTCGCCGTTGACGGGTGGCTTCAAGGTCGGCAATGGAGATCCTCCTCCCTCCGAGAAGGAGAAGAGCAGGTTGGGGAGATCAGACGGCGCCGCCAGATCGAAGGAGGTGGAGAAGACGAAGAAGCAGGCCTCTCTGAGTAGAGCGGTTTCTTCCTTGCCGGCGAAGAAGAAGGCTGGTTCCTCTGAACTGAGGCTTAAATCAGAAAAGTCTCTGTCTGTGCCTTCCTCGCCGACCTCTGTGTACTCCATTCCTGCATCATTCGAGAAGTTCTCTGCAGGAATCAAGCAGCAATCGAAGATCAAAGGGAGAGACAAGGCGGCAGCTCCTTCGAAGCCGGGCTTGCTGGAGAAGGCAGCTTCTGTTTTTAGGTCAAACACCATGGGGAAGAAGCTTCCCTCTGGCAACCCGGTGATTGGGTTTGATTTGGGTTCCAGGGCTCTGAGGAAGAGCTGGGAGGGGAGCGCAGAGACCAGCGGGAGAGACAATCCGAGCTCTAGGAAGGCAGATGCAGCAAGCTCTTCTTCCGTGAGATCTTCTTCCTCTTCTGAGAATCCAGAGGGACTGCTCTGGGATTTTCTTCTAGTTTACTGTGATTTTCCTTTTTTCCCGAATCAGGTTCTTCAGAGGAAGCCAACAGGCGAGAAGCCCTCCTCCAGGGAAGATGGCAAGATCCAGACTCCGCCCAGAAGAGGAAATGTGGGTGGAGCTTCGGGAGAGCCTGAGAAGCCTGCCAGGCCACCATCCCTGGTGGAGAAGAAGAAGAAGGACCCTGAATCTGCGAGCAATGGGATCCCGAGCAACCTTGTGAAGTTCAACCACAACAACAGGAGGTTGACTGATGGGAGCACCTCGTGGGCTCAGCTCCCGCCAGCCCTCTCAAGGCTCGGAAAGGTGTGACCATCGTCCCCTTCCCCTCTCCTTGATTTCCAGTTTTGGTGCTCAATACCAGTCTATATGTACATAAATTTCAAAAATATATTTATAAATTGTGCTGGGTTGCTGCATATTGAGCTATAATTAGCCCTGAAGCATCCCGCTCGGGGGTACTTTACTGAATCCTCGCAGGACCGAGCCTGTTTGACCAGCCTAGATGACGCCATTTTCAGTGCTCGAATGGGTGGATATCTATAATCGGCAGGCGCAAGATTGGGATTCCTTCAATTGGATTATTTTCAGCATAATTGATCTTCATTATGATACATTTCAGGAAGTTTCTCGCCGTCGGGATTCTGCACAGCTGGCTGCGGTCCAGGCCATGCAGGAAGCCTCTGCGGCCGAGAACTTGATCCGGTGTCTGAGGTAGTAGAAATAATATCCCTCTTATCAGAAAAATAAAAATGAAAACATTAGCAAGTGAACTTTGCTGTTCTTAAATCTTTGAAATTATGTTCAGTATCTATGCAGAGCTCAGCTCCTCAGCCCGGGAAGAGGATCCTCAGTCTACAGTCGAGCATTTCCTCTCCCTCTACGCTGGCCTGACCCAGGCGGGGCTTGTTGCTGACTCCCTGCTGAAGACTCTCCCCTTAGAGGATGGCAGAGAGGAGCCCGTGGAGCCGCCATTCTCAGAGGAGCTGCTGAAGGCTGCCGCTGACAGCCAGAAACATGCCACCTCATGGGTACGTGCCGCCTTGGCCACCGATCTCTCTGGCTTCACTGTGTTTAGGAGATCCTCTGCCAATTGCACAGCCGGCGCTGGTGGTGCCGCCAGTGCTGCTCCGTTGGTTATTCTCGATGGCAGCTCGAAGATGCCAGCTTCTGGTGGACCTCCGGTGAAGACCCGTCTCCCCCGATTGCCCATTGCTGGCGGTGGCAGTACCACCATGTTGAGAGGGAAGCCGAAGGCCTCTGCTGCTGCCGCCTTGGTGAATTCTCCGCCGCCTGAGTGGGACCGGGGAGAGGGCCTCGAGGAGGTGGCAGAGCTGGCCAGGAGCCTGAGGGTGGAGTCAAGGGACTGGTTCCTGGGGTTTGTTGACAGGTTTTTGAATGGTGAGGTGGATCCAGCTGACTTGTCCGACAAGGCCCGGGTGGCCAGCATGCTCTCACAGCTCAAGAGGGTCAACGACTGGTTGGAGGAAGTTGGTCGGCCGATGGCGGTAGGGGAAGAAGTTGGCAGCGCTGGCGGTGGCAGCAGCACTGAAGGTAGTCAAGTCCCACCGGAGATGATCGACCGCCTCAGGAAGAAGATATATGACTATCTGCTGACTCATGTGGAGTCCGCTGCTGTTGCCCTTGGGGCTGGCGGTGGTGGCGGCGGTGGCGGTGGGGTGTCGGCCACTCCAGCAGGCAGTGGCGGCGGCGAGCGGCATAGTCGGAGATGATGGAGTCTTTTGGAAACTCCTGGTCGAAGATTCCTCTTCTGTGAAGATCAAACCACACATTTTACAGTGAAATTATGGGAAGAAAAGGGAAAGAACCCATGACTACAGGTATATTTTTGTGCATATGAGTTTTGAATTTCTCATTTATCGTCCATTTTTGGCATGATTTCATCCGCCACAGCAGCCTCTTGGGTGGTGCGTGTCAAATCGTGGGGATGATACGTGAAATGTTGACCGTCTTGTGGTCTCGGTTTGAAAGGTCAACGATGTGCGACGGGTCTCCCTCTTTTGGTTTTCTTATTTCGGAGTGGAATTCAGACACGATTTTCTCAAGAGTGTTGACTTCGGCGGTTCCCCATTATGGTTGACTTTTGGTGGGAGCGTTTGACCGAGAAATGTGTCGAAATATCGAAAGAAATAATTTGTAAATAATTATTAATTAAAAAAAGATGGGATGGGGATTCTCGGCCCAAGAAATAGCGGTGGAATCTATTTGGGCCCATATTTTTTTGGCCCAGTAAATTCAGTTAAAAAAATATCAATAACTCGAGCGATGGTGGCGAGGCTCCTTTCGTCGAGCAGCCCCCGAGTTACCTGCGAAGTGAAACCCTAGATCAGCGGCATCGAGCTCTTTGATGCTGATCGGGAGGGTAGATTCAGGTTGCAGGCTCTCACTGTAGAGCGGCAAGAGCAGAGAAAACAAGGTTTGCTTCTACCTTAATCGCTGAGACTTTTCCGCCTGTCGTAGTGCTAGAAGATCTTGCTGAACCATCCGGTGCTCTTGGAAGCGAAAAGAAGGCTGCAAGGTGTTTAACTCATATCGTGTCTTCGTTTCTTTCTTCCTGCTAATTTCCTCACCAGCTCACTCTTGTTCGAAAATGTTTACTGGGACGAGAACTGGTTCTGTAGTTTCTCGCGTGTTTTATGTACTTGAATTCTCTGTCTGCGTTCTGGCCCTGTCGTACTTGGTGTTTATGGTGTTAGAAGAGAAAATGTATGGCGCTAGCTACTGTTCCGAGTTCTAGGGTTTAGTCCGATGCGCGAATGACCATTTTCTGTTCAGAGAGTATGGGGGGCAACGACTCCTGGGGAAGCAGGATCGTGATTCGTGGGGAAGATGCAGAAGCAGGTTCTTCTGGACTGGAGCGGTCTTGTGAAATAATCAACGGGTTTTTCTAACTAGGATGAGGTGCAGTCCATGGCAGACTAGATGATGTGCTAACTCTCTTTCCACACATCAGTGTGCTTGGGGATCGATTAAACACCCAATTCTCTGGGGATCAGACCCAAACCCCGTGTTGATCAAGCCATTCCTTTTGGGCTAAAAAATAGTTTTATATGAAACAACGATTTTTCAGTTTCAACACCATCATTTTCTTCTTCGCTTTTGAAGATTAGGGGACATGAAAGCTGTTTTTCTTTGCTTATCAGGGAATGGCGCTCAGAGGTGTCTGGCAGCTCCAGAAGCTCGTTGTGAGCTACTGCGACTGGGGAGGGAGCAGTCGAGGCATCAGGTTTCTCTTCTTGTACCTATCCAGTGTTTCATCAACCGACTTTACTTTATTTCAGCATGTTAATCTAAGTTTATATATTTTCTTGTGTATTCTATTATACTTTCCTTACACACCTAATTGAGACTGCACATTTCGTCTGAGGATGCTACTATGTCGTTAACTGATTGAATGAGATAATAAGAAAAACGAATTGGAATTCGGAATTTTTAATTGCTTATAATTTTGGATCATCTGACTCAAAACGAAGTGGTTAATCAGTGATATGGGTTTATCTTTAACATAAATTTTGATGAAATATCTATGTGATAGTAATATTATTTCCTTAATGTTATTCAAGACTTTAGTCTCTGAAAGTCCATAATGTTTTGATGCCCATTAGTACATCATTTCTGATAATATGAGTTAGAGTACCATACAGAGTTCCAGTTAGACGAATAAGCCGAATTAAAATATCTCTCAATAATAGCTCATATTCGAGTAAAATAGTGAAGGAGAATCCGTGGCACAACACATTAATAATCCCCAACAGGTGATGCCCGAAGATTATGTAGAACTTCATATTGGCATTTATATGCTTTCCCTGCAGGGATTATTAGGCGAATTGAAGGAGTGGAGATTCTGGGTCTTCTCTCTCTCTCTCTCTCTCTCCCCTTACCCATTAGTGTTTCCAAATCCATTCTAAACATCTATTGATATCTTCTTCTTTTTGAGATTTATAAGTCATGGATATTTTGGAAATTGGGTTGGAACTGATCATCATAGTGATGAGGATGATGAATATTGTCGCTGTTGTTTTACTATTCTTGGTTTCCTCCACACGAGGGCAATGGGCACTGCTGAATCCTTGGATTTCCACTTCATTCTATGAACAGGATTGTCCAGAGGGGGTTGACCTTGAGTCTCAGAGCTCCCTGGTTCCGCAGATTTTTTTTTTCTTAACCTGATTTCTCATTAATAATACTGCAGGGCGTTTATGGAAGCCCACTTGCCGGCATTCAAGGAGAAGAACCCGCAGCTGGAGGTGGTCACCGAGCTGATCCGCGGGCAGCATCCGCACCTGAAGGGACTCTACAGTGAGTGTATTATTAGTAGATAGGCTGTTCCCTCTTCATTAACGTAGTCCACAGAAGTCTTTGAGGGAGGCTGCTGTTGACTTGTGGTATTCTTCTCGTTGGGGTGGGGTGTGTGCAGAAAATCACAACGATCGGGTGGTCTGCGTGAAGAATCTCCCGGCAGAGGACATCCTTCTGCATGCGACCAGGCTGAGGAATGCCCTAGGGAGGAAGGTGGTGAAGCTGAGGACCAGGCACGTGACCAAGCATCCGAGCGTCCAGGGCACCTGGACCACGGCCCTCAAGTTTGAGAGCTGAAGGACCCTCTCTCTCTTTCTCTCTCTCTCTCTCTCTCTCTCTCTCTCTCTCTGCGCGGATGATTTGGATTTCGTTGACTGATTCTGTAAACGGTTTCCATCATTATCCGAATGGCTGTCAAACCCCAAGAATTTTTTAATGAGCATCTCTCTCTCTCTCTCTCTCTATGTTAATGATTTGGGTTTCGTTGACTGATTCTGTAAAAGGTTTCCATCAACATTGGAATTTCTTTCAAACCCCATGAAAAAAAATAAGTGAGCATCTCTCTCTCTCACTTGCTCTCACCCCTCTCTCTCTCTATATATTTATATTTCTCTCTAGGTTTTTAGCATTGCATAGTTCCTATAACTTAATGGCATATCAAATAAAGTTCATAATAGTATGTAGCCCTAGGCAATTTATGTACTGAAAAAAAAGTCAAATGAAAAATAATATGAGTGGTCCTATTGTTGTTAGGGGAAGATCGGTTTTCAGGGTCAAATTGAAAAGTTTATTTACCCATCTAAACTTAAGTGATTTACAGCTGCCAAACTCATAAGTTGAGGTCAAACTCTAGATAACTAATAAACACCTCGTAACCCTCAATGCCATGTACTAGGGAAGTTATTGACTTTGACCTATTGATGCCAAAGGAGAAAAGTTGGACAAAATCGTTGACCAGGCTTTGGGCCCATTTTAATTATTGATACATTTGGGATTTCTGAGTCTATCCCAACACTAAGTTGGGCCACTTGTAAGCCTTGTGGTACTTAGCCACATCAAGTGGATGCAGGTATAATCCAAACTAGGCATACCTGGTCACATGACTTTGTCATGAATTGCAAATCTTCTCTCCCATGTTCAATTCCAAGGTCCACAGCAAAAAATTAGAATTTAGTGATGTTGGTTACCCCTCTAGTCAACTAACATTCTAAAGGACCAGAATAATCAAGGCTTTTAAATAATTTAACATTCATATTTATAATTATATTTGAGGTAGTTTAAAACCTAGTAGTGTCAATAAATAAATAAAAAACTAAAAAAATATATTATATATCATGTATATGTATTTTTTAAATATTCTCAAGTATTTCACTCGGTCACTTCACTCATCTAAGTAAGTCAACTCACTTCCTATTGAGCAAAGGATTTCAACATATAAAACCTACTATTTTGCCTATATATATTGTCTTTATCAATATACGTATAGACAGTTAGGTGAGTTAATTCTACTCTTGCAAACTCGAGACAAATATTAGGTGCATACCTTTCTAAAGGTTTTAAGGATATTCTGCCAATATTTTCCAAAATTCTTGACATAATTTTGACAATGTAGAAACGATTATATGCTCTTTATATATTTTGGCCTTCATCAAAACACTATCAGCCCCAAAAGCTAATAGATTTAAGAGTTAGCTCTTGCAAATATAGCATCTTATTTTTTTCTTGGGTTGACTTAGACCCTATCTTTGGCAAACATTATTATGTCTTTCACCTAGGTTGACTATTTCAAAAAAAATTCTATTTTTGGTGAAGGTCAACATAAGGGTTGACTTCTATTTTTACTCGCAATGAGATTGACACCAAATGCTTATTTTGCTGCACATAGCGCTCCCTATCACTAGGATATCAATGCACATCTTATTGTCTCCATAATTTAACCATTGCTAGCATATAAAACTTGAAAAATTTAGAATGATTAATACATATTAGTGGAAATATTGAGGTTTTGTCATCATGAAAACTATGTAGACCCCAAAAACCAATAGATTTGTGAGTTAACTATTATAAATATAACATCTTATTTTTACTTGTGTTGGCTTAGATCTTGTCTCTAGCAAACAATGGTATGTCTTTCACTTGGGTTGACTATTTGAAAATGAATTTCTATTTTTTGTGAAGGCCAACTGAGGGTTGACTTCCATTTTTACTCACAATGAGGGCAACATGGAAAGCTCTCTAACATTGGGATATCAATGCACATCTCATTGTCTCCATATTTCTAGCATATAAAACTTGCTTATTATGGCTTAAAGCTCTTTGAGAGGATTAATACATAGTGGAAATATTAAGGTTTTGGCATCATCAAAAGTCAACTTATTGTGCTCTAGAATTAGCATCCTATGTTGATGTTGGTTTTCGGTCTCTCTACTTATGGGGCGTTATATGGTAAAAGCTCATAATATGAAAAGTTAAGTAAATAAATTAAAATTAGTTAAGGTTATAAATGTAAAATAATTTTCTAAAGAAGGGTGTTTTGGAAAAAAAGAGCTTTTCTTCTGATTCTGTGGGCAGTGTCGAGGGTCGAGTCAGAGCATGGCGAAGGGATCTTTGCTCTGGAAGATCGCACCCCGACCTGCCGCAGGTGGACAGATCTGGATCGGAGCTTCGCCGTAGGAGGGTGTACGAGGATCGATTTGTGAGCCCTGGATTTTCATCTCGAATAATGTTGTATTCTTGGTTATTTTTTTTATTTCTGAATCCAAAGTCCTACCTCTATGTTCAATTTACAGAGGCATTCATCACCTAGACGAGTAAGCCGTCTTGTTCGCACATCTCTCTTGTTATGCTGATTTTTCGATTTAGTTGAATTTTTTCGCATTGAAATTGCTTCTTCGTGCAGGGATATTTCTCATTTCATCCGTTTCCGGTTGCTAAGTCGGAGATTTTAGTTTATGAGAGGCTAGACATTTGCGATCGGCCGACTTTTATGTATCCTGCTTCTTTTTACCTTGATCACCGGAAACTGGCGCTTCCATAACCTGATTTCCAAGACATTTGCGGATTTCTTCCTACATTTCTACTTGGATAATTCCACTCAATTTGAGTGGGCATAACGTCATTGTATATTCCTCTTTCTGATCTTTCCTTTTCCGATTGTTTTTCAGGGAGCATTCTGGATCGACTTGAATGTGGTGATCTTACCGAAATTTTGGACGCATTGCAGTGAGATGCGTGTCTACCTTGTTACGTGCAGAAGATCCACCTCCAGAAACGGTTTTAATTCCTGAATAAAATACCATGAAATCATGAGCACCCTCTCATTTGGTCAAGGAAGTTCAAAGTCCTTCAACGCTTACCCAAGAGGAGAGTTTGACTTGGAGTCCGGAGCCCCAAGAAAGTCCCGGCGGACAAGGGGTTCACTTTCTGAAAGCATAAGAATGCTAAAATCTATTGGAAGTCATGCTTCCTACTTCTGTAGGTTGCATCCCGTCGCATTCTCCTTCATCTTACTGCTTGTTGGGGTGACCATCTTGGTTTTTCTATCCATGTCTGTCAGCGATTCAAGGATGATACGGTCCTTACATAATCGAGGGGCAGATCTTGGTTCCTACCCTCTTTCTGGCTTACATAATCTTGTGATGGTTGCTGGCCATTCAATATACACAAGTACCAGTTGTGGGAAGGTCGATCAGGAAGATTCATGGTTCTTGGAGCCATACCAAAAGAACCCAGGTCAAGCTGCCACTTTCTTAGCACACATAAAGGAAGGCATTGGGCTTGCGTCAGAAGATGATGGCGCTCTCCTTTTGTTCAGTGGTGGTGAGACAAGAAAGAATGCTGGACCTCGAAGTGAGGCACAGAGTTACTGGGCAGTTGCCGAATCTAAAGGCTGGTATGGTAAGTTATCTTCTGCAACGCTCAAGTTTTTACGAAATTTTATTCTCCTCCATGTATTTGACTCTTTTTTACCATAAGGTAAGATTGATGAACTAACTGCTAATTACAATAAGCAGTATTCTGGTTCACCAAACTTTAAATTCATCTGTTGCTTAGTTTTTATTTTAGGGTTGGAGAAGATGCTTCTGCTCCGAGTGTGTGCCAATTTTTTTTGTTAGAATGTTGATTATATTAAACTTCCTGCTTGTATGTCAAAGGATGAGGAAAATTTTCCTTGTTGTCAAAGTATCTCTTTTGGTGACCAGAAGGAGGCCAGCCGAGGAGCTAGAAAGGAAAAAAGCTTGATTGTCTTCCGTTTGATATTACATAGATTTAAAATGACAGGTTTATGTGGTATCTGGGAAGAAGAAACCTCTGGGGGCCTTTTGGTTTGTTACTTCGGAGATATTTTTGTCTACTGCAGTTACCCAATTCCGTCGTGGATTTAGTGGGTTATCCTCGCCTAATCCCAGTTTTTCCATTGCCTTTTGAACCCCATTATCGTAAACTATATGTAATACCATATTCCATCTGTTCTCGGATCACATGGGGGCAAGGTTCAAGTATCAGAAAAATCTTTTGACGAGAAAAACGCTATAAAATGTTGTCTAATTGGTTGTTGGTTTGGTCTTCAATTCGTTGCAGACGTTTTACCTTTTTAAGCTGAAAAAGATAATCTCTCACTGAGAAATTTGTTCATTTATTTTCTGAAAGTGGAAATGCCACCAAGTTTGAGGTGTTTTGAACCATTCAGTATCTTCACTAGGAGAATAAAATAACTAAATAGTAAAAAAGGATCCGACAGTTCGGTACCGCTCAAAAGCATAATTTCATATTAGTTCTCGGTTCATTTTCATGGGTTAGAATAAGTTCTATGACCTCATCATGTGTGCAGCATTGACATCCTCTGTTTCTTTGCTTTGCTCATGAGAGATTCTGATGACGTCTATATCTATTTTGATCAGTTTTACTTAAGACATGATGATCACACATGCGGTTAATGTGGAGTATCATTAAGTAGGATCATTTCTATTCTTTAAATTCTCGTTACTAGTGCTTCAGATTGCTAACAATGCCTGTTGCGATCGTTCGGACGATGTTCACCAACACACTCTCTTTAAAGCCTTTGCATTTCATTCTAAATTTTATTTTTTTTGGTCCTTTTCGAGAAAATTTCTTGAAAATATACAGGTGTTTGAAGATAATTGAAAATATTTTATCATGAATGTGAAGGGCCGTCAATGGGCCTTATAGAAACCTGGCCCAGGGGCCATTCATATCCCCAAGGAATGTGTAAACTGCAGTTTTCTTCCTCCTACCTCATCATGTTACCACACTTTTCCTCCCCCCCTGATGAACTGTTTTTTCTGCCATTTCGGTGTGTAAACTGCAGTTTGTTTTTTGGTATGCTTGTTCTTCCTCCTATTTCAGCATTTTATCATGCTCCCCCCCCCCTCCCCCCTCTATGGACTGTTCTTGATCCTCGGCATTCTCCGGTTCAACTAGAGCTCTCCAAGTTATTCACTGGAATTCCTCCATCTGGGCTTCTGAGCTTCATTCATCTCTTTTATGTCCAGGCAAGGTAGACAGCGTGCGCAAGAGAACACTTACCGAGGAACACGCCAGAGATAGCTTTGAGAACCTCCTCTTCAGTGTCTGCAGATTCCGGGAGCTCACTGGCGACTACCCTCGCAACATTACAGTAACCACCCCTCCTCTCCTCCTTCATCTGTTCCTCTCAATAATGTATACACACAAATTACGTAGATAAATGGGCATTACCTCGGTATCCTTCGTGTTATCCATCGTCCCATTTCTTACATACCCAATTGTTATTGATATATATACTTGTCTATGCATATTTTTATGGAGATTCCCTCAACATTACCTTTCTCAGATGCCCACTTATTCACAAACTATACATATCTACGCACATTCAAGGGGATTCTTCAATCATCTTCATAATAGCAGCCACTACTCCTTTCACAGATGCCTACCTCCTGCTCATAAATCCCCCTTGGTATCTTTCAGGTGGTGAGCTACGACTTCAAGGAGGAGAGGTTCGCCCTACTCCACCGGGGGGCAATCGGGTTCCCGCGGCAGAGGTTCTCCTTCGTCGGCACACCGGCGGCGCCCGCCGCCAGGGAGGCGGCGACGAAGGGCGAAGCCGCCGTGCGGGCCCAGTTCCAGGAGGACCCATTCGGCTGCTCCGGTGCCCTCCGTCGCAAGAGGCTCCGGCGAGACCCCTTCCACCGCTCCGTCCCCTACCCAGCCGGCTGCCCAGAGCTCAGAGGCCTCTTTGACTACTGCGGCCCTGCTCCCTATCCGGGACCCCTTCCGTGGGGGCCAGACAGGCTCCTGGGTGGATCATCTGAGGGAGAAGTATATTAGATGGTTTGTTGCCTGCAGTCAGGTGAGGCGCATCTGTGGCAAATTCTACCTCTTTTTTTTTAACCTGATAATGTTGCAAAATGTTTTCTACAGGTCGTGTTCAGTTGTCTGCAATCGATCAGGTGAGGGGCAAAATTGTTTACCCCTGTTAGCCGGGATTTGTAGCAGATTCCAGCTGTTCTTTTTTGAGCCGCTAATTTTACAAAGTGTTCTATACGAAGATCGGAGCTCATGATTTGAAGATTTTTTCTAATTGGTTGTAAATGTTTAGAATATATTCGAAATAAGTTGCTGGGTTTTTGAAAAATTCGATGGGGGGTGGGTCTCTCTCTCTCTCTCTCTCTCTCTCTGTCTTCTGTCTTTCTTTCTCTCTCCCCTCCCCATAATAAAACATCCCCCAATGTGCCTCCACAACCTCTGCTGGTTGCTACAACATCTTCTGGGTATTTTCTACCTCATTTCTGTTTAGCAGTCAGTGTGAGACGACCTCGATTCTGATAGGACCTAAGGTGAGACCAATCCTTGGAGGTAACACCACACGATGATGTCAAAATTATAGAACATTAGTCCATGTATTTATCTTGGAAGACAATTCAGGTTGACTAAAGAAGGATTGACTTAGTCTAGGGTTTCTTCGAAATTAGACTCTCAGATGATTACACTACACATTCTCAATAGGAAATTCAAGAGACTAGCTAGAAGAACGTGTCATTAGAGCAGGAGGAAAGGGAGAAAATTGGGAAGCTCACTGGTTGAAGAGTCAAAGTTAGTGGGGAAGGAGAGCATTGGTTAAGGTTTTTCATGTCCTTTCTACCTGCCATGTCATTTATCTGCTCCTCTTGGTTGATATTTGCTCCAAGGACAGCATGAGTTAATGTTCTATCGTAATATGTGGAATGGTTGTTTAAGCTTCAAGGGCTTATTTGTTTTAAGGTTTGTATTTTATATTTTTAGTTGGGAGTGAGTTGACTTATTTGATAAGAAGGTTATTGGGAGCATAACACTACATAAAAAATATAGAAAACACACATTACTACAATACTTAACTAGCCTCTGAATATCTAGGCCAACAAATTGATGCCAAGGAAACCAACCCCCAAAATGTTTGCTTTTTGAGATTTAAATATTTTGATTATGAGGACAAGTAATATAATAATTATAGTTAATAAATTTATGTTACCCACTAAGTGTGAATCACTACACATTAAATTAGATAGTTAACCAAGAAAAAATTGCTTAAAGACAAAATGATATGTATTCATACTTATATGAGTAAAATATTTTCGAATGCAAACTAATGTCACGTGTATAAATGTAGATGTACTCATTGTAAATATAATTGAAAGATGAACATGATGTGATAAACAACAGATCCAAATTTTAAATTTCAATTTGTTGAGATTTTTATAAGATAAAAAATTATTTTTATGAAGTTTGAATTTCAAGCATGGATGTGACCCAAAATGGACTAATATCTAGTCATTGCAGGCAACCATTGAATGGTCCAATACATGGGATATAAGAAGGATACTTCAGCTCACAATATGGTCTGAACAAAATAGAAGAACAAATTTATAGAGTGAGTTTTTACATCCACCTACCTTCAAGGAATTCAAACTAAAGTTCTACATCCTTGAGCATGTAAAAGAAGACAAGTTGTTCTCAAGCTTTCACTAACTCTAATCTAATATTAAATGTTTCCTAAAAAAAATCAATTTATCTCCCCTTCTTGGACTATAGTGATGCCTAAGTAAAACCAATAAGTGGTGTCAAAACAAAACTATTTAAATAAGAAGTAATAAGCCTTGAGTAGTAGATCATATCGTTAACACTTTAAGAATTATGTTTTTATAAGGACATTCCACACATAAACCTCTCCTATTTAGCACACTACATGATGTGTGGGCTTTCTTTCTACACATCAGCATGTTAGATGGTGGATTTAAACACCCAATTCTATGGGGATCAAGCCCAAACCCTTCATCTTCATCACCATCATCTTCTTCTTTGTTGTTGATCAGGGGACATGAAATTTATTTCTCTTTGCTTATTAGGGAATGGTACACAAAGGTGTTTGGCAGCTTTAGAAGCTTGTTGTGAGCTACTACAATTAGGAGGGGAGTGACATGAATTAGTCGTTGTATATTAAATAATGTAAATCTAAAATTTATAAAGCTAGAAAATATGAATTTTTAGATATTTAGAAATATTTTTGAACAAATATATCAATTATAATTCAATAAAACTTTTAAAAATCGATCTAAGGATGTAATAGAATATTTGGTAATTATTTTAAATTTTTTGTAAAGAATACTATTTTCTATAAATTTATACTAGGAAATAAAAAAGAAATATATTTAAAATTAATAGAAAAAGGAAATAAGGGTGTGGACGTTAGGATGACGTCTACGCCTGGCAAACACGAATCGGGTAAAAATAGAGTTCTACTTGATGATTCTTACGCAAGTGATTACAGACAATTTAATTGATCAAATTAAGATTTGTAAAAGTTAGAAGAATCATAATGAAGTGAAGTATATGTTAGTAAATTTTAAATCAACAAATTATTACTAAATGAAATGAAAATTAAGTTGAAAGTAGGAAAATAGAGTTCTAGTGTCACAGCGGTGATGCGTCACCGATGCACCAAAATCTTGAGTGTTTGGAAGGATAGTCGTGTAGTGTCCACGGTTTTGAAGGCTCTCCTTGGACAAGGGTGATGTGGACAATCTTTAGATCTCTTTGTGAAGTCTAGAGATCAATAAATGGGTCATTGAATCGTCTTTGGCGGCTGTCACCCGACAGAGTGAAAAAATGACAACTTTGCGGCTCTTCGGCGGCTATCACTCGACGTAGAGGAGCTGAATAGAGGTGGGGCGCGTGTCAAAGAGCTTCATCCTCAGATCTGCATAGCAAGAGGAGGCTCTTCATCGCATCTGATACACTCTCAGGAGGTGGCGACTCGTCTCATGGCGGATCGTCCTTTTCCTGACGATGGCTTGTTTGTCAATCAATCGAAGATGCTTTACTCGATGGATTCACGATCCTTATATCGCAAATCATTCAGCAATTTGAGTAACAATGCTCTACGAATCGTGTTGACGAGATTTTCGCTAATGATCCTGTGATTCTGGTTGCTTAATCCTTCACCGGCGATTTGTAGGAAAGTCAAGATAATTAGATAAAAAATATGAATTTTGGCTCTAAGAGGATTCAAACCCATGCCGATTGCTCGCCCTTTTTTCGGAAGGTGATGTGGGTTTAGTCCCACATTGGTTGGGCACTGAATTTTCAGGCGAATATATAGTAATGTTACATTCCTAAGTAAGTCCCTTCTCTCTCGTGTACACCACTCCTTGCCCCATAGTTGACTGGCCACTAAGACGTGAAAGGAGAGTGGCGCACATGTGCCCTTATTGGTCCAAGCCACTCGAGCCCCTATTCGCGGCTACTCCCCAACTACACTTCCGACTCACTTGTGGGCTTGGCTGGCCGACGGGTCCCCTGTATTTTGTCTTATTTTTATTTTTATTTCTTTTTCTTCATTTATCATAAAAGTAAAACTATAAAAATTATATAAATTCATATAAAATCACATAATTACTCAAAAATTCATATTAATCAATTGAAAACCACTTTTCACACTTTAACATAAATATAAGTCTATTTATCATGAGTAAAGGCTAAAACTATATTATTTACTAATTGTTAACTCATGATAATGAAAACTTATCAAAGAGTAATTGAGGCATCATGTTTATCTTTGTGTGCCTATCTAGTGTATCTTGTTCATCAACTAACTTTACTTTATTTCAGCATGATAATCTAAATTTACATATTTACTTATGTATTCTATTATACTTTCCTTACTCATCTAACTAAGATTGTACATTATGTCTAAGGATATTCTTATGTTATTAATTGATTAAATGTGTGATGTGACTTCTTGTTGTATAATAAATCACATAAATTTAAAATTTATAAAACTATAAAATATCAATTTTCAAATTATTTTTACAAAAATATATCAATTATGATTTGATGTCTAAAAATACTAATAAATTTATAAGTCAATCACATAGATCTATAATAATATTAGATAAAATTTCAGGTTTTTCTCGAAGAATATGATTTTATATGATTTTTAAAGTTCTTAAGAAAATTATTTTTAAAATTAGAGAAAGACAACAGCACCCAAAGAATGATGATTTAGGAGAAAATATATTCCACCATGTGATTATTGTGTAAATGATTGTAGATGATTTGATTAATGAAATCATAATCTATAAACGTCAAATTAATCATAATAGACTAAAAAAGAGTTTTAAAACTTAAATTTAAGTAAACTATCATTAATTTAAAGATTAAATGAGTTTAAACATAAAAAAGTAGAGTTTTGTCATTGTGATGGGGATCACTAGAATTTTGTAAGTTTAGAAAGTTTCAAAGGGATGTTAATGGCCTCAAAGGCTCTCTTTAGATTCCATGGTCATGGGCACTCTCAAAATTATCATGTGAAGTCTAGGGGGTGAAGATAGGAGTGGATGAAGCACCTTTGATGGTTGTCATCTAGCAGGGTGAAAGCTTGATGAGGACAAATCTTTAGCGACTGTCACTTGACGAAGTTGAGTTGCGTGGAGGTGGAGCGTGACGTGACTTAGTCGTTGTATATTAAATCACGCAAATATAAAATTTGTAAAACTAGAAAATACGAATTTTTGGATATTTAGAAGTATTTCTAAATAAATATATCAATTATAATTCAATAAAAATTCCAAAAATAGCGGTAATTTTCCAGGTCAATCACAAGGATGTAATATAATATCTGGTAATTATTCAGAATTTTTCTCAATGAATATGATTTTCTTACGAATTTTATACTAGGAAATAAAAAGGAAATATATTTAAAATTCACGAAAAAAAAGGAAATAAGGGTGCGGGCATCAAGATGACGTCAGTGCCCGGCGAACGCGAATCAGGCAGAAACAGAGTTCTGCCCG